CCCCCCCCCCCCCCCCTGCCCTGATTGCTCTGGAGCGGGGGGTCGACAGGGCAAGGATCGCTTCTTCATGCAGTGCATCTGCGCGGGCGTTTGCTGGCTTCAACGGGCTCGAACATCCTTCACCGCCTAGTGAGAAGGCTGTACATGATTCCGTCGAAGTAGGATTCAACATTAAGATCTGCGGATTCCGTTTACTCTATGAGTGCCTCGTCTATAGCACCAGTCCGTGGGTAGACGGGAAGTTATTAATAGTGAATGATGATGTCCTTTTTAAGGGCTCCAAGTTATTGGTGTTACTCAAATCTTCGAGCCCGGTAAAACTTGGTGAGTTTTTGTTTATCCGAAGTACTACACGTAGAAGAGACATATCTTCGGTCCCACAGGCTATCTATCTCATTGGATGGGAAATCTCGTTTGACGGTGACAAGTGCTACGTGTCTTGTTTGCGCCTGTTGTCCGCATACGGATGCATACAGCAGATATATCATGCCAGCAATAATGGCAATGACAATCGGACAACAGGAAGTAAAAGCCCGGTAAGTATGCATACTTAGGGCCACTAAACGCAATGGATCATTAAATTGATAGTCCGTAATCCAAACAGCCGGAAACTCCGCGTGAATGAGGCTAAACATCAAACTGCATGTCGAATTATGGTATGTACGCTACCAACTGCGATTCTAGAAAAGCGCCAGTTCCTTGAAGCTTCTTCCCTAAATTTATTTCGCTTCCCTTTCCGCAGCAGGCTTCAAGAAGTTAGTAAAAAGAGGACGCAATAAGATCTATCACCATCGCAAACACTACTCGTAATCCGTCTTCTCAACACCTCATTGCTTGCATGTGCTGCTGTATCTCACCGGCCTCGGGAGGAGTGATGCCCGTCGCCGCGGGCTCCTCGTTGATAGGCTGAGAGAGTCTAAAGACGTATGATGCGAGGAAAAATAGCACCCTAGAGGTGCGCGAAGGAGCAGAAAGCAGTGCAACATTCAATTTCAAATTATCACATCGCATATGACTTTTGAACCAAAATCGGGCAACTTTTGTTCTTGGATGCCTGATGGCCTGAAGACCTGACGGCCGTTGGTGTTTCGCGGGTTCGTCTGCCTTAGCCGCGGGTCTTAGTCAGCGCCGCGCCAAGACCCCACAACCGCCGAAATCTACATTTTGCGATTTGCGCTTCGCAACTTTCCTTCTGCACCCGCGACCTCTCCCAACCACCGAAAGAGACAGACCACCTTACAGCACTAGCCATGCCGTAAGTATCGTCCTTTCCGGCTCTGGCTATTCCACCATGGCTGATTGTCAATTCCTCGCAGTCCCAAGTTCGATCCCAATGAGGTCAAGGTCATCCACCTGAGGGCCACTGGTGGTGAGGTTGGTGCCTCTTCGGCCCTTGCGCCCAAGATTGGTCCCCTCGGTCTGTCGCCCAAGAAGGTCGGTGAAGATATCGCCAAGGCCACGTAAGTTTGCGCCCGGAAGAAATTGCAACGAGCGCTCGAGCTGACCTGGAACTGCAGTGGTGACTGGAAGGGTCTCCGTGTCACGGTCAGGCTCACCATCCAGAACCGTCAAGCCGCGGTTTCGGTTGTGCCCTCCGCTTCCTCCCTGGTCATCAAGGCCCTTAAGGAGCCTCCCAGGGACCGCAAGAAGGAGAAGAACATCAAGCACACCAAGTCCATCCCTCTGGACGAGATCATCGAGATCGCCCGCAAGATGAGGTTCAAGTCCATGGCCAAAGACCTCAAGGGTACCGTCAAGGAGATCCTTGGTACCGCTTTCTCCACTGGCTGCCAGGTCGACGGCCGCTCCCCCAAGGAGATCTCCGACGACATCGAGGCCGGCGAGATTGAGAGTGAGTTTTTCCGGTGATCTGGTCACGGCTGAGTTTTTGTGCTAACTTTGTGTAGTTCCTGAGGAGTAAATTTAGATACCCGGAACATCTCAATCATTTTTTAACTCCGGAAAAAATGAACCGTTTGATCAATGAGCACGGCGTTTTGTGTTGAATGAGGGAATAGGCAAAAGTAATCATGATACCAGGACCGGACGTTGCGGTCCCGCCTTGCTGCCTTTCCCGCCCCACCTACATGCATAGTGACGTTTGCCACCTTGCCAACACTCTGGCCTGAACTATTTCCTCCATGGTTTTGGCCTATTTTGGTGCAAGGGAGAAGGATCTCCTGACCTACTACTCACCGCGGCACTCTGGCTCTTGGGCCCATGTGGGTGCAGTGGTCCATCTTTTTTGGTCTACATGCCATTGCGTGAAGAGCCTGGTACAATACTTGGTATACGTGACTAGGTACCTATATATGTATTTGAGATATATGTTTCATGTAGTTTCGGAAAAAAAAAAAAAAAAAATACATTTATATATATATATATATATATATATCGTCCGTTAGTCTGTCCGTCCGTCAGCGTGTGCATTGTTTATGTGGTGCGACGCATGTAACCGAGGCAGTGTCGCGGACCCATCTCCTCTCTCTCGCCCCATATATAGACGCATCGATAGCGCGGGAGGACGTCGAAAGAGGCTCATGTACCGCGCGCGCACCCGCAGTGGGCCGGCATATGCGGCTTCGCGAGGCTTCCAAGGCTTTCTGCGCAAAAAGTCAAGCACCGGTGACGAGGGCGCAAGGGAAAAAACAGCGCAGCGGGCCGTCAGCTGAGGGTAAGCTAGGCGGGAAGCAGATGGGATTCGGCTGCGGTACTCCGAGTTGGCGCTGCATGCAGGCGCTGATCACCGTTGGAAGATTGGGATGCTAGGTAATGAGGTCTTTGTAGGCAGTCTCACGCCCCTGCTCCGAGTCAGCTTGGCGCTCAACTCCGCCTTTTCCGAAACCCAAGGCATCCACCGCACGCCAGGCTGCTCCCCACACTGGCTGGTCGAGGCAGAGCATCCTGCGGGCCCGGTGCCAACGGCGGCCGATCCTTTCCACCCGCGTTGACGCGGTGCGGCAGGCCGGCAGGGTTGGGCGGACGCCACAGAGTGCTGAGATCAAAAGCACTGCAGCGCGTTGCATACGGGGCGCTCCTGGGCGCTGTCTCGGCGCAGGCCCTCATCCCAGCAAAAGCCCTCCAACTAGTACCGGGCCCACGACAAGCTGTGCCCGACAGCCCAAGTCGTCGTCGTCTTCAACCTCACACTTTCCCTTTCGTCGTTGCGCGCGCGCTCCCTTTCCCGACCGCGCTCCCGCCTGCCCCTCCGCCCTCTGGCGCCCGCAGCCAGTCAGCGCTGCGCCCGGCCGTCCTGTGTCATCCCACGCCCCGGCCAGCCGCCCGCTCAAGTTGCGCATTGCCGCGCCGCTCGTCACCACGTGTGACATACATTGATGCTGCCAGCCGGCCAGCGTCAGTAGAGAACCTCAAATCAGGCTCCCACCCGACCTGATCAAGCGACGAGCGCTGTAACCTTTCTCCTCTTCAGCCCCGTCAGCACCATCAGCTTATCTGTAGCCTCTATTTATTTGCTCGGTCCGGCGTGCTGAGTGATACATACCCCAAGTCGTCGTCAGACGGGGCCTGGCTCCCTTGCATCACGATTCCAATAACACCGGTCGCGCCTGAGCCCCTTCTTGTCGCCTTGTCTTTTTACACCGCCGGCCGCCCTTCTCCCGCCGACTCTGCCTGTCGCTAATCGGACGGTCCGGTGCCTTTACTACGACACGCCCGCCCGCCCGCGCGCCTGCTTCCTTCCGTACCGCCCCTTTCGAAAAGAGCCGGGGATCTCTGCTGGTCTAACGCCAGTCGAGAAGGCCGGGTGCCGCCATAATCCACTTGCTATACACGATATGTCATGCGCAGGCGGCAGGACAAGACTACGCAAAGGCATAGGCACAGCCGGTCTTGGTGAGACTGCCCTCATGATAGGAGCAACACGGCGTTAAAACTGGCCTTTTTTTCCTCTGTGGCTTCGCCCCTTGACGCCCTCTCCGCCCGGAGACGCTTATTTCTACCTGGACTTGTATCAGTAGGGCTTTGGCCATGACGATGACGCGACAATACCCTCCGCAACCGCATTCTCCCGCCCCTCACCATCTCTTCCGCCGCAATCCGTCACATGGTCTTTACAATCCTCTTCCCATTTCGCCCCGGACCAGCGCAACTTCCGACGCCTTTTCTGGAGATCGACCATTGCAGCAACCTCCATCGCAATACGCCCTTCCGCTGCATCGAGCTGGCTCGTACCCGCGGCGCGATTCGCCAGAGAAGAGTCATGCCGCAAAAGTGGAGCAGTCGGAGCATATGCTGCGCCGCAAGACTCCAAACGGGATCTTGGCCGCAGCGTATGATGGTACTTCAGTGGAGCAAACCGAGAAACCTCACGCCATGAAGCACATTCTTCTGCCTGTCACGACTGCCGGTGGCGGCGTGAATCCAACGGCAATCCCCTATGGCATGAAGCAAGAACTCCCTCTTCGGACACCAGGCGCAATGCATGGAGGATCGGACACTCCGCTCCCGCTCCCGCAACCTCCACGTGGGGGCGAAGGTTACGATTCCGGCCACCTGGGTTTCGATCCTTCAAACATGGCGTGGAAGAGGGGACAACCACCCTTTCCTCAGATTGACTCCATGTTAAACCAGCTCCCTCCTCACCAACAGTTACAGTACATGCAGATGGGCCAACAATTGCCGGTTCAGCCGCCGTTCCAAACCCCGCTTGGCCCCACAGTATCGAACGAACAGGGTCCGTACGGGCCTTACTGGCCCAATGGCACATTCGTGCCTTATCGCCCAGCCGCAATAAGGGATCCGCGGTATCATTCCGCCGCAGCATCTGCATGGGGTCAACAACAGCCTGTTTTGGCCAACAAAATTAATGGCCATTGGCCATCCCACAACAATCGCGCATTTGGCGCGGGATATGCTGCACCATCCCCGGGGACCATGGGCTACAACGCTGGCGCTGTCCCCTTTGGTGCTACTCAAACATATGGCGCTTCTTCCGCACAATCTTGGGGCCCAGAAACAACACCATGGGGCCCTGTACACCGAAATCTTCATAACACTGGATTAGAGCAGAATGGCACAGGATACCACACCGGAATTGTTCCGGGGCAATACGACCCTTCTTTTCACGGTCCACCAGCACCTTTTGTTTCTGGGGAAACTACGCCTAGAGGGGACCTAACACCTATTGACGCGTCGTTTCAGGATTTCGGACCGCAGTCTAACAACGCACAGCTTCGGGAAAAGGTCCTTGACTGGGCGCATCAGATTTATGTTGATCTTCTGACTTATCTTCATCACGCTCGCAGGCATGGCCAACACACAAGGCACGGCCAGAGTCATTTACCGCACATGTTCCCAAAACCTCCACGGCAGCCTGGAGCAGACTTCTCTTACGCGAATCGTGACAACCACGGACTCCAGAGTGGTACTAAGAAGGTCGGACCTACGGAAAATGGAGCCGAACGACAGCTCCAGCGACCCAGCGTCGGTCATGCGCGCTCGAGTTCTCTGTGGAACGGCTCTCTGTCGGAGCGTCATCGGCTGGATCATCAACGACGATCTTCTTGGCACCAACAACCAGCTCCTGGTCCCACACAACATGCTGGACAGTTAAGTGAAGGTTATCGTCCTTTACCACGTGCTTCCGGGGCAGGTCCGGCGCCCATGACATTCCCACCAGATTCTGCTCGGATAGCGCTACAGACAATCTCGAAATGGTGTCGACAAAGCGGATGGAAATGGATCGATGGCATGTTGGTTGGCGGTTGCCTCGCATATGCCCTTCAAGACTTTTCTGGTGCATACGAGTGGTACTACAAAATCCTTCAGTTGGATAAGGAGTAAGTTTGGTTCTTCCGCCTCCTCAAAAATGGACACTTTTACTCACGAAAGCATTAGCCATGTCGAAGCTCTCTCGAACCTTGCAGCGGCTCTCCATTCCCTCGGAAGGACAACTGAGGCCGAACGTAACTGGATACACGCTATCAGGTTACGGCCAAGTCATTTTGAAGCTGTAGAGCACCTGGTGGGTCTGCTGTGCCAAAGCCAACGAGGCAGAGAAGCCGTCAGTATTATCGAATATGTGGAACACTCGCTGCAATATCGCCCTGCAATTCCCGAAGCAGCCAATGGCGATCGCGGGAGCGAAGCCTCAAGTTCTACGGGGCGATCTCCACTTTCCGAGGTTTCGGACTGGCCAGTGTGGGAGCAAGATGCCGAAGCCGAAAACATGCCCCAAGAGCTCAAGGATTTCCTGCGTCATGATGTACCCGGATTCGGTTCGAGCGGTTACGCAATCCCAGGATCCGAGAATGGTCGCATACTCTCGTTAGTGCACGCCAAAGGCAATATGCTGTATGCTCTCGGTGACAACACCAGAGCGGCCAAGGCCTTCGAGGATGCGGTAATGATCAGTGTTGGCCGACAAGTTAAGGACATCGGAGCACTTATCAGGCGCATCTTGAGGGTTGTCGACGAGGATGAGTTCGGCACTGCTGAAACTGGAGCACACGACGAGTACTCCCCTACGCCGATTCTCCTTCCGCCTGCCGCAGCTTTGAAAACAGCAAGTCTCTGCTTCCCTAACTACGGCGAGCTACCAGGCCTCAAGTACATCTTGAACAAGGGCATGTCTCGTAAAGCGGCGATTGCGACAACGAGCAACTCGCTTCTGTCTCTGGCCAAAATTTTTCAGGATGGTATGGCATCTGGTCAGCCAAAAACTCCTTCCGCAGCGAGTTTCGGAGTGCGCCAGATTCTTGCTCTTTACTACCTTTCTTTGTCTCTCCAGCCTAGCCCATCTACCGCCAACAATGTCGGTATTCTTCTGGCGAGCGTCCAGCAGACGCGGGCACCGAAAATGCCTTACACGGACACGGAATTGCCAAAGATACCTGGAGTCGTACCTGGCAGCGGCATAGCGCTTGCTCTTTCGTATTACAATTATGGCCTCAACCTTGACCGCAACCACGCACACCTTTACACCAACTTGGGGAGCCTTCTCAAGGACCTCGGTCAGCTCAGGTCTGCGATCAGCATGTATGAGCAGGCTGTCAATTGTGATCCCAACTTTGACATTGCCCTTGCCAACCTGGCCAACGCCGTCAAGGACGATTCTAGGATTGCCGACGCCATCATCTACTACAGGCGCGCCGTCAGCGCCAACCCTGATTTTGCGGAGGCGATATGTGGCCTCGCCAATGCGCTGAACTCTGTCTGCTCATGGACTGGCAGGGGCGGCATTGCTGCAGATGGGGGCAGACGTGATCGCTGGCACGTTGACGACAAAGGCATGCTTCTTGATGCTCGCATGCCTGGCGCTGTTAGCACGGGCTGGATCAAGCGCGTCGTCGATCTGGTGGAGAAGCAACTCGCCAATGGTGAAGACTGGGGCCGTGGCGCCATGACCGGTCACTTCATCGAGTCCGTTGTACATCTGCCAATCACCAGCCGTTCATATCCGAATCCGCGCGAGTACAAGGATGCCTTGAGAAAAACACTTCAACGTTGGTCGAGCCAGAAGTGGGAGGGTGCACGCGTCATCCGTATCGTCGAGCGTGCAACCAGACGGTTGGTCTGGCAGTGGTATCATGACAAATACGTGGAACGCAGACAGCTTCAGCCGTCGGCTTACCGCAGACCACCGCTCCCCGAAAGTCTCGCTGTACCTCAAGCGCCTACCGTCCTCCCTTTTCATACCTTCACCTGTCCGATGTCCGCCAAGCAGATCCGCATGATCTCCCAGAGGAATGGTTTGCGGATCTCGACAATGACGTTGAAAATGCCATGGCTGCCCCGAACTGTCTATCCGCCCCCAGCGCCTCCAGCCCCCTGCCTGAAGGTGGGCTATGTTTCGTCTGATTTCAACAACCATCCTCTGGCCCACTTGATGCAATCTGTCTTTGGCCTGCATGACGGGAAGAAGGTCAAGGCCTATTGTTACGCCACAACTCATAGTGACGGATCTATCCATCGACACCAGATTGAACGGGAGGCGCCTGTCTTCCACGACGCTCACAGTTGGTCTGCAGAGCGGTTGGTCAGGCAAATAGTCGACGACGGCATCCACATCCTCATCAACCTGAACGGTTACACTCGTGGCGCTCGTAACGAAGTGTTTGCTGCTCGCCCCGCCCCCATCCAGATGTCTTTCATGGGATTCGCTGGTACTCTAGGCGCCGAGTGGTGTGACTATCTTCTCGCCGACGAAACAGCCGTGCCGCATACGACGCTCAGAGATATGCGGAGGAATGTGGATTTAGGTGATCTGCTGATCGACGAAGACGCCCGCGAAGATGGTGAGCGATGGGTCTACAATGAGAACATCATCTATTGTAGAGATACCTTCTTCTGCTGCGACCACAGGCAGAGTGCTCCGGACGCCAGAGGCAAAGAGAATGAGTTGACATGGGAAGGAGAGGAAGAGAGACGATGGAAAATGCGGAAAGAGATCTTCCCATCTCTGCCAGATGACACGATCATCCTCGGTAACTTCAATCAGTTGTACAAGGTAGGCTTACTTCCTGGTCGTTTTCCTGGTCAGCCATCTAACAGCATTCAGATCGAGCCGACGACTTTCCGCACCTGGCTCCGCGTTCTTTCCCGTATCCCCAACGCCATTCTTTGGCTTTTGCGCTTCCCAGACGCTGGCGAGGCCAACCTCCAGGCCACGGCACATGCATGGGCTGGCCACGACGTCGCCAAGCGCGTCATTTTCACGGATGTTGCTCCTAAAGGGAAACACATTGAACGGGCCCGCGTCTGCGACCTGTTCCTCGACACGGCAGAGTGCAACGCGCATACGACGGCGGCCGATGTGCTGTGGTCCGGGACACCTCTTCTCACGTTACCGCGATACGAGTACAAGATGTGCAGCCGCATGGCAGCAAGTATCCTGAAGGGCGCGCTCCCCGACAACGAAGACGGCCGTCGTGCGGCAACGGAGCTTATCGCGCGCGATGAAGAGCAGTACGAAGAGTTTGCCATCAGGTTGGCGCGTCAATACAGGTACGAGGGCCACAGACCCACAGGCAGACTAGCAGAGTTGAGGAAGCTACTGTTCGAGTCGCGGTGGGACTCTGCTTTGTTCGACACCAAACGGTGGGTCCGAGACCTGGAAGAAGCGTACGAGACAGCGTGGCAACACTGGGTGAAGGGCGAAGGCGGAGACATTTTCTTGCGGGGTAGCAGGAGCAAGTCAATGAAGGCCGCGCTCCGCTGAGCGTCAATGGCCCACTCCCCTCTCATACGGAGAAGCGGTCTTGGTGGACAGAAACAACGGCGCGTCTGCTGCGCGCAAATATGCGGACACAGCAGCAAGAAGCCCAGATGGGCGCTCTGAGACAACAGATCATCCGCATCATCGGAGTTCGGACAGTGGGGCCCGCAGCGCCAGACAATAAAAAGAAAGCGGCGACTGGTGGCTTCGGAGGCTTCGGAGGCAGCCGCGCCAGCTGTCTCGCATTTTCGTCTGCGATGCAACGGCCACGCTGCGTGCGTTTCTTGGTTTGTCAGGAGAGGCAGCCGCGGAGATACCGGCTTGCCTCGTGTTCTTTTTTTGTTCCTCCTGGAGCGATTGTTGTTTTGACGGTGTCGAGGCGATGCTGGTTTGGATTTTGAGCTTCGTCATTGGATAGTAGGATACCTTTCTTTTCGATTTTCGAGAGCTGGCCGCCCGGCAAACAGTTGCTGCTTCGGTTGCTGCTTCGGTTGCTGCTTCGGTTGCTGCTTCGATTGCTGCTGCTGGCCGTGGTGGTTGGTGGCGATGATAGTTTTGGATGGATGCGCAGTTGCAGGTTTTCTTGGATTGGATTGCGGCTTTTTTCCGTTCTCTTTTCTTTTTCCTTCCTGTTTGTCGTTTTTTTTTTTTTTTTTTTTTTTTTTGCACGCACGCACGCACGCACGCACGAAGCCAGTCTTGGGAGATGATGCTCTCTTGTCGTCGTTGAGATACACCTTGCCGCGAGCCCGCAATCGCTTCCATGGCATCGTTGTTTTAATCATATAGATATCCTGACTCTTCTCTTCGAACGAACCTACCTCCTCCCCCACGAACGCACGCACTGCGCCTACAGTTCACACGATACGCTTCTGCCCACAGCCTGCCGCGTCCTTTCCCATTCCTCTCTTCCTATTTCGCATCCGGCATAGTAAAACTGGATGGACTGAGCTCAGCTCGCCTCGTTGCGTCGTATCACTCTAATCAAGTCTCCCCTCTTCCCCCATTCTCCCTTTCCTCCCCACACAACCATACACCGTCTCTTCCCTTTTCACGCCCACCTCTCCTTCCCTACCTACCTATCACCTCTCCGCTCGCGTCACACACGCTACCCTACGTACCTTGCACGCAACCCCTCTCCCCAGCCCGCCTTAAGCCTCACGCACCTCACTCACGCACTCACTCACGCCGCCGCCCAAGCAGGGACCTACGACCGCCCGTTCGCCCGCTGCCCCGCACCAACTGGCCGCGTTCTAGGCCGTCTTAGTCCTGGCCCTGGTCTGGGAGCCACCACACCCCTCCACGCGCGCGCATGCACGATCCAGCACGATACGGAACGATGCCATGTCCACCGTCTCTGGCGCTGCCACCACCAACGCTGCGCAGCGCCTCACGATCCCAGAATAGCGCCCCGGGCCCAACCAACACCCGTTGTCAACGCTCATGGCGCTCTCGATACCGCCGCCTGTGCTACATGCCTCCGACAGAGAGAGAAAGGGAGGGGAGAGAGGGAGCCTGTGCCACGTCGCCGCTGTCTCTGACGCTGTCTTTGGTGCTGGAAGGCTGCCCGCCATATCGACGACCTGCCTACCCGCCCACCCACCTTCCTCCCTCCCTCGCTCCCTACATACATACATACATACATACATACATCGACATCCCTACCCGCATGCACGCACGCACGCACGCACACGCAAGCGGCCGCCCGCGCAGGCGCACAAAAAGCGCTGGATGACGGGCAGCAGGAAGGAAGGACGGCCGGGCAGACCGCTCCCAACCCGGGGAAGCGGCCGCGGAGTCCAGACCGCAAGAGACCCCCCGGCGCCGCAAGGAAGGAAGGAAGGAAGGGGGCAGAGGGAAAACCAGCCCGGCGCGGCGCGGGATGTTGGACGGGTCATGAGGCGCTGCAGGACGTGCCGCGCGCGCACACACACACACGCACGCCCAGCACGCCCAGCCGAACGTATGTATGTATGTATGTGTGCCTAGGTGTATACGAGTGGCGGCGGCGCGTGGGCAGGCCGCGCGCGCTAGGTATCTACCTACCTACCTAGGTACAGAGGTCACTCGCACCCACCCACAATACCCGTTAATCACGGCGCGCGCGCGCGCAGCTGATTGACAAGCTGAGACGCCGTGCGCCCAACCCGATCCGACCCCCAGCCCCTAGCCCCCCAGCCCAGCCCAACGCGGCTCGGCCCAGCCCGGCCGTCGACGCGCTATCTAGATGGATACTCGCGCTAGTCGGTCGGCCAGATCTGTCAGTCAATCAGGCAGGCAGTGGGTGTGACGTGATATGATGGGCCGGGTGCTGACCTGACGTCTGCCGGATACGATAGGGTGGGTGCGGGGAGGGAGGGAGTGATGGAGAGAAAGAGGGGGGAGGGCGCCTGAGCTGAGCGGGTGGTTGAGTGGTGGTGAGCAAGCACATCATCATGGCGGCCTCGGGACCTATCTTTCTGTCTATCCTGTCTGTCTATCTGTCACATACCTACATACTCACCTTGTCTACCTACCTGTCACAAAACCAACTTGTCCATCATCCGGATCCATCACACGCGAGCCCCCACTCCCATACCTACCGCACAACAACAAGGCAACCAGGCAAACACCCGCAAGCAAGCCAAAAGCAAAATAAGAAAAAAAAAAAAAAAAAAAAAAAAAAAAAAAAAAAAAAAAAAAAAAGGAAACTAACAGGCTGCCACGCGGCCGCCCCGCCTATCACAATCACTACTACCCTTACCTGTCGACCAACCCAGCCAGCCAACCACCTAGTCAACCACCTAGTCAACCAGCTAACCAGCTACCTAGCTACCTGCCTGCTCGCCTGCCTACCAACATACGCACCCATATCGTGGCACCCCACCGCCCAGCGCCCGCCCAGCGCCCCCAACCCACTCTCCCCAAGCCCGAGCGATCGGGTCGGGACGGCGGCACGATGCGTCACGGCACGGCGCAGTGCCGGATCGAGATTTCGTGCGGGCTGGGGCTGGAGGCTGGGCACGCCGTGCAGCGGGGAGGCGGGCGGCCAGGCGGGTGCGGCACGCGAGGTGGGGGCCGCGGGGGGCCTAGGATGGGGGTTTTTGAGTGGGGTAGGTGTACTGTGGGTGAATCAAGGCGTGAGAGAGAGAGAGGGAGGTGAGTGAGTGGATGGATGGATAAAAAAGATGATGGATAGTAAGCGGAGAGAGAGCAGAGAATGGGATTAGAGGCGGATGTGTCTCCGTGCGGGGATGCCTCCATCTGCGTTTGCTTTTGCGCTTGCGCTCGCCCGTTGCCGGTGGTGGTGGCGACCTGCTGATGCTGCTGCTACTGACGTTTGCATGGCTCGCTCCCGCAGACAAGCCCCCCGGCGCGTGATGGGAGTTCTGGTAGGTGAACATGTCGATGGTGGAGGTGATGTGCTTCTTGCGCACGCACTCACTGATGCTTTTCTGTTCTCTACCTGCTTGTCTAACCGTCTACTGTGCTCTACAGCCACCTACCTGTTGACTCCACGCATGCGCGCCCGCAGAGCGCCATCCACTCGTGTCCAGTCTGGTCTACCTGCGTGGCTCGCGATTACGTCTTATAGCTCGCATGAAGTAAACCCCACGTGTGAAGCATAGAGCCTGGAGCGGTGCACATGCCTTCGCCGCGTCCGCGACTTCATTTATCGGACGGCGTGGAAGGAAGACACATAAAAGAGGTGAAGCTGGGAAAGCAGAGGAGGGAGAGGAGGGCAAGAAGAGAGGAGAAAGAGGTTGTTAGGTGTACAGATAGATGTCAAGAGCTGGACGTAGGAGGGCATCATCGGCGTAGAGGAGTGAGGCGTGCTGAGTTTGACAGCGAAGATGGAGAGAGAGCGGGAAGAGACAGAACGGTGATGTGGTGGCGGTGAGGGCGTCGAAGGACGGTGAGATGGAGAGAGACGGGTGCAGATGGGCAAACCCAGGGTCTCCTTACAGCAACAGCAGCAACGGGAGGACGAAGTCGAAACGATGTGCCGTCCTTCATTCTCCCGCACCCCTCGTTCCTTGCTTACCCGGCGACCTGGCTACTGGCGACGGCGGCGGGCGGGACGGGACGGCAGGCGCAGTGAGGCGGTGAGTGGAGGGAGTTGCGGCGGTGAAGTATGCAGACGAGAAAGAATGGAAGAAAAGCTAGGAGAATAAGGGGACCCGAGAAACGGGAGAGTGCAGCGCGAGGCGGTGAGGCGAGATGCGCTGCAGTGCAAGAGGCATCATGCCTGTTTCCGATCTTGGGTCACAGATGGAAGGAACGAAGAATGGAAGAATGGCGCGCCCACGGGAACCACTGGTCGATGAAAGAGATCGATAGTATGACAGCAGCCAATCTAGTCGTCCATAGGTAGGAAGTCCAGACCGTCGCGGCCGCGCGGGAAAACCATAGCCATTATCTCCCAATCTATCTGCGCCGAGACGTGGGATCGGGCGTGCACCCGCAGCCGCAGGGCAGGGAGAGAGGGGGAGAGAGGAAAAAGCAAATATGGGATCTCTGGAGAGCTGCACGCCATTGCTGCCATGCTTTCCCGCCAGCCAGTCATGGCAGTCGGGCACAACGGCTCTCTGGGCAAACCCGCGCAGTCGGAATCAACCCGCCGTGGCACAAACGGCAGTACTCCATCTAGGTACCTAGGAAGGGCGGGCTGCCGCGTCACGGCGCACGCCTTCCATGCCTGCCTGTCTGCTTGCCCGCCTTCCTAGAGTACATGGAGTACGAGTCCCCCGCCGTCGCCCCCCGTCCCTCCCCCGTCCGCCCGCCCGCGCGCCGGTTCGATCTCTGGTTCGTCCGTCCGCTTGGGCCGCCGCCGCTCCTGCTGCGTGCATGCCAGGGTGCGTGCGTGCCGTGCGTGCGTCTACTCTATGCAAAGCAACAACGGCGCAGCGCGACGGTAAGACTTCCGTCCCCATGTTGCCTTGCATACCGAGAGGTGGTGGATGGCTGGCTGGACGGACGGACGGGCGGCCGGACACTCACTTTGTTCTTTCTGGCTACGCCGTCGTAGCTCCGTTGTCGGGTGCAGACCATGCAAGGCCACCTACGCGTGTCGGTCCGCGGTCCGCGAGCATGCTTACCCACCTGGGCAACTACGTAGGTGTAGAACAGAGAGATTGAGTCGCAGATGGAGATCGACGTGTGCGACGCATGGTTGCCATCATGTCGTCACCACCGCCGCCCCCTTACCTCTACGCATCCGTACCTACCGAGGTTCGCTCCGGCGCCCGGTTTCAGAATGACAAAGACCGACGAAACAACAGCCAAAGCATCTTCTAGGAAAGAGTCCCTGGAACCGGCACTGCCACAGCACGGAACACCCCCCACCCGCGCCATTACCAGGGGACGCCGGGTTAGAGGGAAGGAAGGGAGAAAAACTAATAGAAAATAAGAAACTAGAAGACAAAAAAAAAAAATAAAAATAAAAATAAAAATAAAAAAGGAAAGAAAGAACAGAAAGCACAAAGGTAGCACGCCGAAACAAGACCAAAAACTGGCGGCGGATCCGCGGCTCGCCAGGGGCGCCGCGCCGGCTGCTGCACGACAGACACAGTTCGGTACGTACCACGACCGCGCCGATGGGACTAGCAAACTAGCTAGCAATTTTTTGGTTTGTTTTTTTGGCCCCCGTCCACGAGTCGGGCTTGCGCCACGGCAGGGCACGCGTGACTCGGTCGAGTGGGCCCGTTTGCTCGCTCTCGCTCTCGTGGAAGCCAAGAGGCCGAGGCCCGACACTTGAGATATAGGTAGAGGACACGGACGGGGCAGGCGCGGCTGGATATTAATGAAGTGTGGATATGCAGAGCAAACGGCGAGACCCTGGCGACAGGGGGTGCGGCGGCATGCATCAAGTGGGGGCAGGGGCTCATTCCGGGTCGCTGGGAAAAGAAGTTGTTTGTCTCAGAGGGAAGATATACTTTTGGGGGCCTTTTCTTCCTTTTTCCAATTCCCTGCTTTTTTATTTTATTTTATTTTTATTTTATTTTTTCTGATGGGCGGTGGGCGGGCGCGAGGGGGGTCCCGGCGAGGAGCGGAGGATGCGCGTTGCGTGCTGCGAGGGAGCATTGACACAAGGGTCCCGGGAAAGGCAGTAGAGTAGGTTCGTACTCGTACCTAGTGAATTTTTGTCATTGTTGCCGATCTCTCAGATCTGTGGTGCAGCAGCGGGTGGAGATCATTGGGAAAGGGGTGTCATGTTTAGAGTTTGGCTTCGCCCCGCGCCGTTGCTCATCTATGCGCCCGAGTCCGGGCGGCCGGGTTGCGCAGCCAGAGCCGTTCTCGCTTCCCCCCGGTCGGACGCACGATTCCAAATCGCCGGCTGACGATTGCTTGTGGCGGCCGTTGGGCAGCTGAATCGCCAACGGCCACCAGAGTATTTGTGTTTCCTGACCTGAGACCGGGGGCGCGATCCTGGTCCCCCTCCCGCCCGCCCACCCCGGTCGCACATCTGCACATCTAACACATCGTCCTTCCCGCCGATCTGGCTCGCCGCCTTCATATACCCGCCCGCATCCCCCCGTCCCTTCCCACCAATCTACTTTTACCCAAGTCTTGTCAGAGACTTTTACTACCTACCTACCTACCTACCTACCTATTTACCTCCCTCTTCTCCTCCTCGTCCTCCTACTCCATCACAACCACCACCATGCCTCCCTCTGCTCGCCGTGGACCTTGGTCCACCGCCGAGGACACGTACCTGCTCAACATCGTCGCCCAACAGGGTCCCCACAACTGGGTGCGCATCTCGCAGCTCGTGCGCTCCCGCACCCCCAAGCAATGCCGCGAGCGCTTCCACCAGAACCTGAAGCCCTCGCTCAACCATGAGCCCATCACCGCCGAGGAAGGTGAACTCATTGAGCGTCTCGTCAACGAAATGGGCAAGAAGTGGGCCGAGATTGCCCGCCAGCTCAACGGCCGCAGCGACAACGCTGTCAAGAACTGGTGGAACGGCGGTCAGAACCGCCGCCGCCGCATGTCCGACCGTCGACGCAGCAGCGACCAGCACTCCCACCCCGCTGCTGTCCAGGCTCAGCAGCAGCAGCGTCTGGATCCCTACTACTCTCAACACCAGCTTCACCATCACCATCACCACCACCACCATGCCTTGCCTGTTGCGCTCGAGCACCAGCCCACCTACGCTCAGGCTCCCGCCTACCACGCCGCGGCGCCAACGAACAGGCCCTCACCTCTGACCATCCAGCCCCACCCTGCTTATGGCACAAGGCCCTACGACACGCCCATGCCGTCACCATCCAGCCAGTCCATCGTGTCGACCGAAGGCGCACCGTCGCTCGTCACCGACAACGGCTCCGAGACCAGGTCACCGCATTACGCGGCCTCGCCCATGGAGCACGGCCTCCCTCTTCCACCACTGATCGGACGCCGTGACGAGCGTCGTCACTCGAGCGTCCTCTTCCTGTCCCGCGACGGCTCCTTCGTCACTGAGGACGAGGCGGCCCTTATGCAGCAGCAGCAACAGCAGCATGACAAGCTGCAGCAGCGTGACTGCAGACGCCTGCCTGAGCCTGCAGGCTACAGCCCGCGGGGCCCGGCCTTCCGCGAGCCCAACTACGCGGCTGCGAGGCAGATGCCGCACCTGACGCAGCCACTCGACTCTGCGGCTGCGTCACCCTCAGCCTTCCCCCACCAGCGTCAGCTGCCCGGCTTCCATACCCTCGCTGCTGATGCGGGACGTGTGCCTTACCTTCCGCCTGTCGAGAGCAGGTACCCTTCTCCGCCGCAGAGCTTCTCTCATGAGCGCCCGTGCTCGCCGCCTAGTGCGTCGAAGCCGAGCAACCTTGCCTCTCTGCTCAACTAAAGTGAGGCAGTATCCTCACTATCATTACCATTGTCATCATCATCATCTCTTATCACTATCTTTGCATAGCACCGGCGTATTATGACCTGGGCTTTTCCTTTTCCCTTTTCTCTTTTTTCCTTTTGTCTCGTACTATACCACATACACAAACAGTGACACGCATATACACACTCGCGCGCGTGTCCTTCTATTGCAGCACACGATCGATTTTTCTCTCTCCGTCTCTCTCCCCCTCTCTCTATCGCACAGAAACGCCAGCCATGACCCCATAATACAAAAAAGAAATCTTGTAATACGCAACGGCGGCGGGCCGCACAACACAGACGCAGAGAGCTCGCTGCGCAATCGTCGACTCCGGGGACGGCATTTTGTCAAATTGCATTCCATTATTTCATTGATGTTTCATTTTTTATCTTCTTTTCCGTTTTCGTACGTGTCTCATATATGGCGGCCTTATTCTTTGCAATGTTTTGTTGGTACTTTGGGCAGCGGCCACATCGGCAATCTGTTCACATACCATACGCTTTATAGCGAGTGCTGCTGGATACCCCCCGTCTTCACTTTCTGCCTGTGCAGGTCGCGTGGGTGGAGCTGGAATTGGAGCTGGAGCTGGAGATGCTGGAGGGGTTTATTGAGAGACGAGACAAGAGTAAAGACGATACAATAACAACAACAACCAATGAGAGCGACATAATCTTCACGATAAAGGTCATAATTTTCCGCACATTGTCGTGATATTCGTCATCATCGTCACTGACTCGGATATCATCATCACCACCTTCCTACCGGAGCTTCCCCCGTCCCTCTGTTCACTGAAACACAACTCCCCACAAAAGCGCGCCACCCCCTACCCCCTGCATCCCTTCCGAAGGCATGCAGCCATCATCCGTCCATCATCCATCCAGAATCCGCCGGCCACCAGCGCTAACGTGCTGGGATTCCAGAACCCCATTCTCCACAGCTCGCAGCACCCGCCGTTTCAAGGCTGCTCCACATGGAGCTCACATGCATAAACGGGCAGACGCGTGGGTGGATCGCTTTTTTTTTTTGCGTTTTCGCTAGGCTGAGATTGAGATGCCCGCGATCGCAGGGTCGCGCTGGGGTGGGATTGCGTGCTTAGCGTGAGGCTTAGCGTTCACGTGGAGAGGGGTCTGGATGTGAAGAATGAGAAGGAAAAAGGTTAGAAAGATGGGTACCCAAGAATGCGAACGGGTCTGGGTTCTGGGGTAGAGTCGTTATGGAAGGATTAATTAGGGATGGGGGAGGGGGAATGGAAGAATGACTAACGGAGAACGGAGAGTGGATGCGATGAGGGAAGGGCAGGGCAGGAACGAAGGGCGCAGGCAGTGAGTCACGCAGTCGCTGAGGTCATTTGGGGTTGGAGGGGTTTCCATGCGAGCGCTCGCACCGTGTGTATGCTGCCTTCCCTTTTTTTTTTTTCTTTTTTTCTTTTTTTCCACCCTTCTTGCTGCCTGGCCCTGGCGAGAAAAAGAGGCGGGAACGACGCTTGCTCGGATCCGGGTACGACGACGATGATGATGATGAGCGCAATTACACGTAGACAAGCACCAAAGCCCATCACAATCGACGTTAATCCCGCGCCAATCATTTGCTGCAGTGGCCTGGGCGTGGTCATCATCAGGGCATCCCATCCAGCCAGTCGGGCATGCTGGGCTCGCCACATAGCCTGTCTGGGCAATAATGATGCCCGTTCTGTGCGCTGATCTGCCTGCCTGGTCGAGACAGCAAACAGCCTCAGCCGCTATTTACTGACTAGCTACAATTCACCGACCCAGCTACCGGGGCTCGGACCGGAGGCGCGGGCTACAGCCGCCGTTAGAGCATTATTCCTCGTCCTTCAAGACGAGGCTGTGCCGAGGGCGAGGGCGAGAAGCGCCTCGCCCAGGTCAATAGACCAGAGGAAGCAGGAACAGGAACAGGAACACGAACCGTAGGTGCACGTACTCTCTCTAGAATACTTGCTCGTACGGGTGGCACAGCCAGCCTGTCGGCGAGGGTCGGGCGGCGGAGGGTCGGCGAGAAAGCCGCGTGACGGGCGCGTGACGAAAGCGCGCGCGCGGGTACGGGTCAAGAGAGACACGCGAGGTGGGAAAGCAAAGGCACAAAGGGAGAGTTGGCGCCGGTGGGTGGGTGGTGACCAAGGTTCAACAACGGCGGAACTATGGCCGGCTAGGCGTAGTGGGAGGGATCAGTTGGATTGGAGGCGCTCATTATGCACCGCCGTTTTTTGCATCAAGACGGCTAGCCGGGACAGAAGAGGGCGAGGGATGGAGCCTAGGTGGGGGCAAGGTGGAGAGCAGAGGCCGGATTAGGGCAATGGAGCTATTGGAATCAGGGGCTTTACGGGCTGAAAAAAGACGTTGTGGCGTCGAGCGTTGGGCCATGGTTCGGTTCGGCGAGCGCTGGATCGTCTCGCAGCGTGTGGGGAGGTGGAGCAGGTCGCGAGGGGGCCTGATCTGTCGATCGATCTGCGCGCGAGAAATTGCCGAGGCGCGCGCTGACGTTGATGCCGTGATGAGGCTCTCAACCTGACTCTTGCACCTCTGACCAACCACACCCGCTCGTCTCTCTCCAATCTCAATCTCTCTCTCCAACTTTGTTCCTTACCACTAAATGGCCTCGAGTCAGTATGCGCCCGCCGGCGGGGCGGTTGCTGTCCCGCCATGGAATACCGCCTGGCTGGTGAGTCCTGTGCTTCCTTCCTTCTCGGCCATACTATCAGAAATGCTGATCAGCTCCCCCCGCGCCCGCCAATAGTCGCAGCGCGACGCTGCTATTTCCATCCCCATCAACTTCGTCACCCGCCCTGCCGTCTCCCTAACCGAGGCTTGCTTCTCCAAAAACTCCTACCTTGATGGCCCGGCCGGCACGTGCCTGTCAAACCTCCTAGCCACCGGCTATCGTTCCATCATCGTCGACGCCTATTGGGACGAGAGCAGAGCCGTGTGGAGCCTGTGCCCAGCTGCTATCCCAGAGGCCGCCGCCAATGATGACGATAGCACCGTCCAAGTCGTCACCTCGACCTCGCAGGCCCAGCTGTCGTCGGCGCGCATGACTGGCAAGGCTCATCGTCAAGCCCGCCAGACCGCTTCAGGGGGTAGTGACAGCAGCAGCCATCAGCCAGCCACGCTGGCTGCGCCACCGGCCACCGGCCGGAGCACGGCCAGCTCGGCCAGCCCAGCAGCCCTGACCACCGCGTCCCTTGCATCGGGCGTTGCAGCAGAGGCCACCGCCGCCGCCGCCGATTCCAACCGTAAATCCGTCTTGCACATTGGCCCCTACACCTGCTCTTCCGGGCTGAGCGTATCGTTCATTGCCAATCTCATCGCCGATTACCTCGACGCCACCTCTGACACCCTGGCTGCCTCCGTCCTATTTTTGACCATCAACGTCCACGCCGCGTCGCCGTCGCGTTCTCCCACGCGACCTGCCTTGGCGCCTGCCAGCTCAGCAGTGCCCACCGCTAACAGCACGCTCAGCAACCTGCTTGAAAACGCCCTGTCGGCGTATCTGTACACCCCAACCCTACTTCGGGAAGATCGCGAGAATCTCAACAGTTCGTGGTATGCCTACAACGTGGGCCAAGGCAGTCGGCCGAATGAATCGTATTTCTCCACGACGCTGAATGCGGATGAGACCGTCTCCACTGCCGACGGTTGGCCAAGCGAAGGGTACCTCTTGTTTGGGCCCAACCACGATCGCGTGTTGGCTTCTTTCGGACGGATCGACCCGCAGATGGAAGCTTACGCGACCGATGTGGACCACTCCACTATCTTTCCGGCCGGTACGTTCGAGGCGAGGCGGGATGTAACGGTGACCCCATCTGGCAGTGTCGCCGACGGTTGCTTCTTCAACGCCAACGACACTCGCCTTGACAACGCCACAAACTCATCGTGGGCCACCTCTTCCGAGGGCCAAATTGCGGCAGTCGAGTCCGGAAATTTGTACAGTCCAGTAACGGCGTCGATCTCGAACATCACGGCATGCGGCGTCAGCTACCTCCTGAATCAGAGCCTCGGAATCGATGCGAATACCGACTATCGGCCGTACCGGGATATCGCCCTCAGTTCCATGTGGTCGTGGGCGCCCGGAGAGCCGCGGAATGTCACCAACCGGGCAGCCGACGCGCAGCTGCTGCGTTGTGCCACGATGCGCGCGGCCAATAACGGCCGATGGGTCCTCACCGACTGCACCGAAAAGTATCACATGGCCTGCCGTGTGCCCAGCGAGCCCTATACGTGGCGCATTTCCAATTCGAGCGCCGCGTACAACGACGGCGAGACGCGCTGCCCGGAAGGGACCTACTTTGACGTGCCCCGCACCGCGCTCGAAAACACGTACCTGCTGTCGGCGCTGCGGGAGAGTGCAGCCGCGGACCCAGAAGCCTTCGACCTGGACCTCGCGCTCTGGATTGACTTTAACAGTCTCGACACGCCGGGTTGCTGGGTGGTGGGCGCGACGACGAGATGCTACTACAACGAGCAAGGCGAGGAGGCCGAGAGCCGGCTCGTCATCGTGCCCACGGTCGCAGCCGTCATAGTCTTCGTGCTGGCTGCACTGACCGTGTTTGTCAAGTGCGCAGCGAACAGACAGACATCGCGGCGCGGGCGACGCAGGAAGGGCGACGAGGGCTGGGATTACGAGGGCGTGCCGTCGTGACGACGCCGTGCAGCGATGATCACTGGCTTGCTCGCCAAGTTGCCTGTCTGCCAGCCAGCCTGTTGCTGCTTGCTGCCGTTGCTGTTGCCGCTGCCGCCGCGCGATTGGACGATCGGCGATCTCGCGGACGCGCGGACGGGTGGAAGAAGAAAAGCCAGGCGAAGGGGCGGCAGCCAGGGCGTGACAGGGTAAGGCAGGGCAGGGCAGGGCACACACACAAGGGCAAGAGTATGGAAGCGAATGCGCGCGCACATTCGCACCCCGCTCCCGCGGATCTGACTCGCGCGTGCCTATCTCCACTCATGGACGCGCGCGTCCCTTGCCCTTTTTAATAATTTCAATAGCCTATACGCAAGCAAATCAGACTGCTAAAGGAAACCAGACTCTCGTGACGGAAAAAGCGTCGGCATGGCTAGCAAGAGGCACAAGGCACCTATCAGGAGCGGGCGCACATAAGCGGCGAAGCTGCACTCGCAAAGGCCGAACAGGTGCGCCGAGAACAGGAGGGGGGCAGACACAACGTCCTTAACTAGCTCGCCAGAGGCCAAGGCGGATCCAAAGCTATCGCCCGCGCCCGCTAGGCTTCTATAGGCCACACTCAAACGCTCCTCAGCAGCCACAAGCGGTAAGGCAAGCAAGCCCACACAATTCAGCTACTACCTACTTTGGCAGCCTTTTGTTCCCGCCAATATTGCACCAGCAGACAGTGGCTTCCAGGCCAAGGGCTCCAGAAAGCGCGTGCAACTCGACTTGGATCGGACACGCGCGAACACTGCGTCCTGCTAGACCACCACTGCGACTAGAACTGGCTAAACGACGTGCGGACAGACTCTCGATATGGCGCTGGTGGCTACGGCTCAAAGTAATTGCATAGGCGCGCGCTGTACAATACTCTTGCGAGTTTTTGTGTGTTCGTGCACCACGAGATTAGGGGAAAGGATGTCGTATGTCGCTGTCGATTGGCGACCACGGCAGTGCAGCTATGGACATGCCCGCTACTACGGATGGATGTTAATATGACAATTTCTTCTGAGATAAACACCCATCTATCAGCGCTCGGTGCGCGTACCGGTGGGACGGCTGACGCGCATGCACAGCCAATATGGCGCGGGACGACGAGGCGCCTTGAATTGAGGTCGTACTCTGCATTTTTCTCTTCGTGGCTCATCAACGCCTACGCAACCTCGGTCACTGAACTCTCATATGCACTGAGCACTCTGGCAGCGGATTAGATCGGGTTTTGTCAACGACGTATACTAATTCTTATAGGTAATCTCCAAATAATGATATTATCCTAATGCAAGCTCGACTTCCAACTGTTTCTCTGTCCGGGTTTCCAGTAAATCCATGATCTGAGTGGTTATATGGTTCGAAGTGTAACCTGTATACCTGGATATAAACATCTATTCACTACTATCCGACCCCTAGCAATTCCGTTGAAAAGGCACGCGCGTCTGTCCCGTGTATGCGAGTGGGTCGAGAACTACCTACTACAGGCATTTCCGTTGCTATTTTGCATAGGACCTTGGAAATATGAAAACTTTTTCTACCCGAAATTCGCCGGCGCGCACGATAACGCGGCCATCAAGAGTGGCGAGACACTCGACTGAGAAGCATCGGCGCGGCAAAACGATCCAACGCCCTGACGCTATCCTTGGTATTACACTGAGGGGAAATCACAGGGAGGGCACCTGATGAACGAGGCGGGTAATTTATACTTGCTGGGTTGTGCGAGTACAATCTAAGGCGCGCGTTGATTGAGGCTACAGTACATAGATTGGTACTCCTAGAGTACATGGTGCTTCCCGCCAGGCCGCTCCCGAAGAAAGGGTCCAAGGTCGGAATGGAAGAAAGTTGGCGTGCGGCTCGCAAAACAACCCCGCTCTCCGCAACAAAACACCCGCCCGCCCGCCCGCACTACCCGAAAGGGAGAAGAAGACACAAGGGTAAGTTGGTTTAGTAAATTAGACGTCCTGCCTTATTATTACCCTTCCCTCTTCTAGCGTGGGCGGTGGACGACGTTCTACGGCATCTCATCAATTGTGCCTTCCGTCATCCATACGATGAGCGTTGCATAGGTAGCGTTGCCTCTTGGGCAAAGCGGGTACCGGTGCCTCGCTCCCGGCTCGCGCGCGCTGTGGGTTGGTCAGGGCTGGGCGGGCACGGCTAACTGCCAGGCTGCCCACTGCCCACTGCCAATCATCATCATCGTCGTCGCCATGATCATCACCCACCAACAACCACCGCCATCATCATCGGCATCATCATCATCTGCAGTGGGGCTGCGGCTTGCGGCCTCGGCGGCGGCGGCAGCGGGCGAGCGGATGGCCCAATCCCACGCCCCGGCTGTTGGCTGTTGGCTGTTGTTATTGTTGGTGATGGTGGTTGTGCTGCCGCCCACGACGTCGTCGCAAGTCGTCTCTCCCCACTCCCACTCCACTCCACTCCACCCGCCCGTTCGTCGTTTCGAAAGCGCGCGTGCGTGCGTGCAACGGGGCGGCAGAGGACGCAGGAGGCCGCTTTTGGCACCGATGCTGCTGGGCTGGCCTGCTGCTTGCTTGCTTTGCTGCACGGCACCGCACGGGCCCCTGCTGCAGTTTGCATCTCCGGCTGCTGCTGCGCCCTGGCCCTGGTCTGTTGTTCTGAGCGAGTGAGCGAGGGCCGGCCACGGCCACGGCTCGGCTGCTGCGCATGCATGCATGCATCTATGCACCTACATACCTATGCATGCATGTGTAAGGTGCGCACGCACATGGCGGGCTGTGGAGTTGGTGGGTGGGTGAGAGAGAGTGGGGGGTGGGGGGTCTGGTATCTGGCTGGCCTGCTGGGTCGGTCTAGCCGCCGCGGCCGTCTGCCTGATTGCCTTGCTTGATGCGTGATCGATTGATAGGCAGACTGATTGATTTGATTACTCGATTGATCAATGCATGCGTTCGTCCCGCTCGCGCGCTCGTTCTCGTTTTACGTATGTATATACGTAGGCGCCTACGTACGTGGGGCGGCAGCGCGCGGCTCGTACGAGAGAGGCGGGCAGTCAATCTCGCAAGCTAGGTAGCTAGCTAGCTGTTCTGCTGCTGCTAGGTAAGTGCCGTACGCATGTGCCCGGGCATGTGGATGAATAGAGTGAGTGTAGACGAGAAAACGCGGGCTGGCGGGCGGGGGCAGGCGAGGATGAGACGGGACTTGGCACGCTGACTGGCGCGGAATGAATCCATAGTGAGTGTGTCTTGGTTGTTGGTGTTGATGGCTGGACGGCTGACGGGCTGAATTGGGTTGGGTTGGGCTGGTGGTGGCGGTGGGAGCTGGAGCTGGCTAATCGGCTCGCTATGTGTGTGTATGTACTTGACTTATTTTGGGGTATATAGTAGAGGATGAAACGGCAGGTGGCCCGGCGAGGGAGAACTTGAAAGCATGACTTTCTGTCTGTCGCTGCCCGTGTATGTATGTATGTCTTTGAATGTACATATGTGTACGTGACGTGCGAAGGGCTGGGGACCCTGGCGAGGGATGGAGCTGAAAGGGTTCTAGCGGCTGGCTACGTATTTACATTCCCCCGAGGCAATCTGATCTTATCTACCTATACCAGAGTACACAACCACAACCTTACCTCCCACGCTACCTTACCCGCTGCGCAACGCCGCACAGCGCAAGACAACCAAAACACCACACCGCCGCGCCCCGATAACGAGATTGCATTGTGCACCGTCCGCATTTGAGCGCTGCTGCTTTTTGGGCGTTTTTTTTTTTTTTTTTTTTTTCGGGTGTCGGAAAGACGTTGTGGGAGCGTGGGCGTGTAGTTGAGTTGAGACTGAAAGACGCGAATTCCGAACACCTCCTCACCACCATCACCACCTCCGCCAGCAACAACATCACCAGCGACGATGCTAGCGCTCCACCGCGCAGCGGCCGCAACAGCGCGCACGCCGCTCCCAGGCCTGCCCGCCTCACTCTTCCGCGCACAACTGCAAGCGTCAGCGTTGACGATTAAGCGTGGCGCGGCAGACTTCACGCACGCGGTCGTCGGGGGCGGCGCAGTGGGGCTGGCCGTGGCGCGCAAGCTGCAGCAACGCGAGGGCGCCGCGACGGTGCTGGTCGAGCGGCATGGCTCCGTGGGCACGGAGACGAGCAGTCGGAACTCTGAGGTGTGTGTGAATTTCTTTGTTTTTTGGATTTTCGGGTTTCATTTTTTCTCCCAACCATTTTTTCGTCCTTGCGTTTCTCATATTGTTTTTACCTTTTGTTTTTCCAGTTTTCATTTTTCATTTGGCTTTTGGTGGCTGTTCCGGCAGAGCTTGGTTAGCGGTTCTGGCTTATTGGTATCGATATTGATATCGTTATTGTTGAGCCATTTTCTTTTGGGCTTGGGGATGTGGCGTTGGTTGAGAATGTGGCGGTTACGGTTACGTTGAAAGGTGACGACGCAGGGTAAGCGTGGTAGGGACGGAAGTTTCTGGTGAGGATGCGAGGACATGGCCATGTGGGAGTGGATGCTTCTTTGTGTATTGGCTTTGGAGGTCATCTGCAGGTCTGAATACCTCGCCCTGTGCATGAAGAATTTTTAGCCATCGCAAGGACGGATGGCTTTCCATACCCGCGGGATCTGGTACCCCCAGTAGAGTAGAATCTTGTTCTCTACCCACGTGGCTTTAACGTCTCATCATGCACCCGGCCTTCCTCTCTAGGCTTACAGTCACCCGACTCTCATTCCTGCTCAAGTCTACATTCTCGTTTGGGACGGTGGCTAACACTGGTCTCGCGCAGGTCATTCACGCGGGTCTCTATTACGGGCCGGACACGCTCAAAACAAAACTCTGTGTCAAGGGCAAGAAGATGATGTACGACATATGCCAGAAGTACGCGATCCCGCACCGCAACTGCGGCAAATGGGTCGTGGCGCAAGACGATGCCCAGATGGACGAGCTACACAAGGTAAACGAATTCGCTAAGAAGATAGGCGTGCCAACCAATTTTCTTCCACTCGAAGAAGCTAGGCGCCTCGAACCCGACGTACGCGCGAGGAAAGGAATCCTCAATTCCCCGACGACGGGCATCGTCGACTCGCACTCGTACATGAAGTTCCTCGAGGGTGATTTCGAAGAAGCGGGTGGCATCTGCGCCTTCCACTCTCCTGTGACGCGGGTTAACCCCATCAACGGCGGGGCCGGCGGATGGGAAATCTACACAAAGGCGCCCGACACGGGCGAGGAGACGTGCATCACAGCCGAGACGCTCATCAACTCGGCCGGGTTGGCAGCCATCACACTGTCCAACTCAATCTTACCGGCTGAGCGACACCGCAAGCCGTTCTACTGCAAGGGCTCCTATTTCTCGTACTCGGCGTCGGGGCCTCGGCCCTCGGTGCTGGTGTATCCGGCGCCGCGCGCGGGACACGGCGGCTTGGGCACACATCTGACGCTGGATCTGGGCGGACGCATCCGCTTCGGGCCCGATGTCGAGTGGGTCGACGCGCCCGATGACCTGCGCGCCAATGGGGCGCGCCTGCCCGAGGCTCTCGACGAGATCGAACAGTTCCTGCCATCCATTGAACGTGATGCTGTCGGACTAGACTATGCGGGCGTGCGTCCGAAGCTGGGGAGAGCGGGCGCTACGTTTAGTGGTGGGCAGGGCGGGTTCCAGGATTTTTACATCCGCAAGGAAGAGGGATTTGAGGGCTTTGTGAATCTGTTGGGCATCGAGAGTCCCGGGCTGACGAGCAGCTTGGCCATTGCGGACGAGGTGGATGAATTGCTGTATGGGTGAATTATATAGACTTTGTAAAATAGGTATAGTTGTATATATACAAAAGTAGGAGTAGTTAGTAGTGGTGGTGCAGCCGATTCCACTGTGGCGCGGCCAGGGCCCTCGCTTAGTGCCCGACGTCACTGCGATGAATCTTAGCAACGCGGTACTTCCGGCCCTGCAGGTACGCCGCTCTACTCGACTGTCACCGCTGCTGGCAACAAATGCGCTCTCGTGCTCTGCGTCTGTCGCGACCCCAGCTTCATGAGCCCGCTTCTTGCGACCCGCCCGCTGTTTCGCTTTCCCTTTCACTAACACCACCCCGCGGCGAACGTCCGAACGGTAGCACTGCTCCATCATGGAGCGCCAACGCAAGCGTAAGCACTGACTTGCCACACCCGCCGCAACTTCATAGCTAACGGATTCTAGGTGAGCTCCGCGAGCTCAACGAGAGGGCCTGGGCCGGCGAGAAGGGTATGCTTGCCTTCAGCCGCCTCCACACGCCCACCTCCCCAAGCTGACCCCGGCCACCGCAGATGTCTTCCCCGTCCAATCCTCGCTCGACTCGTCCATGAAGAAGAACACAGCCTTCATCAAGCGCCTCCGTACCGCCATTACTGCCGCTTCGCAAGCCACGTTCCTCCAAGAAACCCGCTCCTTATCGCTACACAAATACCTGTCGGAGATCATCTCGGCCTGCTTCGAAGGTCTCTGCAGGTGCAAGTCGCCCGGAGAAATTGCCGCCGGTGTTGAGATTGTCAGCGCGCTGCACCAGCGCTTCGGGCCGGCTGAGTTCACAGGCTACATCGGGTGGCACGTTGGGCGCGGCCTGGCCACCCCGGACAAGGCGCACCTGAAGGCGCTGCCGCAGGACGTGCGTGAGCGCGAGGAGAAGGAGCGCCTGGCGCGCCAACGGGTTCTGCTGAGAGTTGCGACCGAGTTATGGCTGGTAGGCGCCTTGAGGAGTCTGGACGATGTCGTCAGGCCCGAAGAGGCGGCAAAGGCCAAAGAGAATGTGAAGGGCGATGGCGTTTTAAAGACCAAGGCTGGCGCTAATGGTACTAAGGCTGAGCACACAGATGCCGAACCGTTCCCTCTGGAAGTTCTGAAAGACATGCTGGGCCACGATCGCGAGCATACAAATCTTCCGCTGGTGGTCATTTTCGTCAAGAGCTTCGCTTGGGATATATTGGGCGTCAATTCGGTCTCTGCAGATGGTCGCAAATCTGTAAATGAAGATGGTACAATGTCCGCTTCCAATGGCGAGGGCAAGGAATCAGCTGCTGCCAGCGACGAGGACATGTCTTCCCAGGATCCGCCCATGACCCCGCCGGAAATGCGCCAGCGCTTCAGGAACATTCTACTCCGTTACTTTGAGGACGTCAAAGCCCATCTTGTCAGAGATCAGAAAACACTCGTCAGCCAGGGCAAACGCAATGCCGAAGCCTATGTCAAATCCGGCGAGGTATTCGAGGATCGCCAATCCAACTACGAAAAGCAGGTCAAGGCCCAGGAAAAGCTGTTATCGAACGCGCAGGTTTTGGCCGATGCAATTGGTGCTGAAATGCCGGATTTGAAGGAGAAGGACTCTGGTTCGTCTACTGGAGATGGCAGCATTGGCCTGGTTAAAGCCGGAGAATACTTGCGCGGCCAAGGAGAGGGTCCGGGTATTTGGGAGGATGAGGAAGAGAGACGCTTCTATGAAAATTTGATTGATTTGAAAGACCGTGTTCCTGGTATTCTGCTGGAGGAACCCAAGAAAAAGAAGGCCGATACCGACGAACAAGTGGGAAAGCGCAAAGACGAAGAATCCAAGGAAAAGTCTGAAGAAAAGAGCGCTGATGCCACTAAACCTACGGAGCTTGATGATCAATCAATGGCCATTGCAAACAAATCTGTCGGAGCGCAGGTTGACGCTCTCCTGGCCCGTTTACCCGAGTTTACCAGCAAAGACCAGGTCGATGAGACGGCCATAGAGTTTTGTTTCCTTAACTCCAAGGCGTCTCGCAATCGCATGGTAAAGGCGGTCTCCGAGATTCCCAAGGGTCGTTCGGACCTGCTCCCGCTTTACGGTAGGCTCGTGGCCACACTTGGCAAATATATGCCCGATGTGATCCAAGGGTTGGTAGCATACTTGGACGATGAATTCCGGAGCCTCCAGCGCCGCAAGCAAAAGGATTTCCTTGGTCAAGTGCGTACAATCAACGTACGTTACCTTGCTGAGTTGACCAAGTTCGGCGCTGTACCGGAACATGTTATTTTCCACTGTTTGAAAGTCAGTTTGGATGACTTCTCGCGGATGAACATTGAAATTATCTGTAATCTTCTGGAGAATTGCGGTCGCTACCTCCTAAGGAACCCAGAGACTTCGCCTCGCATGAATTCGTTCTTGGAAACCTTGCAACGCAAGAAATCGGCACAGCATTTGGGCCAGCAGGAACGTATGCTTATCGAAAACGCGATGTATTACGTCAACCCTCCGGAACGTGCTGCTATCGAGCAGAAAGAGAGGACGCCTTTGGACTTGTTCCTCCGCAAGCTTATTTACCTCGATCTCACTAAGCGCAATCTGGACAAGGTCGTCAAGCAGATCCGTAAGCTGCATTGGGAGGAAGACGAGGTTGTTACGCTTCTCATCAAGATTTTCACCAAGCCCGGCAAGATCAAGTACAGTAACATTCACTTGCTCGCCGTCATTCTGGGTTCCTTGAACAGGCACCACCAGGAATTTTGCATTTCGGTCATCGATGACCTTCTCGAGTCCATAACTTTCGGCTTGGAGCTCAACGACTTCAAGTTCAACCAACGTAGGATTGCCGAGGTCAAGTATCTGGGTGAACTGTACATTTATCGGATGGTGGACTCGCCCGTCATCTTTGATACGTTGTATAAGATTGTGACCTACGGGCACGGTAAGTATTGACTTCCGATAAAGAGCGGTGCTACAATGGCTAACACAAAATAGAGGGAGGCACTCCTAAGCCAGGTGCCATCAATCCACTTGACCTTCCTGATGACTTCTTCCGCATTCGTTTAGTGTGCAACCTGCTGGAGACTTGCGGCATGTACTATGACAAGGGTCAGGCAAAGAAGAAGCTCGACTTTTTCCTCACTTTCTTCCAGGTAAGTAAAACGTACGTATTTAAATAAACGAAGCTAAGTAAGGTAGTATTACATCTACATCAAGGACCCTTTCCCAATGGATGTTGAGTTCATGATCCAAGACGCTTTTGCCCTTACCCGCCCTCAGTGGAAACTTGCCACTAGCCTTGAGGAGGCAGGAAATACCTTCGCCGAGGCAGTCAAGCAAAACTATCAACTCCAGGCTCATGAAAGGAACACGGAGGCCGACGAGCCAGATGAGGACTCCGGATCCGAGGATGGTCGCGATGCGGGCGATGATGAGGAACTCGAGGGCCGTGGACACGACGCTGGCGGTTCCGGAGAAGAGAGTGATGTAGGTTCAATCAATCCCTTGGCTACTCATCTCACAAAGAACCAAATGACAATTTACAGACGCAAAAGACTGGCCCCGAAGACGAACAGGACGAGGAGGAAGGTGATGATGAATCCGATGAAGAGGAAGAGGAGCACATCGTCGTCACCCGCCCTGAGGACGAGAGAGACCCGGAGGCTGATGCTGAATTCGATCGCGAGCTTGCAAAGATGATGGCTGAAAGCCTGGATTCGCGCAAGTTCGAGCGCAAGCCCATACTCGACATGCCATTGCCCATGCGCCGCGCCCGCGAGGCAACGTCTACTGATGAGGGCGAAACAGCTGAGAAGCAGACGCCACCGGGAATGATGAAGTTTTCACTCCTCAGCAGGAAGGGAAAACAGCAACAGGTTTGGAATTTGATACTTCGCTTTCTCCTTGGTGATGTAGTTGACCTAATTTCTTCTAGACTCGATCCATCGACCTGCCGTCGGACTCCAACTTTGCTGTGGCCATGCGCACTCAGAAGGAAGCCGAACGTGCCGAGCAGCAGCGCATCAAGAACCTCGTCTTGAACTACGACCTCAGGGATGAAAACGACGATGGTGAATCCGCCCTTTATTACGACCCTTTGCGCGCGAACTCAAACACACGCGCCCACTTTGAGAACAACAATGCTGAGACGACAGACAACAAAGGGCTCGACAAAGCCCACAATCCGTATACGATGCCGCGCCTCGACAAAGGCGGCAATTCACGCGGCGGCCAGAGGGCCAGGAAGTTGCAACTTAGCGATGTCGACTGGTATGAAACCAACCCTTTGAAGAAATCTCAGCGTCGCGATTCCGTGTTGTCCGAGGGCCGGAACCCGTCGGGCGACGGTCGGTCGTCCGGCTCGTCCGGCTCGTTTCGCAAGAATGGACAGCCTAGGCGGAGCCGTCGCTGAGGTGCGCATCATACAACGTCAGGAAGGACTAATAATTGCGGGCACAACTGCCCGGGTGCAGGACTTGATCGACGATGACCGATGGCGCAAGGTACTTATGGTTCCTTCTCGACAAGCGCCAGCCTGCGAATCTCGAATCCTCGATAATAGCAACCGACTTCACACTGCAGCTATGCCACGTATGCGCCCCGGCCTGACTAGCACGCGCACGTACCCTCGGGCATACAGTCGCGGGTAGGGACGGTCGGCAGAGACACTCAACCACCCCAAGGCAGCGTGCGTTGCTGACCGGTAACGAGCGTATGTACCAACCACCTCACTCACCCCTAGCGCGACGCAGCGACCTCGGCGAAACCAGACCGACGCCAGACTGCGCGTCGTCCAGCCGGCATCTTGGAGGGCATTGAAGATGCGAGAAAACGCCACTGGCTGCGGTGGCGGGCCAAGAGGGTGAGCGGATGGCTTCATGTGGGGGGTGTTGTCGCTCGCGCCTAGATATCTTCCATCTCTTCTTCTCCACGCTTAGATTGCTGTCTCGCGATGGCTTGGTACTCGTCTTATCTGTCTGTTTACTACTTAGTGCTGCTGCCTTGCCGTCATTCGCCGTGACATTGCTCGTGCTTTTGTCTTGTTATTTTAATTTTGTTTTCCCTTTGCTTTTCTTCATTTAGGCCATTCATTTTCAACTACCTACCTAGTGCTTGCCAACGCACCAACAGTCACTAGTTTCTTTTTTAATGGCCTTACGCTATGTTGAGATAGGCTGGATAAGCTGCAAGCAAACGCACGGGCACGCATAAAATATTCAGCCCCCCCGTCTTGACGCGAATGTGTGAGAGGAGGTTGGAAGAACCCTATGCGGGAGGAGAGAGATGATGACGTAACAAGTGTCAGGGTCTGCGGTGCATGTTTCTCGTGGACCCTATTGCGGTATCGTGTTCGTATCCACGGCGCTATATCTCTAGCGCCCAGAGCAAGATTGGCGAAGGCGCTCGGCAGCGTCCGCGATCACCGAACGATTAACAGGTTTGTGTGTGTGTAGAGTAGTGTGTAGTGTAGCGTGTAGTGTGTGTGAGGCGGCATGTGTTCTGGGCCGGTCAACGGGTCAGCACGGTGCATAAGGCTGCACTGCAATCTTGGGGGTACATAAGCGGAGAGGGCAAATGGCGATGGGCGGGCACGTGAGGGTTGCAGAATGGGCTGAGGTGAGGCTCAAACAGACCGCGACTCTCGTGATGTTGATGCGATTGTGGGCGTTGGCCCCCGGAGATGGATCTGAACGAGGGCGAAGAGTCAATCTTAATTTTCGCTCAGGAACGCGGCGGTGATAGGTCACGGAAGAGCAGAGAGCCGAGCTCCCGCCGTGGCGCCATCCATGGACCTTTCGATTCCCATTATTGACCCTCCGCGCCCGTTGACCCTGCCCTCGCGGCTCCCACACTCCCTTTCCCAGCTACTGTCGTTCTCGCGTCTGCTTGCCGCGCACGGTTGCCAGCAGTGGCCTCCTGTCAACAAATTTCCCGGCTATACCTCGACAACACTACTACTTCCTATTCCTCATCCTCTTCCTGCCTGCCCGCAACCATGGCAGCTGTCAATGCCACTTTCGCCTCGCCCACGGCCGACGCTCAGTATGCCCCGGAGCTCACGCCCCAGGCCATCAACGGCCTCGTCAGCCGCCTGTTCACCGGCATTAGCGGCTGGCAGATAGTCGTCACGCTCTTTGCCATGCTCGTCGTCTACGACCAAGGTTCGTCCCGCCGCTTCCTGCCCCATTGGGCCTGCTGCTGACGCGCCGCTCAGTCAAGTACATCTGGAACAAGGGCCCAATCGCCGGGCCCGCCCTCAAAATCCCCTTTATCGGTCCCTTCCTCGAGTCCGTCAACCCCAAGTTCTCGGCCTACCACGCAAAATGGCTGTCGGGCCCTCTGAGCTGCGTTTCCGTCTTCCACAAGTACGCCCCTGTCCACCGCGCGCGCCTCTGCAATGGCTGACAAATAGCTCAGGTTCGTCGTCATCGCCTCGACGCGCGACATGGCTCGCAAAGTCTTCAACTCGCCCACCTTCGTCAAGCCCTGCGTCGTCGACATTGCGCACAAGCTGCTTCGCCCGGAAAACTGGGTTTTCCTTGACGGCAAGGCCCACGTCGACTACCGCAAGGGTCTCAATGGCCTCTTCACCCGTCAGGCCCTGGAGATCTATCTCCCGGGTCAAGAGGAGATCTACAGCAAGTACTTCCAGAAGGCGCTCGACATGACCGCGAAGAACGACGGCAAGACCATGCCCTTCATGCACTACTTCCGCGAGTTCATCACCGCCGTTTCGCTGCGCACCTTTGTTGGTCACTACATTCCCGATGAGTCGGTCAAGAAGATCGCCGACGACTACTACTACATCACCGAGGCGCTTGAGCTGGTCAACTTCCCCATCATCCTTCCCTTCACCAACACATGGCGCGGAAAGAAGGCCGCCGACATGGTTTTGGACGAATTTGCCAAGTGCGCCGCCAAGAGCAAGGTCCGCATGGCTTCGGGCGGTGAACCAGACTGCATTCTCGACTGCTGGGTCAAGTCTATGATAGAATCAGAGGAGTACAACCAGAAGCTGGCCAAGGGCATTGAGGCTCAGAAGCCTGCGCAGGTCATCCGCACTTTCACGGACCTCGAGATCTCCATGACCATCTTCACTTTCCTCTTCGCTTCTCAGGATGCTACCTCTAGCGCGGCCACCTGGCTCTTCCAGGTCATGGCGGACAGGCCCGATCATTTGGACAAGATCCGCGAGGAGAACCTGCGCCTCCGCAACGGCAACCGCGATGCCCCGATGACGATGGAGATGATGGACAAAATGACATACACTCGCGCCGTTGTCAAGGAGATCCTGCGCTACAGGCCTCCCGTCATCATGGTCCCCTACCTTGCCAAGCGCGACTTCAAGATCAGCGAGGACTACACGGTCCCCAAAGGTGAGTGAGCACGCGCCAGGCGCACAAGCCCCTTCAGACAAGCAATCAATAAACTAACAGTTTCGGATGCACAGGCTCCATGGTCGTCCCGACGACGTACATGGCACTGCACGATCCCGAGGCGTACCCCAACCCCGACAGCTTCGAGCCCGAGCGCTGGATCACGGGCGACGCCGAGAAGCAAACCAAGAACTGGCTTGTCTTTGGCACCGGCCCGCACTACTGTCTCGGCCAGGTCTACGCCATCAACAACCTCATGGGCATGATTGGCTGCGCCTCGATGAAGCTCGACTGGAAGCACAAGGTCACTCCTCTGTCGGAGGAAATCAAGGTCTTTGCGACTATTTTCCCGCAGGTACGTTCATGATCACCAATCCCGCATTTAGCCGCGAGTGAGAACATTGTAAGCTGACATGTACCCCTCCAGGATGATTGCCACCTTGCCTTCACCCCGCGCGCTTAAATCCGCGGCGCGGTTGCCCTGCGGGCTTGCTTGCTTCGCGTCACGACCGCCGACGACCGGGGCCGACCCTGAAGGACTGGCCGGCTCTCGAGCCACGCTCGACACCACCTTCGGGGCGGCCCCCTTTCTCTCTTATACTGCATCCAGGCGATTCAAAAAAGCCTCTTGCGTTGTTCAAGAGCATTACACTACTACTACTACTATACTACTGCTGCTTTTTGCTGCTAGTGTTACTCCCCCCCTTCTCTAATACCGTTGACAAATCTACCTATCCTTCTGCTTCGTTGCACTCCCCACCTTGTCCCATCCTTCCTCCCCTCTCAGAAAAGTCTTGTCTTCTTCGCGTAGATCTTGCATCTTCCCAGCCGCGCACATGCGCGGGGCCTGCCCCAAGCGCGTTGCGCGCGCGTTGGTGACTACTGTGACGGCGACGACGACGACGACGACGGTGGTGTGTTTGTTTGTTTTTGTGATTTGCGCTTTTTTCTTGTCTGGGTTTTTGGCAACGGCGGCAGCGGCCGCGTTGTGTAGGAGGCACTGGTGTGTGGCCTGTGCGGGGAGATAGAGATGGAGATGAGATGCAGATGAGGGGGCGCGATTAGGTGTGGATAATTTAGAGCGGTACGCCGCGCGCGTGCGTGCAGTGTGGTGCTTGCGCGCAGTGCAGTGTGGGCTGGGCTGATGAGTGGGGCAGACCGTTGAGGCCCTCGCCGCCGCGTGCGTGTGTGCGTGTGCGTGTGCGTGTGCGTGTGCGTGCGCGGGGTCTGGCTCTGGCTGCGTGCGTGCGTGGATGGGGTCGCGTTTGGAATGAGATGATGCTGCTTCTGCTTTACGGGCTGCCTGCCTGCTGAAACTGCCTGCTATTAGTTAATGCCGCGTGCTGCTTACATATTATTTCGCGCTCTTATCTCCATTTCGGTGTTTTTCGTACTTTAGCTTGCTTTAATTGGCTCTTGCTTTGGTGCCTTTTGCTGCTTATGTTGTTGCTGCTGCTGCCGCTGTCACTGCCAGTAAGTACATAGGTATGTACTTCCCCGTCGTCTGTGGTTGTAGCCCTCCTTCTACGTTTTCTCGTTTGCGGGGATAATGTCCGGTTTGTTTGTTTTTGTATCCGTTTCTGTCTTTCTCGCTGTCTCTCTCTCTCTCTCTCTCTCTCTCTCTCTCTCTCTCTCTCTTGGGCGTTGAGACGATTCCCGACAGGTCGCGAGGGCTTGGCTGGCGATGTAGGAGGATATTGCTTGAGCTTGGCAGTAAGCGGGGATGTATGTACCTATGGATCGATAGGTGGGCAGAGGCGAGACGAGGTGGTTTATTAGTGTGGGTAGGGCGTATGAGAGCTTGTGATGGGTAGGTAAGTAGGTGGGTGGGTAGGTAGGATGTAAGAAAGGTGAACCGCTCTTCTGCCGACAGCGTAGCTAAGGTAAACGGTTTTAGAGGTATGAGTGTGGTAAGATGGGGCATGCGGATGAGATGGGATGAGTCGAGTATTTTGGTAGAGTGTGGGAAGCTGTGGCATGGAGGGAGGAAGAAGGAGAGGAAGAAGGAGAGGAAGAGGGAGGAGAGGTAGGTACGTAGGTAGATAGATGGGCAGTCAGGGGTGAATGTAGATAAGCTGACGGACGTACAGCGACGCAGGTAAGCAAGCATGGGGATGTGGGAGACGCATCGCCTGCTGTCGGCCTAGCGGACAGTGCCGTTCTACGGCGCGCAGTGGGATGTCAGATCTTGTGAAAAGCCAACACAGCCTAGGCTTCATTTTCTACCTTACGGTGCCGCTACTTATAGTTTTAGCATGCCAGTTTAAATTTTCTTAAAACTGTGTTAAGCTGAAACCCGTTTTATAGAATAAACTCGTTTTAGAAAAATATACTTATATTAAAAATTAAAACTAATTAGCTGGTTATCTATCGTCTTTTCTAAAACTATTTTGGAAAGGTAAGACTATACTAAAACCGTGGGGAAAAACCGTTCATGAAGTGTTTCTAGAAAAAGACCGTTTCAACTACATGTTACCTTATAACCCGTGTTAACCCCGTTTCTAGTAGGTTTTAACACAGGCTTATTAAACGACTAGGACGCTGTAAGGAGTACTTCTTGTAATTTCGGTGATATATATACCTAGAGTCGTTATCACCATTTTTCGAAGATGGCTAGATAGGTACTTAGGTACCTATAATAGATAACGCTTACTAGGATCTTCTTCCCTGCCTACCTATACATAGGCAATACCCCGTAGCCCATCTAACCTACCTACCTAGGTAAGCTTTACTTATACTTTTTATAGTTCTGGTGATAATCGCCACCTTCAGTGAGAGATTATTGGTGGTATTAGGTACAAAATTCAGAAATGAAACTTAGGTTAGACGAGCTTAGTGTACTTTAGAGGGTACTTAGGTCCCTATACTAGGTACCTTACGCTGTAGTCGCCTGGTTTGTCATGCTAGGTAGGTACTCACTTGCTAGGGTACTGCCAGCAAGAAGGGTAGAACCTAGGGAGCGTAACGCAGAACACCTAGTAGATAACCCGTCTATTACCTAGTAATCGGTTGCCTAACTGGCATTGCGGTGTCCGTGGTGTGTTCGAAGTGTTAAGATAGGTGCCTACCGGTAGTCGCAGCGGGAGTGTCCCCGCCGCTGAGCCAGCGGCTCTATAGTTTCCACTAATACCTAAGGTAGGTACCTAGGTACCTATGCTACGGTCGATTATTCGGATGCCACTCGCCTAGAGGTACCGTCCTCCCCCATCAATGGGAGAGACGAGAGAGAGAGAAAGAAAGAGAAAAGAAAGAGAAAGAGAGGAAGAAAGGCACAAAAGAGGGGGGGGGTTTATAGTCGAAAAATTTGCGGTGTGTGGTGGAAGAGGAAGGAGGGACGGGGGCAGGCAGGTACCTACCTGGGATATGGAGAGGGAAGGAGTGATAGCGTTAAGAGGAAGGAGAGATGGTGTGAAGAAGAAGGCGCGGTAGCAGTAGAGGCTGCTTCCTCGGTGGCGAGTGTTCCTTCTCTGCTTTCACCTCCGTAACTGCCCGTAATTCTTGCCCCAGGTAGGCACCTGCCTTCTTCTCGCCCGGTCATCTGCTTACCTACCTACCTACCTACCTAGGTACCTACCTGGTCGCTTCGCCACACCTTCCGTACCTAGGCAGGGAGGGTGGTAGACGCGCAAGCGCACTCGAGCCTGCCTGCCTGCATGCGAGCCTGCCCGCCTTCCTGTCTGACTGGCTGCCTCGTCTCTTCCACTCCACATCCAACCTACCTACCTGTCTCCACCGCACCTCCATGGAAACGGCCATTGGCGCGGTAGCCGCGGCAGCAGTTCAAAATCACTAGGTAGGTACCTACCTACCTAGGTATCCCCTCATATCTGCAATACCCCCACCCAAACAAGGCACAAACTGCATCTCCTCACACCCATTCTGATAGGTGCATACCGCAAAATGCACCGCAATCACAACGCACCGTCTCTGTTGTTGCTTTTTAAGAGAAATTTCATTGCCCTTGATGCGATGCTCGCTGAATGTGGGAATTGTCAGGGAGGGCAGGTCGTGTAGGCAGGTGCCAGGGAGGAACCCATCTCGGAGCGTCCGAGGACCGGGAAGGCGGGACGGCAGAAAGAAGGGAACGAAGGGAGGGAGAGGGAAGGATGGGCGTTGTATATGTGAGCCATCTAGCTGCGCGCACGATTAGATTAACGGCACGGCTGTACATATATGGGCCTCCATGGCGCGGAACGGCGTGGTTGCTTCGACGGGAATGTCTGTCCGTCTGCAGTGCATACATACATAGGTACCTTAGGTCCTCTTGGTGGCAGCATTACAGATTTGGCGGCGGGACGCCCCTTTTCGCCGTCTGACGGTCGACCCGATCGGAGGGCACGCTCTCGCGCCCCGCCGTCGGCCGGGCCAGCGGATATAACCTGCCTTTACGTGTGATGTGTGTCGCCTCACTTTGGGGCAGGAGACTCACCGACTCTCTGCGCGGTGGAGAGAAAGATTGTGTGTGTGTGTGTTGTGTGTATATGCAACGCCAACACAGCGCGCATCAGGAATAAAGCATAATGATAATACGTGAGAGTGATAAGAGGAGGGATATGGGGGGTTATAGGTATGACGATGAAAAGGATGATGATGAGAGATGTTAAGCAAAGGGAAACGAGAGTGTAGCACACGGCTTCAAAGAAGCTCAGCGACCGTTGAGAAAGCCGGTGAGATGGAGATCTGAGACAAGCGGACACAGCAGCATGGAGTGGTGGAAGGTCACCATGAACCTCACCGGGCAAGCACCAAGCACCAAGCTTCCCAGTGTGTCGGGACAGGCAGAAGCAGGTCATTTCCGACCCCACGCCCCGTTGCTTTTTTTCTTTTTCTTCTTCCTTATGCCCACTGGTGGCAGGGCAGATGGCACGGCATGAGATCTGTGTGTCTCTGACCTGAGACAGTCCTGTCGCGTGACCTGGCTGCACGCATGACGGGGGGTGTGACTTGTACTTGAGGACGACGAAGCAGCAAGCGAGCCATGTAGGGTCGTTCTTTCGTCCTGCATCCTGCGCCCCTCCAATAGCGCCCACAGCCAGCGCTCTGATCGATCTGGACTGCGCGCGGAGCGAGCGCTTAACCTGCTCTAATTACCCTGTCTTGCCTCCTCCTCCTCCATCCATCGTGGCGCAGGGATCCGTCTCGCTCGCCTCATCCCTCCCTCGCCCTGTCCTGTCCTGCCCTGCCTTGCCGAACGAGGGGGAAAGGGACGAGGGACGAGGGACGAGGAACAGGAACCCAGGGCCATCTCTTCATACCATACCTGCTAGGTACCGCACCGCGTCTTCCCCCACGCCACGCACGCACATTGCTCGCGCCGATCTAGCATCCCCGCACGTGCAGACCGGGGCCTGTCTGTTCGCCCGGCCCATCCCCCCATCTCATCTCGTCCTCCGACACCCACCATGATCCTTCTCCCGGCACGCCGCCTCCTCAGCCATCCCGCAATCACGGTACGGTACGGTACGGTACGGAAGCCCCATCCGGCGCCCTCCATGCCACTACTCCCGCTCCGCCCGCTTACCCACATACACACCGTGTGATTCTGCGTTGCTAGATCTCCCCTAGCACGCGCTAGACGCGTCGTGTCCTGCCCCGGCTGCATCGGCAGCTCCGTGTTCCACCAACGCCAGCTGCCTCGAGGGCGCGGCGCATTGAGGTAGGCCAACGCCCAAGTGCATGGCGCCGCGCCAATGGGCGGCCGGGCCCGGGCATCTGAGGTGAGATGCGGAAGCAGGAGAGGACCCAAGTGACGAATGAGAGGAAAGAAAGCAAAACGCATACGACTTTTGAAGCGGAGCTTGGCCGCGGACTTCTAAGGGGGGCCTGCGATGTACACTTGGTCCGTCCTCCTGACGTGGTTCTGGGCGCAAAATGACCTACCGGTTGTCCCTGACGGCGCTGAAGACGCGCCTGAGCGGCTCGTATACGCCGCCAAACCAAGACATGACACCCGCACCGCCGCTGCCGCCAGACCGGCCCAAGTACCACGCTATGAAACCGACCAGCACGGCAAAGGCAATGCCGCGCGCCGGCTTCCTGTACCGGTACAAGCCCCTCCGCGCGCCCTTGACCACGGCCTGGTATGCCTGCGCACGCCGCACCTGCGCCGTCTGCTTTGCGAACAGCGCCTCCCCGTCTTGCAGTGTCTGCTGCGCCAGCGCTTCCGTATCTTGCGTCGTCTTCAGCACGCTATATTGCGAAATGGAGCTCCATGCGCGCGAGGGCAGGGTTTCGGGTGGCTTGCGCTCGCGCAGTGACACGGACTCGGCTATCAGGTCTTCGATGTGCAGGGGGTGGGGGAGCTTCGAGAGTGTGAAGTGGAGCATTTCGGGCTCATCCGAGGAGATTTCTAGCAGCTCGTCTTTGCGCGCGAGGATGATCTAAGCGGGAGTCAGCAGGAGCACGTACATAGCTGGTCGTCGTGGGAGCTTACTGCCGCGAACAAGTAGATGGACATGACGGCCTCGTGCGCGAGGAGGAAATCAAATATCCGCGCAATATCCCCGTATTCTTGTATGTCGTGCGCGTACATGGTGATGGTGGCCGCCAGGGCGAAGAATGGCTGGGTGGGCTTCAGGTGCCTGCATAGGGCTGGGTCGACGCTGTAGAGGATGGCGGGGAGCAGGTTCAGGTGCGCGACGGAGGGATCGAGCGATGGCAGCATAAAATCGCGGATCCGTAGCAGCGAGAGGCGTGTCACGGCCGGGACGGAGAGCTGAGCGCCCAAGACGAGGAGGAAGACCTGGACGATGTCATGGTAGCCCTGGAAGTAGCACAAGCGCGCGTGGCGGCGCAAGACCTGGGTGATGACGTCGGAGAGTTCTTGCTTGCGGCAATCGAGCTGTTCCTCGGACAGGTCTGCAAGGCGGGCGGGAGAGTCAGCAAGGGTGGTGGTGGTGGTGTGTTGAAGGGGTTAGGTAAGGTAGTTACCATTGGGATAGTAGACAAAAGACCGGTTGACGTCGAGCTTAACTTGGTCTTCGTCGGCGTGGGGCTGCAGCTTCTCCCACGCGACGGGGTCATCTGCGTCGTTTGCGCCGAGAAGGATGGGCCCTGGACAGTTGTCAGCAATGAGTAAGGCAAGAGGGACATGGAACAGACATGCTTCGCGGCGGAGGTCGTCGGAGAGCAGGCCTTGCGGGCCGGTGGCCAGGGCGATCAGGGCAGGCAGGTCGCGGTGGCTGCATGCACTGCGGATCAGCGCCGCCTTGTCGTCGTCGTGGTCGAGAGCCATGGAATTAATGATTAATGGAGGAAAGAAACCTCGTGCACAGCGATGATGCATGGCGGCCCAAGAGCCGGGCGGTCTCCGACCTCGAACAACCATCACATATCACATCTCACATCGCCCGCCTGCTTGCCCCGCTGATGCTCACCCTTTGAGCTAGAGCTCGGTAAGGCTGAACAACGCCTTCACCATCATGCCACGAGAACTGCCGCAAGGGCCCGTTTCATTCATGTGCATGTCTAGACCTTGATCCGCTTGCCGCTTTCTGTCGCCTTCTTCACGCCCGCCTTCCCTTCGTGGCCCGCTGCGCATAATACGACTCCTGTCGCCTACCCTAGTCGCCCCGACTTCTTCTTCTTCTTCTTCTTCTTCTTCTTCTTCTTCTTCTTCTTCTTCTTCTTCTTCTTCTTCTTCTTCACTGCCCCCGCCCTTCGCCGCTTGACTCCCTTACCATGGCCGCCCTCCAGACGGGCGTCTTTGAAAATGGCCGCTGGGTCACCCGCAGAGTCAACATCCACGAGATCCTCCAGGAAAACGAGCGCCGAGAGGCCCGCGAGAGGCAGCCCGAGCCTAGGCAGCAGCAACAGCTCCACCACCAACCCGAACCGCCCGTGCTCGGCCTGCTTTCCAGGACCATTCTCCGAAGCCCCGTCATCAACTGGATCATCCCCGCCAGGGTGCGCCACCGTGAGAAGAACGACGTCGTCTTCATCGGCGAGGACTTCATTCACATCAAGGAAATCCTGTCCGATGGCCATCTCAGGCATGTTGCTTCCAAAGCCGACTTTGGCTCCCACATCCGCGCCGCCAGGGTGTTTGGCGAGCCGCGCAAGTTTATCCACCCGCCCATGATCGAGCAGCCGCAGTCGCCCATGGAAATTGACTACACAGAAGTGATTCCCCCGCAAATTCTCGTCTTGACCCTTGAGTCTCAGGAGCTCATCTTTCTTTTCGCGCATCAAAACCCAGACGGCACCATAGATTTCTGGAGCAGCGCCGTGCCTTTAGATGCCAACCGGTCTTTCCTAGAGCAACCCGGAAAACACCTGGCTGTAGATCCCCGGTCCAGAGCCGTGGCCGTTGCCGCGTCAGAAAGCACCATCTTCATATACACGGCCAAAACCATGAATAATCTCAGAGATAACTTCTCTGCCAGCACGGACAACTGGACTCCCATCAAGGCAGAGCTGCCGGTGGTCGTTCCGGGCATTATTCTGAAAATGGAGTTCCTTTACCCGGAGCCGGGGGACAAACACCACGTCATTCTGCTCGTGATATATACAAGGGACAGAAAGACGAGAATGACCTGCTATGAGTGGGATCACCAACAGGGGCTTAAGTTCGTGCGACGTGTCGTGGAGGGGTTCCCCTTGCACAAGAGTAGGGTCGATTGCCTTTTTACGTTAGGCGGTGAGGCTAACGACGGATCTAGACCAGCAATTGCCACTGCTGCTCATACCGTTGCAACACGGTCCCAGTTTCATGCTCGTGGGCGAAAAGGAGATTTATCTGCATCAGGAAATTATGACCGGAAACCCTACCAGAAGCGCTGTGGCCTTGGCCAGCGACGAAGGTCCAAGATATCCCGGAAATTCGCGGCGATTACCCGTTTGGACGAGCTGGGCCAGAACTGGGCGGAACTGGATCTGGAATGGAAAACCAGAAGAGAATTTCTATCTTGTGCGTGAAGACGGCGTGGTTCACTACATGCAGGTCAACTCTCGCAGTGGCGCGTTGACGAGCAAAGCCGGTCATTTTCAGTGCAACGTCAACACGGCATTTGCGAGTCTGGATGTCGGTTTCTATCTCGACACTCCAGATGTCCTGGTTGCCGCTGGCGACATGTCGCCTGGTGAGATTGTCAAGGTATATAGAATGAAACTCTACTCTTCAAGAGAGCCGGCTAACGCTGAACAGATTGGCCAATGGAGGGATGAGATCTCCTTTAATGAAAGAATATCGTCACCAAAGACCCGTGCACAAGTTATGGAACCAGATTTTATTAGTGCGATTCCAAACTGGGGTCCGACAATGGACATGGCTCTTGCGGAGCCTTCAAATGGAAGATCCAGCATTGCAGGCTCCAGAAGCAAGGTCCTGACAACTGCTGGAAGAGCCCCTTATGGCGCGGTCACTGAGCTCCGGGTGGGAATCGAGGCCAAACTGGGGTTTACCTTCGCATCCAGCGAACTTTCTGGAGTAACTGGCTTATGGACTCTGTCGGATGCTTCTCATGACGGGGTGTTTTTCCTGCTCTCCTTCCCTTCATCGACTATTCTTCTCCGGCTTTTCCAGGATGCATCTGACCCACAAGTGGACTTTGACGAAGACAGTTCTGGCATTGATTTTAGCAATGAAACACTGCTGAGTGAGCCAATCGACGAGGAAATGGCCATCCAAATTACCTCTCGTACAATTGTTGTCCTGGACACGACTAGCTCAGCTCAGGCATTGCCAAGAAAAGGGTTCTGGGAGCTGCCATCAGAACAAACAGTAATTGCGGCAACTTCCTGTCCGGAGCTGTCGGCTGTATATCTGGCTGTTCGCACAGAGGAAGGTCTCACCATCCAACCTGCTGTTATTGCTGATCGTGATGGTGAGGCTAAGTTTAGCTGGTTACCAACGACACAGTTGCATGACGATCCTACTTGTCTTCAGGTTTTGGAGTTCCACATGGGACATGTCCTCCTCGTGGCGTCCACTGATGGACTCATACGCCTGTATGCAATTGGACAGGATGGTGGACTTGGATTGCTCATTGCCAGCCACCAGATCGACCAAAGTTCGACACAAACATCACTGGCGGCCTGTCAAAGTGCGGTACTGCTAAGCAGCACGCAATTTGACCCTTCAAAGAGCAACGATATGACGCTTGTCTGTGGTCTTCGCAATGGAGATCTCTACTCCATCGAGGTACACTGTGCAAACAACGCCAACGGCATCAAATTGGAAAATGGAGCATCAACCGAACCGACGGCCGCGAAATCGCTTTCCTGGACAATAGCGTTTGGAGGTTCTACTAGGACCAAGTTTGGCCAGACGCCAGCAACCGTCATCAAAGACGGGGGTGAAGAATCAACGGTCGCTTTCGCTACTTGCGGGCCTGAGTTCTGTCGTCTCGACTATAGCAAAGGCCGTGAGACCGGTCTGGAGATTAACAATGTATGGTTCACCGACCGGAACCAACCTGCACTTCAGCAGGGGCCTGTTTCCGCGGTCTGTCGTATACCACGACAGCCACATTTGACCCGAGACCTTGGTAATGCTTTGGTTTGTATCGCTGGCAACGCTTTCCTTGTTGCCCAACTTGCCCAGAAAAAGCAGGCTGTACCGCGGCATCTCCCTATAAAAGGGACGCCACACCGAGTGGTTTATTCCCAATTTTTAAAGGCTTCGTTCGTGGCTACTACCGAGAACTTCCCGGCAAGCGGGTACCGCGTCGCCCATTGCTATGTGAAAATGGTCGAAGATGGCTGTGAGGACACGTGCACCGCGGGATATGCACTTGCTCCTGGATCTCGTGTCAACAGCATGATGGAGTGGGTTCTCACCGGTGAGAACGGAAAGAAGCATGCCATGATCGCTGTGGGCACAACAGAGAGTGATGGACGCAGCGGCAGACTGACAATTCTGCAAAGAAGGGTAGAAACAGACGCAGTTTATTTAACCGCGGCAAAAGAGATTGATTTCAAAAGCACTGTATACTCTTTGGCTTCGTACGGCGATGCAAGTCTGGTCGTCTGCTTTGGCACCAAAGTGCGCATCTACAGGTATCAGTCGCAAAGTCCAAGGTAAGTTGATTGTGATCTTCGGACTCTTGGGGCTACAACGTGCTGACAGAATGCACAGATTTAGGTTATCTTGCGAGCATGAATTGCCGTCCCCCGGCGTTCAAATCACAACATGCGAGCCCATCATCCACATCACCACGGCCCAGGACTCGCTCATGGCCTTCAAGCTCAACTCGACCGGCGCTGCTGACAATTCTGAGGCAGAAACTCTTAGATTCGAGACCTTTTTCACGGACCGTCAAGCCCGACAAGCATCGTGTCACCTGCCACTAACCCTCCCCCATTCCGCCACCTCTCACAACCCTGCCTCCAATGGCACGCACGACACAACCAACCCCACGGCACCAAGTACACCATCAACGCTCGTCCTCGTCGCCGACAAATCCGCCTCCATAACCGGTCTCCTCCAACCCGCCACACGGACCTACCAAACCGCCGCGCCCACCATTTTCGAAGCCGCGCTCCCACGCAGCGTAACGCGCCTCCGGCGACCCGCACGCAGCACGATGAAGCCCCCCTACCGCCAAGCCGCGGTGCCGGGCATCCTCGTCAACGACATCGTCGGCTCCGCCTCGGACGGCACCCTCTTCGGCTTCAGCATCCTGCACGAGCGGGTCTGGCGTCTGCTGCGCTTCCTCCAGGGGCTCTGCCGCGCCGAGGACCGCCGTGTCATGGAGGCGCGCCCGGGCTCCGGCCGCGGGCCCGGCGTCGCGCAGGTGCTGCTCCAACACCAGCAGCTGCAGTTCCGCAAGGCGCGCGACGCGTCGACCGACATGGACGCCATGGATGTAGATGGCGAGGATGATGTGCGCAGCAGTGGCGGCGGCGGTGGTGGCAAGTCTACGACGAGCCTCATGCGCGAAGCGGACCCCGACCGCGACGCGCCCGGCCTGCGCCGCAAGACGGCATACCACGTCGACGGCGACGCGCTGGCGCGCTTCCTGGAGGGGCGGGGCGGGCACGCGCGGCTGCGGCGCTTGGTCGGCGAAGTAGAGGGCCCCGAGGGCGCGGAGGTGCGGCGCCGCTTCTGTGAGCTGGTGGCGCGGGCGTTTGGAGACGAGAATGCGTCGGCGACAACGACGACGGGGCGTGCGGGCGTGGGTGTGGCACTAGGGGGGCCGGTGGGCGGAGGGCCCGAGACCGAGTCCGTGAGGCTGGAGCGCGATGTTGCGCGCGTGTTGGCGTGGTTGAGGGATGTGTTAGAGCCGGCGGTGTGAGTGAGTGGATTGAGGAGAGGGGTGCTGCGATTGCTCTTGCTATGTCTTCTCTTCTTCTTCTTCTTCCCCCCATGTTCTGGGTGGGCGCGTCTGTGGGTGGATGTTTTGCTTCGGGGCCCTACTGGCTGCGGCCGGGCATTCTTTCCTTTGGCACGTGTAAGCTTATTTACGGCGGCGCGGACGGCGGCGAGAGGAAGGAGGCATCTTCGTTCGGTTCTATTGTTGTCGGAGGTTCAGGGACACATCTTTCGCTCTCGGGAAGAAGAGGACACGCATGCACACAAGCACGCGGCTAATGTATTTGGACTGACGACGCCTCTCAAGGCCCTAATATTGTTTCTTCTTCCTCTTCTCCTTCTTTTACTTTACTTCAGTATCCATTTAATGGTGATGACGATTGATGTTACAACAGCAGAACAACGACGGAGCGCAGCCGAGCGCCTCTCAGAGTCAGTCCGGACCAACCCCGCAAGCAGCATTCGGTAGCAAATCTCCGGGATTAAGAAACGAAGAAGAAATGAAGCCCCTCCCCCACTTAGAAACGGAACAGCTTCCTCAACAACCTAGCCTTATCATCGTCGTCATCGTCGTCGTCATCATCATCGTCATGGTGACCCTTCTTGTCAAGCGGGCTTCCCTGCGCGAAGAAGAGGACCTTGATGGCGACAGCGAGGGCTGCATGCAGCACGAGGACAACGAGGAGCAGGATGCGGCTCGTCTTGTGGTCGGTGGCGGAGAGAATGGGCCAGAGGTTGCGGAAGAGGAAGACGGCGGAGATGGCGAAGCCGACGCCGACGAAGACGTAGTTGAGGATGGTGATGGGCGACCACGAGATCAGCGCCACGGGGATCCAGATGATGTTCGCGTAGCCGTACAGCGCCCAGCACTCGAGCACGTTGGCGTTCTCGCTGCCGAACCACTTCAGCAGGCCCCATAGGGCGAGCGGCATGAAGAGTGTGTAGCCGTAGATTAGGCCCGCGCCGCCTAGTGGAGGGGTAAAGCAGTTAGCAATTGGCATCATTGTGTGTGCGCATTCACCACACTAGGCAAGTAGATAGAAAGCAGGATTGAGGTTCTTCCTGTCTCGGGAAAGTGTGGGGGAGGTGGTGGTGGTGCGCCTTACCACTCAGCAGCCGGAAATCGTAGGGGAAGTGGTCCTCATGGCGGTGCGCGAGGTACTGGCTCATAGTGCCTGTAAGGAAGAGGATCATGACGACGGTGGTCGCGATCCACAGCGGGCCGTAGAGGTCCGGGTTGCCGTCGAGGACGTCAAGGAAGTTGGAGCGCGGGAATATGGCCGCCCAGCAGCGCTTGATGACCTCGTTCGTGTCCACGTCGAAGAACTGCTGGTAGTACCCGATGCTCCACAGGTATTTCTTCGAGCCGACTATGCCGCCCGCGCCGCCGCTGCCGCTTCCTCCACCGCCGCCGCCCCGCTGGAAGTTGGTGCCCGCCGCGCTGCGGTCTGGCGTAACCTTGTTCTGCCGCTGGGCATCGTTCTCGAAGTCTGGAGCGCGGGAACGTCAGGACGCGATTGAGTATTGGGTCAGATAGGGGGGAAAGAGCGTACTGGAGGGGTGGAATTCGAGGTCCTCTTGGAGGTCGGTATGGCCCAAGTCGCCCTATTATACGCGTCAGCTTGCGCGCTGCGGGATTGCGGGTATGGCAGGGTGGGAATGCCGCGGGGGGGAGTTACCTCCTCGTCGACGTCGACGACAACATCATAGCCGCGGTTCGCCATTGTCTCAGCTCGGTGCGCAAGGGTCGGATGGCTGTGTCGCGGAGTTGTGAGAGCTTGAAGCTTGACTGCTTAACGGCGAGCTGTCAACTAGGGTCTCATGTCCGATTCGTATCGCACGTGATGTGCATTTCGCTTGAGTCATGGTACATCCGGGTATCAACGTGGTGCCACAGGAAACTTCCTTTACATTGCACACTCAGAGCCTCAAATCTCTCACTCCAAGAACTCGCCCGCATTCGCCCTTTCGCAAACCTTCTTAATCACCTCAGCCACCCATTCAAAATCGGCCATCTCCAAATAGATCTGTGCACTCAACCGCACCCACCAACCTCCCGCGTACTCGATAAAAGCTTGGAAGCCGCCATACTCCATGACAATGACCTTGCTAGCCCAAATTTTGACGACGCTTGGGACACTGTCTACATCTTTGCCCTTGCTAGCCGCCAGCTCTTGGCACTTGGACAGGTCCAATGGTAACAGCACGTTGGAGAAGCAACACTCACCCAGTGTTCCCTCCTCGTTTTCGAGAACTTTAGTGCCAAGTATCTCAGCCACACGTTTCCCTCCGCGTCGCGCGAGGTCGAAACAATACTCTCGGATTGCAGCCTCCCCACCTAGAGAAGCGCGGTACGCAATTGCAGCTGGAATGCACAGGTAAGGGGAGGAGTCGATGGTGCCAACGAAATTGAAATTGCTGACGAAGCGGGAATCGCCGCTTGGAGGGAGAGGATTGATGAAATTCATGCCGGGCCTAAGAGCAACTTGTGAGTTCCAATTCCAAATACGTGGGTTAGAGAGACAGAATGTTAAGGTGCTTACTTCGGACGCGGTTGGAAACCGTGAGATGTCGGCAGTGTCGAACGGATCAAATACTGATTCCTTACTGGAACGTAGAATACGGCACAGCCTCGAGGAACGAAGAGCCACCTGGATGCTACTTTAGCACGCTGTTCCTCTTAATGGCAGGGCGATGGAGCGAATGCTTGAACTCACTTGTGACAATTGCTGATGAAGAAATCCGGGTCAAGCTTTCCCAGGTCCAATTCAATGTGTCCAACTCCATGAGCACCGTCAATCAGACTGAATACACCGAGCTCTCGGCAGGCCTCGGTCAAGCGTTCATATGGCATACGCACGCCCGGCAAACTGACGATAGTGTCAAACATGGCAACCTTGACTCTGTTGCCCGCCTCTTTCTCCTTTTTCACAGCATCTCTGAATGCCTGAACAAGGTAATCATCAGAAACAGGGTAGGTATACTGGACCTTGACATCCTCAGCCGGCGTTGTCTCAGTGATATACTTGACAGTGAGTTCGCAGGAACCGTAGGTAGTGGCAAAATATAAGATCTTGTCACCTGGCTCGAACACCAGATTGCGTAGCACGGTGTTTATGCCAGATGTTGCGTTTGGCACACACACCAGTGTCTCGATGGGTGCATTCAAGAGAGAACCCAGTGCCGCACGTGACTCGACCATAAGCTTGGGATAGTCGTAGCGAATGAATTGGTCCGGACGCGCTTCATGGCGATCTTGCCAGTGGCGGAGGACATCGCGGACTTGATGGGGATAGGTGCCAAACGAGCCTGGATATGGCGTCAGTAGATTGTATATGGAGATGCACATTTTATTGTTGTATAGGTATGCGATTACACAACATACCATGGTTGATGTTTATGTAGTCATCATCGAACAAAAAGTCTTTTCGCAGCTGCCTTCCAAAGGGAAGGGAAGGAGAAGAAGCCGTGGGTCCTTGGCCACCCATATTGAAGCAAGAGGTATGTTGTTTGGAGGTACGGAAATGTGTAGTGACGTAATGAGTGATATAGTAGGTGGGCCTAGCTACGAAGCGGGGAAGGATTTCAAGTGTCCGACAGCTTGGAGTTTTCGGCTTTGCTCACCTTATATATACACAATGTTGAATGATAGGACTGAGTCACTGCAGTGGTTGAAGATTACGAGGTCCGCGTAGCGCGTCAGGGCGTCGTTGGTAGGGCGCAGCGCACGTCCCACCGCGGGTACGCGGGGCAGTACATCAACGGAATGGCAAAGATAATGTGAGAATAGTTATCTGCGATACAGCTTGTGTCAGGCCTGGATAGAGAAGTATCTGTTACCTCAACAAAACACGTTCCACCACCCGTATACGAATTCATCCATGCCGTTGCAAGTGGATCAAAGTGAGGTAGATAAGACCTTCGCTGTCAGTTGCACAATATGAGTCAGATTCAACCATATGATTGGACGTCAATTGTCATTTGGATAAGAAGTAAAAGGCACGTTTTTTCTTTCGGAAGTAGAAGCCGGTTCTACCTATTTATTTTCATTCTCATGCCCATACCAGCAAACCCATAAACCACATCAAATCGTCCTAATTCCAACAGCGGCATCCATCTGAACTCTTCTCCTATACTGGTCCCTGAACCTGATCCTCCCAAACGTACCCCATCCTACCGCCACGATGAAGAGAAAAGTCCAAATAAGGGTGATGATCAAACCAGTCGGGAATATGAGATCGAAGGGTATTGTCAGACCAGGTATGTCCAGCGGGGGAAGGCGGTAACCAGGAATTAGAAAAGAGATTGCGGTATCAGCATCGACATCCGCACCGCCATTGGTTATGTCGGCGGTAGATTTCTGGGAGAAGATGCCGCTGACGTAAGAAATGGTGTTGTGTGCATTCGAAAGGGTAGTATTGAGCTCCTGGTTGGTGAGAGGGGAGCGTGCCGCAAAGGAAATGTGTGGTGTTAAGATGTTCTGGAATTGTTCGCTGGATCGTTGTTAGACGATAACTACGGGACGGTGTATAAGATCGACTTACGCTGAAAGTGCCTCGTCTATCCTGTCGCGGTTGATTTGCCCAACATACATCAGGACCTTGATCTCTTGAGGCCCCGGAGCTCTTCGTGTCAGGATATCATCCAAACCAGCACTCCGTTCCCTAAGAAACGGCCAACTTAGCAGGGTTCCATCCTCGTCTCTCTTTCTCGTCGTCGGCATTCCTTTGGCTTGTTGAACGTTCGCACCTTCAAAGCTCAAGGTCATGCTTATATCCTTCGATGTAACTCCAGTCCATGGATCCCAAGGAGCAGTGAGGTTGTACATGCGTAGCTCGGCCTCAAAGATGCCCGAGCTGTTATCGAAGAAAGGAAGATTGTAGCATACGCCTATGCCAGATGGATTGTTGGCTTTTCTGATCAGAGAGGCTACCGCAGATCCACAGGCTTTGCTTGTTTGCGAGTTCCAGCTGCTCATGTTGACTTGGTTGATGGGGTCCGATGCCGCTGAGTCGTCCCGGATGTGAAGAGAAGAGAAGATGGAGTCGACATGATTGCGTATCGCGTCGTCCGAGGTGCTGGCCCTCTGGTTCAGACCGTTGACAGCATGGATGATGTTGCCAGCTAATGACGCAGCGGTGACTTGGGCAGAGGCCGAGAATATTAAGAAGCCGCTCAGAAGAGCTGATCTAAGTTGCATATCTTCGTGAAAGACGGTGATTATTCTTGACTTGGGTTGGTCTGGAGGGTATCGTAAGGAATGATTAACAAAAAACGAAGGTCCAGAGGCTGCGCAGCAGCGTACCAAGAGAATCGAAAGATGGTGTGAGTTGAATGTGAAGGAGGAAGCAGGAATCACGGAATGAGAGCGATATTAGACGTGGTAATAGAGAATAAGGGCTCCGCACCTCCTCCAGACAGTCATAGGAGTGTCATCAGAGTATCATGGCGTGACAGGCGCCGGGCGGGTCGAACGGTGCGGGTAGCAAGAGGATTTTATTGACACGCAAGGTGCGACGCGGGATCCAATGCACCGCACCCCTTCGCAAATCATGCCAAGCTTTTTCGCTGCCAGCGGGGGCCTGAGACTGCGGGCGCGTGCGACAGCCAATCAGCCAAGACGCCCGCGCCAAGCCGTCGAGGGCGGAGAGGTCTCAGATGCGGCAAGCGGGCGACATGCCTTGTCGCACATGGCCTCCGGGTACTACGTGCCGGTCGGTCGCGGGGGCGGTCGCGGGCGGATCTTCGTCTTGTCTTTGTTGACTTCATCTATTATCGCACGCCACGCCGCGACTGCAGTGTGCAACCACCGCTGCTGAGCAGAGCAGGGCGACTGCTGGTTAGACACGTAAGAGGTGCATGCGCTCCATCAGCCTGGCCGCCAGGGGTCAAACTCGTGCCCGCCGCATACTCGCCCAAATCGCCCAACCCGCCCAACCCGCGCCCTCTTTACGGTCCGCTGTGCAGCTGCAGCCTGCCAGCACATCAAAGACAATCAATAGGTACATCTATCCACTGCGCTCCCGCTGCTGTTATGACCGTTGGCTTGGCCGCCCTCCTCGCCGGGGGCCCCTTCTGATTTCTTTCCTCTGTCCCTTCCGCCTTCCGCCTTGCGCCACCATCTCCCATCACGTGTACCCTTTTCGCCGCAATGCAGGCCTCTCAGTTCTTGCCAGGATGGTCGACGTCGCCTCAGAATGCCCAGCCAAAGCACCCTTTTCTCCACCAGACCATGTCCGTCTCCAACTTCCGCGCCGAGGATCGTTCCCCGTGGGAATGGCCCCGCTCTCCACCTTCGCCTAGCGCCTCGTCCTCGTCGTCTGCTAGCCGCAGCATGACTCCTACGAGCAGCAATCCGTGGGCAAACAGCGTGGGTCCCTTGGTCTCGTCGGTCTCGTCGGACTCGCCCCCGCGCTTCCTACCGTCGTGCCCGACGCCGCCATCCATGAGTCGGAGTATCACTCCTTCCTCCAGCAGGTGCACGACACCGACGGCACCTGTCGCACCAAAGCCGCTGAATGCAACGAAACCACCCGGCTTCATCAATATAACTTCCCCAATGATGTCGCCCGTGTCTCCAAATGGCGATAAGCAGATGAGAGATACAAGTGGATTTCCTACGCCGGCGCCAAATCCTTTTCGTGAGAGCGTGGGGTTCGTCAGCCTCTCGCCTTTGGCTACGGCTATCATAACGCCTGCACTGGAGAAGCAATATGTCCATCGGGAATCGCCCACACTGATCAGTCGTCAGGGCTGGGAGCGTTCCACTGGGCAGCGGGCTTACACTTGGGCTCTCGGGAATTCCAAGACGGCGTTACTGTTCCTCATGTGTGACGATATAGCAGCCTGGCGGCGCGCAAGCTTCTATTGGCTCGAGGACAGTAAGATGCCTTTTACGGAGGCGGACCTCGAGGGAATAGCGACAAACCCGAAAAAGGTGGTAGATAATCAATGGCGTGTACTAACCCGCGAGTTACCGCAAAATGGCTCGCACATTGATTTCCAGCCGCGTGAAATCATCCCGCTGCAGTCACTAGGTTCCTTGTCGAACGGGCCCGAGAACCCGAGGAAGACACTGGACAGAGTTCGCTGGCGCGGCGAGGACAGCGGACGCTTCTATGTCCGGAAGCGCTTTACCTTTGACCGTCAGGCTGAGAAGCTAGGGCTGCTGTCCCAGATACAAAGGATCAGAACACTAGAGCACCCCAACATTGCCAAGATCGTCTGCTCCTACAGCCAAGGTGCTTCAGTCGCTTTTGTAACTGCACAGGCGCAATTCAGTTTGGAGGAATATCTGCAGCATCCGCTGGCTTCGACACGGCCAACCCTCCTCCTCACTTGGATTCATGATCTAACCCAAGCACTCGCATATATTCATACCACAGACCTCTTGCACGCCTCTATCCGTCCATCCAAAATCCTCATAGACAAGAACGGTACACGCGCCTTCTTTTCCGCATTTGGTATCGCCATTGAACCCTCCACCAGCTCACCGCGCGGAGGCAGCAACTCACCACGCGGAGGAAGTAACTCACCACATGGCAGCGGCCACGGCAACACCTTGAGTACTCTGTCTAACAGCCAAATCGCTTCCGCCATGCGTCCGCTTAGCGAAGCAGCTTACATCTATGCCGCGCCTGAAGTTATCCAGCGCCACCGACACCGTTACTCGACTGACATATTCTCGCTTGGCTGCGTCTTCCTCGAGATGCTGACAGTCGCCAAGGGTCAAACCGTCAGCAACTGCCGCGCCTACCGCGCACACTTCTCGCAGGATCCGTCATTCCACGCGAACCTCGAGCGTGTTGGCAGCTGGCGCAAGTTGTTGATGCAGCTCAACAGCCGCGGGACCACGGGCACGGCCGGCATTGGAGGCTCCAAGCGGGAGGATGAAGTCACAGAGTACCAAGCTCTCGGTTTTGTGGGTGCCATGATACACGCCGAGAGCTCAAAGCGGCTGAAGATGAGACAACTCGCGCCGCACGTCTCGAGGTGGAACGAAGCGAGGACCGTGCACCGGAGACGTAGCTTTGACGGCGGGGATGCCGCCACGGGCGGGACGGGAAGCTTGAGATGGGCGAGTGCGACTGATAAGCAAGGCCTTACTCAAGGCAGCTTGATCAGCTTCTGATATGGCTCTGGAAGCCACCTTGACTGAACCCCTTCCTTACTGTCTGCTTCATTACTGTTCTCGGGATTTATTCCTACAGATGATTTATGCCGTTTGGATTGAATGAGACAACGATTGGACGAGGATTTTGGTTTGTTATCCTTCACAACTTCTTTTCCCTTTAGCATTGGGGCATGAAGACAATATTTTAAGCGAGGTTATTTGGCGTTTTCTATGCATCACATGTAGATACTGGGTCGGCCCATTTGATATACCCCTGTTGCAGTTCTTCTCGTTTTCATTATTGTTGTTTTTGCCACCTCGTTCGTTACAGGGCAATCAATCATCAGTAGTACACCATTCGCCCACACCCTTGTCTACAACCCTCATCATGCCCTAATGTGCAGTTATTACAAACTCACAGCTCACCACCTACACAAGACGCCACCCGCAGAACCCCATATCACCAATCCCCTACACACACACACTTCCGTCCCCCACGCTCCTCGCACCACTCCCAACCCACCACTTGCCCGGCCCCAGCAAATCTTTGCATGATGACGCACACCCGCACCCAGCCCACCCACCTTAGGCAGGTCGCCTCGCTACCACGCCTTCATCCGCTTGCAGCGGCAACAGCAGCTCCGGCTGCACCCGCCACCCGCCAACCCGGCTGCGCGTGTGCGCTGGCCTGCAAGGCCGCATGCATGGCTGCTCGTCAGCTGCCCGGCGCGCGACCTGCCCGGCCTAGGCGAGCTGACGGGAGTGGTCAGCTGCGCTCGGCGCTGGTTAGAGAAGAGAGAGGATACATACGGGAAGCCGACTCAGAGGCGTACACGTTGACGTGGTGTGTCTGTGTCTATCTGTGTGCGTGTGCGTGTGCGTGGGGAGGCGGAGGCGGAAAAGGGCTAGGGGTGGGACGAATGAGTGCGTGTTGTGGTATTGTGTTGTGTTGTAGACGGGGGTTTTGCTCGCATGTGTATGTGTCTGTGTATGTGTGGATGATTGAGGTATTAGATAGAAGTGAGAGGGAGTGAGTGGCGTGCGAGCTTGGGTTAGCTTTGGGGTGCATGGGGCATCGCGAGTCCGGAAGCATGGCCGTACTCCGTAACATGAAGCGAAATTGACTGTAGGGGTTTATGGGTTGCACTTCATGCTTTGAGAGCTATTTAGCTGCACATGCGTCGATTCACGCTCACAGCTAGACGAGGGGCTATCTATGGGGGCTTGTTCATTTTATTTGTCGTTAACCTGTATGATGGGTATATAGACGAACGTAACTCCCACAATATATATTTTTAGTTCAACAGCACCCCTCTGAAGGCAGTTTGGAAGATTTTGTAGTATCAAAGTAGTACTGATAATGATGGTGTGGAGTAAACAAATATTTCTATTCACAGGTGGGGCGTGTCGGTGTCACTGTCACATGAGGGAAGCAATCTCAGATCATACCTTCTTAGCCATGACGAGAAAATGGTACTTTATTACAATTCTAAATGCAATGCGATAATTTTGATGCCCGTAAGCCTCTGATAATAACTTCCAACCATGCCCGTAATGAGCCAAGGGCTTGTGTGGGTTCAGTGACTTGTGTTTGTTTTGTTTGCACAAGAGGAGGCCGTGAAGGAACAATAGAATACCCTTGCGTCGTATAAAATTTAGCAGCCTTTAGACGGCTTCTTTCACCGAGAATATTAAAGTAGCGGCATAGCGCTTCGCATTGAACTTGATGATGCACGATCTTGAATGGAGTTTTCCAAGACTTAGCACGGTGCCACCGGTTGAGCAATGAGCATGCGGGCATACATGATCTGCTGCTCACATCGGGATACGTTCCTCGTATCGAAGAATTTGTACAATAGACTTCTGCAAACTACTACAAATGGAAGGATTCTACTAGCTCTTAGAGCCGCCGAGGTAATTCTCAATCATAAAGAATGGTCACTGAAAAAGCTAATTTGGCAATCCTCCCAACAAAGTCGCTACGCAAGGGTCCAATTAGACTTTCAGGATGAAGGCATCTCACTGTGTATAGCAAGGCCAGTGGAGATCCATGTCGCTAGGTAGAGCTAAACTTTATGCGGATGACGCGATGGCAGCTTTCCGGAAGGAGGCTCCAACAACGGCCGCCGTTTCCCGAGAGTCGGTAATCGGAAGTAAGATGGCTCGTATGCCTGGCGCATCGGAAATATGCACCGTGGGACTCGGTGTCTCAGGCATCGGTCAGTATATCGTCAGCGGCGTGATTAGGTATAGAGTATTTGGATCCTTGGGCGTGCTTTCGATTAACCTGTCAAAACTCAACAAAGCTCCTCGGGAGGGAGTCGGGACGGGTGATACTTTTAGATCGGCCATTCCCGCTTTTAAGCTCGTACTCGTACGGCTTGAGGGGTACTTGCCACGAGTGTGTGTTCCAGAGCAGTCGTTGCTGCAGCGCACGTGGCATGGGAACAAAAAAAGGTGGAAAGCTCGCAGGTCTTCGCTCCGGAAAGTGCTCAGCCCCAGAAAGAACTGGGCTGTGTCCTGCAGGGGAGGAAGATCCTCGCTTCGGGGTCGATTGGCGTTCTTGCTGGCGCCAATGATGTTGTCATATCCGGTTTCCCGCAGCGTGAATTTCCTAGATAAGGCGACCCGTCAGATCTTCGGCACGCGGCGGGAGTTGCTCGCCCGTCGGATCACTCCATCTCTCCACTTGAGAGGGGAGATTGGGCTTCATCATAGGGTTCAGGTGATCGAGATGGGAAGGGCGATGACATCGACGCGTCAAGTCGCGGCGTTCAGGCCAACGGAACAAACGTCGCCGCCTCCGGGGCCAACCACGCCCCAACTCTGGGCTAACAATAGCAGTCCTTGGTCCCATGGCCGTCGATCCGACTTTCTCCTTTGGGCTTACCGTGAGCCTTCTCCGCACACAAGTGCACTGCGAACATCGGGGATCCTTGTCACAGCATTACCCAAAGGGTGCTGCCATCACACCCACAGTTGACTAGCTGAGCCCATTGAACCTTGATGTCCCGTCTCGTGAGCCCGTAGGCGACCCAGGACCGCTCACATGGACCAGGTGATGCGGTCTGCAAAGGGCGGGAGAAGGCCAGACCGGAATTGCGGTGGTCGCAGGCGTTGCTGGCGGTGGGTGACGTTCAAGGACAGGCTTGTCTTGAGCCCAGGATGCATCCGTTCGCTTGAACCGGGAGCGTCGGGAGCAGGCAGTGCCAGGGCGGCACTTGCGTGTCAGGCACCCTTGGCATTCGAGCGGCTCGTGTTGTGCACGTGACATGATATCAGCGACCTGTCAGCCTCCCCACACCACCCTGACGAAACAAGCAACATCGTCAGCGTGAACCACTTTTTTCCTGCACAACCGGTCAATGGTCAACGACAGCGCAGCCGCCGCCAAGCCGACGCGCACTCTTTCGCTTCCTCCTCATCATCGCTCTCCTTCTCGCTCTCGCTAACTATCGCTAGGTCGATACACACGACACGGTTCGCGACCGTCGACAACAACAGCCACCCACCGCCACAAGTAGGGACTACTAGCCAGACTCGACCCAACTAACCAAGCACGAGGCGGGCGGGCACTCATAAACTTGTGGGGTAGCTAGCCAAGTCCCGCGATCTGCGAGCAGGATAAGCGCCTAGTGGGGCTGGCCGTCATCTTCGGTGCACCGTGCCTGAAAATCGCTCTACCAGGTAATCAGGGATCAACGGGACAACAGCATCGCCGACACTGCCAATTGTCCAAGTTGCTGTTACGTGGAGACGCCCGCCGGCCATGGCGCCCTACTACTGCAGCTCTACGCTCGAGCCAGCGAGGCCTCACAGCCTGGCGTCATGGACGGCCCTATGCCTTTCGATCGAACGGCCCTTGCAGTCTTCGGTGAGCATTGGGGCAGTTATAAGTACCTCTTCCAACGCTTCTCTCTGCTCAGCATCAGCAATCAACAGCTGCACCTCCCAGGCAGAAGTCCATCGCTCTTCACATCTCTTCCAGCTCGTTTCTTAACTCTAATCCTAATCTTTTCAATATGAAGTACGCCTTCGCACCCCTGGCCCTCGGTCTTACTGCCTCTGCTGCTGTCATCAGGAGGGACCAGTGCTGCTTCCAACTGAACGCCTCTGGTGGCACCTCCGGCACCCTCGGCCAGCTCAGTGATGGTCAGAACCGTGTTGGCGGCAACCACTCGCCTGCCACCTACTGCCTGAACAACGGTGCTATCACCGACAAGAACGGCCGTGGTTGCATTCTCACCCCGCCCACCACTCAGTTCCAGTGCGACACGGGTGCCTCTCCCACCCCCGGCTTCGCTGTCGGTGAGGGTGGTAGCCTGACCTACAACGGCAACACCAAGTTCTACGCCTGCCCTGCTGCCGACGACCAGTTCAACATCTACACCAAGCCCGTTGACAACCAGAGCAAGTGCGTCGAGATCACCCTCAGCACTGGCGGCCAGTGCGCTGCTTCCAGCTCCGCCGCTCCTTCGACCCCGGCTTCCACCCCTGCCGCTAGCCAGCCTGCTCCTAGCTCGCCTGTCGCTAGCCAGCCTGCCCCCAGTTCTCCTGCTGCCAGCCAGCCCGCTCCTAGCTCGCCTGCGGCTGTCACTACCCCCGAGATAGTCACTGCCACCAAGACCTTCACCACCACCAGCCCTTGCAGCACCAGCACTCCTGCGGCTGCTACTACTCCTGCTGCCTCCACTCCTGTGGCCTCTGCCCCCGCTCCCTCCGGTACCGGTTCTTCCAGCAATGAGTGCCCCAAGGACCTCCAGGGTGACTACCAGTACCCCCACCTGATCGTCCCGGTCAACTCGACCACTCCCGACCAGGCCTACGGTACTTCCTACAACGGCGAGATCTCCAGCCACGTCTGCAGCACCTTCAACTTCGACATCCCCCAGTCGTACGAGGGCTCCACCTGCTCCGTTGTCTTCCTCTTCCCTAAGAAGGAGGACCTTGAGACCTCTAACTACACCGTCTCTGGCTCCGGCTCTGCTAAGTTCTCCGAGCTCTCTTCCGCCGTTTCCCAGGAGACCACTTGGAAGACCGTTCCTGAGACCAGCAAGGACCTTGGCAGCATTTCCCTTGAGGCTGGCAACGGCTACACCATCACCTCTGGTGAGTGCCAGGCCGGCAAGACCGTTTCCTACGAGATCTGCGGTGAGGGCAGCTTCTCCCTCAACTACTTCCAGGACTACAACCCCAGCCCTCTGGGTCTCTACGTTCGCAAGTGCTAAATGCACTTAATACCATCCCGACGGCTACCGCTGCAGTGCCTCTCCCGTGGATGGGGCGTAACAACCTCATCGCTGCGAGAAGTCACTAGCCAAGCGTGTAGCGCAGTCTTCACTCCAGTTTTGTCTCACACTTTAACGAGGCAGGTGGAGCTTAAAGCAGCTCGGGCAGTAATGAGTTAAGATGCCCGAGCCTTTTAAAGGGTGAATACTTCTGATGAACGGGATGATGGACCAACTTGATGACTTTCCTTGTTTACCATTCCGCTAATCTTGCTTATTTTTGATGTACGACATTTTCTTAAGGACAGGATTATACTTCTGCCCTTGCAAAAGCAACTGTTGGCCAGTGCATGGACAAAGTAGATAGCATGTCTTTCTTAGCGGCAACAGCATATATAATCCTAGTTAGGATAGTGAGATAAATTAAAGAATAACTCGAAATTATTTGTTTGGCACTATTTGACTGATAAGGCGGCTTAGGAGTGTTTTGTCAAAGCCTTTGGGGGATAGGCTTCTTTTGGTGTCGTTGGGGAAATCACTGAAGAAGTAGTAGACAAGAATGAAAGATCATAAATTTATGCTTCTTGTTTCAGTGGCTTTCTGTAGCGGACACAGCACATACTCCGCTACATATTTTATAGAGCCGATGTGATCATTTACAATGACTCTATCCAGTGCATTGCCTATCACCTATCAATGCCGAGGAGAGAGGATGTCTGTTCACAAACCAAAGGAATTGCTCGGCTCCTTCATTTATAAACTTTATCTTTCCTCGACCGTAGAGGGAATGACTTGGGGTAGTTGTAGTGGGAGTTAAAAGATTTGAAATATCTCTATGACCTTGAGCTGTACTAATACAGTGTTCTTGGGGAGCAGACCCTTTGCCTTTACCTAAGCCTGAGTTAAACCATCTTAGTATGTCAACTCTGGTCGCGTTTGAAGTTTTACAACCGCTCAGTGGTTCTCAGTGTGTAAACAAGTATCGTTAATAATTTCACTATCACTGGATGGGTATGTATATACGTGCCTTCCACCCGCGCTTGTCCAGTTCGCGACGCCGGTTAAATACAAACATGTCCATACACATCACCCAATGAAGGATGTTACGACCGGCTAGTTCCCCGGCATAATCTGATCCTCCTTTGCACCCTTGCCAAAAAGCAATTATCACCAAATATCTTGGCGTGCTCGTGGAAGAGACTTGTCAAGTTAACCTAAGCCTTGCAAGTGACCTGTCCCACCTGCCAGGCAGGCAAGCCACAGGCACTCTGTGTGCGACCCACCTAGTCGGGTTACCAGAGGATGGTGTCGCTGACAATAAGCAACAGCAACGTGCTCTCGATTGGTGTCCCCTTATATTAAGCTCATGGCCCAGAACCCGAGCCCATGTCCTTGGGTCCCAAAACTAAACTTCGCTTAGTTCAAAACCAACAACGTTCTCACACAGGGTGCCACCGCTCTCCTCAACTAACTTTAAGAACACTTGAGTTCGTCATTTTGTCGGTGAGGTCTCCGGCATTGGCTCTGAAGCTGCTGTCTGACCCAGCCAGCACCGGCTGGGGAACCGACTGGGGAACCGACTGGGTATCCTTTGGGCTCCCAGCAGCTATTTCCTTTTTCGCATATGCCTTTGCAGAGGCCGGTATCACCGCACAGCCCTAAGGAGAACCTTTCAAGTGGTATTCTACGAGCGCTCAACAATGTCCCCCCCCCGGCGCAAGCTGAGGTGTGAAACGACAGCCTGGGCAATCAGTTTCGGGTGACTAGCACGCCACCCATCCTTTCCTTTCCACATACAGCGTCGGCAGCTGACACTCCGGACGCAGATCGCATTGATGCGCCAAGCAGCTGGCATGGTTGTTGCGAGCATCGCGATCATGATGTGCTGTCGTTTCCGTTGAACACTAGTTGGCTGCAAGACGATGCTGACACTTGGGGCATTCGCTATCTGTTTGCGTGGCACAGTGTAAGTTGTTTTTCGTTCACGTCCGTCAACTCGTGGCTTCGGAACATCTTGTTTCGCGCGTGGTCAGCCAACGCTAAGCGCATACGCTGGAGCTGAAATCCTTTGTGGATTCCATACTGCTTCGTCCGGAAAATTTCGGGCTGCAACATGCGCGATCTGTGGCTGCAATCGGTGCTTCAGCAAGATCTCGTGCTGGCTGGCGCGTCAGCCGCTGGTGCTACATCCACGGGATGTGGTGTACCGTGTTGCACAAGAGTGCCGACGAGCACTCTGATATGGCGACTGCCATCGCATGATGGACCGCGAAATAAGGAGATGATCTCGCCATTCATGGTTATTGCATCCTACTCGATGATCGGTATTTCATGGTCCAACCCTGGTGATTGTCCCGCGACCTACTCTTGCTGGCGGCAAATTTCCACATGTTGTTGCTGACTGCTGAGGCAGAACTCAAACAAATTGCCTATTGGCCTTGGATCAACGAGCGTGAGAGACACTGCAGCAGCTAAGAAGAGCAATACCGGCACGCCTTGCAGGCAAAAGGAAAAAGGGAGACAAGAACCTCAGCGGGTGGGTACACGGCCAATAAGGTCATACGCCTCGGCTGCCTGCGCGATGCCGCGGATGTCCGCTGTTTATCCATGTTGGGGCCCCCTACGCTTTGGCTCCAACAGGCGAATTGTCCGCACAAGCGTTGCCCAAGCCGTGTGTTCGCTACGTTTGATTCCATCCGGGATGCTTGCATTATGCAAGCCATGTCCTTAGGTCGTGGACTGACCCCGCAGACGTTCAGCATGAGCGTCCGCTCTGCCGGGTCGATAAAAGTGTCTGTGGGTACCTTGTCTTTCACCATTCCATCTCACCCTGCGTTCCCTCCATTGCATCGGATATCCGCTGTACTGCCTATTTCCGAGTATTTCTTTTTCTCTCGACATGCCCCTTAAAGTCCTGATCGTAGGGGGTGGACTTGCTGGCTTCGCCGCAGCGATCGCGGTGGGGCGAAAGGGGCACACAGTAGAAATTTTTGAAAAATCAAAGTTCTCCAACGAAGTTGGAGCCGCGCTACATTTCGGCCCGAGCTGCGCGCGCGTCTTCAGGGAGCTGGATATTGACCTTGAGGCCTTGGACTACGTCAAGTGTTTGCGCTGGAGAGTCTTCGATGAGAATGGTGCTTATATGGGACAGCGCTACGTAAGTTTACCGTCCACTTAGTGTTCGCAAGTTCGCAACCAGTGTATTAATGTAAACTGCAACAGGAAATGCGCGATAGGCAGCGCGAGCTGGGATTCTCTGGCAATGAAATCATGTGCCATAGAGTAGACGCGCATTCCCACCTCCGGCAATTGGCATTGTCCTACCCAAACACGCGTCTGCACCTTTCGTCAGGCGTACAGCGTCTCGACCCAGACACCGGAACCATCATGCTTCAAGACGGCACTGTCCATCAGGGGGACCTGATCATCGGTGCCGACGGGATCCACTCTAAGACTGTCCAAGCAATTGCCGGGCCCTCGTGCGTTGCCCAGCCTTCCGGCTACAACATCTTCCGCTTCATGGTCCCCGTCAACAAGGCACGCGCAGACCCCGCCGTCTCCGCCTTCCTGGATACAATCGACAATTTCCAGACCCACTGCGATTTCCGTTGTGAGAGGGGTCCCCGCTTTGTAATGTACACCTGCCGCGGAGGCACGTTGTTGAACTTCGGTCTGCTAGTCCCGGGCGAGCTTACCAAGCGCGATCCGCAAAGCATGGATTGGACCAGCCCCAGTAGCCCGGAAGAGGTGTTGGATGTGTACTACGAATTTCCGCCCTTCTTGAAGACGTTGATCAAAATGGGCGAGGATGTTAAGCACTGGGCCTTCGCGGCGAGAGATATTCCGCCGGTTTATACCAAGGGCAAGCTTGTGCTAATCGGGGATGCGGCCCACCCCATGCATCCGACCCACGCGACTGGGGCGGTACAGGGAATTGAAGATGCTGCGTGCTTAGGCGAGCTGCTGACGCCTGACACTACGCCCAGTGAGCTTCCCAAGAGACTAAGAATGTACAACGCGCTGCGTTATGAGCGAACGGCGACGCTCAAATATGCTTCTGAGCTTATGTCCGGCGGTGATGCGGATAGGCTCAAAGCGCTAAAGAGGTTTCTGCCGCACGCAAGTCTGCCAGAAGATGTTGATGCGTTTATCTGGTTATACGACGTGATTGAGGAAACACAAAGAGCTTTGAGGGAACTACAGCGTCCGATGGAGAGGTCTCGGCTGTGATGGGCCTTGGAAGTGCAGAATGTCTTGACTGTGATTTTCTTGGAAATACCCGTGGCTATGGTGGTTGGGGTAAATGGAGTGCATTGCATCGTCTGTTGTGCTGCTTCTATTCATTGAGGATTTCTTTGTCGCTAGATAATGCTAATTCTCGGTGTAAATCCCTTTCTTGTCCCGATGGAGTGCTGCTTGCACCCAACTAACTGTCTTTAGATGAAGTTGCCTGTATAACCAGGCGCATCGGATTGGAACGGGGCTGCTGCGGAGCAAGAAATGTCGATGCCGCAAACAGCACAGGTTTCCGTACTTGTGGAGGCAACGAATTACGACTCAGAAGCCCAGGTACAGACGTCGAATTCCAATCCGATGCGCCTACACCCTGTACATGCTCAAGCCTTAGGTATCCGCTTAAGTCGCAATGTCTCCCCACAAATTTGCATCACACACCGACATGCCATTGGGTGAATACACCTGCTTGACAGGGCTGCCTGGCCATCGTCAGAGACATTGTGTGAACGTCCGGCATGCCTGCCGTTTTCTGTATTCTTGGTCTCCACTAACAGGTGACAGATCCCCGCAGCACGTTTCACATATGTTTATCCGGATAACAGAGTTTTTGCTTCCCTTCCGCGCGCGAAAATGCATATATCTATGATAATTCCATTTTCTTTATTCAAGTACCTACTCTTCGGTTCAGGCTGAGCGCCCAGGTTCCAGTACATCTACCAATATCATGGCTGTGTTTCATGATCTGCAGGCCTTGGACTTTGTACACCAACATCCCCTCGTCACCATTGGTTCTGTTTTATGTCTTTGGACTCTTGTGCTCGTGACCTACCGAGTCTTCTTCCACCCCCTGTCAAAATTTCCCGGGCCCAGGCTTGCGGCTGCGACATACTGGTATGAAACCTACCACGACGTTTGGCATAAAGGTGACTACACCTCTCAAATCGGACGCCTGCATGAGAAATACGGTAAGTATGACCGCAGATTTTCTTCACCGAATACCTATCAATCGTTCTTCTCGCCATCTGAGACCTGACCCGCGGCACGAAAATAGGACCCATAATCCGCATAAACCCAGATGAGCTGCATGTCAACGATCCCTATTTCATCGACACGTTGTACCCCGGTCCCGGGAAGAAACGCGACATTCCAACCTGGTGGTTACAAGGCACTAATTTGCAGGGTTCGCATTTCGGCACCGAAGCGCATGACTTGCATCGCGAACGGCGCGGCGCCTTGAATCGTTTTTTCTCGAGGGCCACTGTGGTCAAATTGGAGCCGCTGGTTAAAAAGAATGCCATCAAGCTTTGCCAGAATCTCGAAACGAACGCTGGATCAGAGTCGCCGCTGGATGCCGCGAACATTTTGGCATGTTTCGGCACTGAAGTCATTATGCAGTATATGTTTGACCGGAGCTATGGCTACCTGGATGATCCGAAGTTCAAGAAGAGCATGTACAAGGCTATCCACAGGGCAACGGAGTTTATGATCCTCTTCAGGCACTTCCGGATTTGCGAAACTATTGTCTTGAATACGCCTGAGTAAGGGCTTCCGATCCCTGGAAGCTCATAGAGAGTCGTTTGAGTGAATGCTTACAGCTGTATAGCTTCATAATGGAGTGGCTGGACCCAGACGTTCAAATTTGGCGGTCCATGAGACTTGTAATTATCCACTATCTCTATAACTGATATGCTGTTTTCGGCTCTTGGAGTAGCTGACGGGAGAAATTTTTTTAGGACACACGCAAGCAGATTCGAACGATCAAGAAGCAACAGGCTGCAGAGAGCCTGAACGACACGAAAAAAGAAAATGACGGAATCCATACAATTTTCCACGAGATTCTCCAATCCAATCTTCCGCCCGCTGAGAAAACCACTGAACGTCTGGGAAGAGAAGCCCAGGCCATCACCGGAGCCGGGCTAGAGACCCTATCCTGGAGTACGCATCCTCATCTCAGATATTCCCTACCAACATGACACGCTAACCCACCAGCCAGGTCTCAGCGTCGACCTGTACCACATCCTCAGCACGCCCCGCATCCTGCAGAAACTGCGCGCAGAGCTGCTCGCCGCAATGCCCGACATGCCGCCCCTCTCAGCCATCACCCCCGCCGACCTCCCCTCCTGGACGACGCTCGAGCAGCTGCCCTACCTCAACGCCTGCATCCACGAGGGCCTGCGCCTGTCCTACGGCCTCGCCACCCGCATCTCCCGCTCCGCGCCCACCGAGACCCTCACCTACACTTACACACCCCCCGGCGCCACCGCCCCCAAGACGTTCTTCATCCCGCCCGGCACCCCCGTCAGCATGACGTCCGTCCATATCCATCACGACCCCCGCATCTTCCCCGACAGCGACTCGTACATCCCCGAGCGCTGGCTGGGCCCTGATGGGAAGAGGGAGCGCCCCGGCCTCGAGCGCTATTTGCTGAGTTTTAGCAAAGGAACTCGCCAGTGCTTGGGCATAAACCTGGCGTATGCGGAGTTGTTCATCGGCTTGGCTAGCTTGATTCGCTTCTTGGGCGATCGCTTGGAGCTCTTTGAGACGACCAAGGAGGACGTCAGGTTTTATCGAGATGACTTTGTGCCCGGTGTGAAGCCGGGCAGCAAGGGGGTGAGAGTGTTGGTTAAGTGAGACTGGTTTTCGGGTCACTCTATGTGGTACACACAGGACTGCTGAGACGCTCATGCGGCGCACTCGTACCTTCTTTCAAGAGACACCTATCAGGTAACCTGCAAGAAGATCGATTCATAAACCTTCTATGCGCTAAGCGCAAGAGCCATAATGCAATGCTTGTTTTCCCGTTAACACCGATTATTATGCCAGGCGAGACCGCCAAATGGGAAGTTTTCCATCCAGAGCACCGAATACATCCAAAGAAAGAGGGGACGCTCGTAGCTTATTACCACTCAGATCCGTGATTCATACTCCATCAACAGAACATCAATCGCCTATCATATACGCACATGCTTACAATTGACCGCTCAAAATAGCCTCAGTAGCACCTAGAAATATTTCATTAGTAACCTTTTCTTATAACAAGAAAACAAGGGAAACTTACTGCCAATGAATGCCCGCTTCGCATCCATCGAGATGCCGAATCTACGCTCTAGTTCCGCCTTGATACTCTTCTTTGTGACGTTCATCAAGTCGGCGGTTCTCAGAATGTCTCTGATCTCAGCAAGGATGGTATCGTCCGATGGCATTGAACCGCCTTGCAGATCAGCCATCTCCATGTCGCCACCGTAGCCGTAGTTGGAGTGCGCAACGGACATGCGCGATCCGTAGCGTGGAATGTCGAGCTGAGACATGGGGCGGGAAGGGGGATAACCATATTCTGAGGCAGGAGCAGCACCCGCGCCATAGAAAGATTTGGTGCCATAGGAGATGCCGGAGTACTCGGAACGGTCGTCGCGCTGAGTCTGGGCCTCCCAGAGCTCGGCCTGGTACTCCTCCCACTTCTTCTTGGGAATGCTGTTGGGATCAAATTTGCCCTCGTCCGAGACGACGACCTTCTGACCCTTTTCGCCAGTAACGACACGAGTGTTACCCCAGGAAAAGTCATCCATGAACCAGAAAGAGTATAGCGGGAGACCGCATGAGAAGACGGGCGTCGCGATGATGTAAATAATCATCCAACCAACCATTTCCCACTTACGACGCAGAATGAAGATGATGGCTTGCAGACCGTAGACGGCGGCGAGAAGGATGAACGTCATGACGGGCACAGTATCCGGTTTCTGTGCCAACCGAACAATCATGTAGGCAAGATACCCAATGATAACGGGTTGAACGATTGTACTCAGTAAATCCAGGAAGACGACAAAGCGCATACTGAAGCAGCAGAAACCGCACAGTTGCTGGAGAGGAATGAGCTCGACAAGGTTGTGGACAGTCGAGTTGATCCAGCGACGACGTTGCGACATGAAAACCTCCCAGCTATCGGGTGCGATGGTCCAGGCATGTGCGCGCATGTTGTACTTCGTCTTGTACTCGGAGTGGAACTTCAGGAGCAGTGTGGTCAAGAATCTGTCTTCTCCCAGGTGGAGCAAATTCTTGGTGTGCAGTGTGTCGACGCGCACGACCGAGTAGCTTTCGATGATTTCCTTGCTGACGAAGAGGGGCTTTCCACTTTCTGCGGCTCGAATGCGGTACATACTGAAACAACCAGGCAAACAAGTGATGCAACCAAACAGACTTTCGAAGGCCTTGATAAGGTTGTGCGAGATATAGTACTCGTAGACCTGCATCATGGTAACGAAGGATGACTTGGCGTTGGAAAGAGCCGTTTCACCACAGAGACCGATCAAGCGGGTATCGTGGAGGAATGAGGCGACCATTTGAGTAGCTGAATCCGGAGCGACGACTGTGTCGGCATCGATCTGTAGCAAGAACTCATAGAACGTGGGATTGACTCCGATAATGTTTCTTATTTGATGGTGCATTTCGAGTTCCATAGGTGTCATAGGCAGGTTGTAATGCACCCGACTCAGGAAGCGCATGAGAACCATCTGAGAGTCACGCTTACCACGGTTACCGGGCCTAGTTTTCCGTTAGATTTCTCCTCAATAAGCGCAACGATTGAGATTGACATACCTTGAAACCTCGGAAGGCTTGCCGACCTTGACTACCACGATAAAGGGAACAATGTGACCTTGAACTTCATACAAACCAGAGTAGATTTTGCCCATGTTGTGTTGCTTCATGCCTTCGCCCAAACTTTCGAAGCTTAGCGGCTCTGGATCAACGTGCTCGGAGACTCCGAGAATGTCGAGAACAATCCTGGGTGTCGGCCTGTCGTTGCCTTGACCGATAATCATACCATCGCAGACGATGAACAGAAGTTTGCGCTTATCGTCGTATCTCATCCGAGCGGCAGAGTCAATGGCACGGCGCAGCGAATCCTCGTCTTCGGTGTATGCAGGAACAGTACAGATGATGAACTTGTCGAGGTTCTCTGGTATGTTTTTCCCTCCGAATTGCAGGGCAGCAAAGAACTTGAAACCGACAACACTGACAAGCACAATAGAAATTGCCATCAACAACCACTTTGCGAAGAGACAGCGTGTTGAGTTTCGAGTGTCTACTTCGCCGATGTAGAAGAGGCCATCCAAGCAGTTTTTCATGTTTTCTCTCATGGACGCGTCGTATGGCAACGCTTGCCAAAACTTGGTGATATCGTCTCCAGATTTACTCCGGAAAAGCTCCACCAGATCCGTGTCCATGAAGTCTGAGTCGATTCCGGTTTTATCGCCTTTGTAGCCGGGGGGGAATTCGGGCGTACGACCACCAACGAGATACTCAGTGAAATCATAGACCTTGTCATCAAGGATAGCAACCGTGTTCTGCTTGTCTGCCAGAGTCTTGACGTACTGGGAGCTGTAACCAAGCCTGCCTTTCATGTAGTTGGACTTCAGATAGGTTTGTTGCTCCCAAAACCAATCAGGCCGGCTGTCGTTAGTAGCCCACCTGAAATCGTGATATTTGGCGTTGTTGTCGTTGGTACTAACGGTGTTGTCGCTCGAAGAGTAGTTGTGGCTTTTGTAGTTGAGTTGAACGGAGGGATCGATTGACCCCTTCGTGCCGTTACAGAGAGCGGAGACTTGAACAGGGAAGAGACTCGTAGCATCCTTGCCCGCGTACTTCTTCAAAGACTTTTCTGGAACAAGATTCGGGTAATGGACGGGTATGAACGCGCCCAGATCGTAGACAATGCCGCGAATCGCGATATAAGCGTCGTTGTCACCTTTGCCATCATAGGACGTGAGTTCCGATGATGAGTAGACGTGTTGAGTAGGACAGATAAGTTCGGGAAAGCCAATCATGAAAAACATGACGAATGCACAGGCCAACCAGATCAGCATGTTGATGGCGAACTTCTCCCTCCACGCCATCCGGACATCTGGGCGTGGCATTTTACCAAACTTCCGGATGAGGATATCCGGAATCCACCATGTCAGGGTCCAGACGAGACCCACCCACCTTTTACGGCTGGCGGAATCTTTGTGCGTATCGATCTCTTCCATTTTGACCTCATTGCCCTTTTCAGCCATTTGCTCCCTAGTCTCAAGATTGTGGAACATGTCTCCGTTGACAGCGGACGCGCCAGCTTCAGACCGGGCGTCGAGTTCTCGGCTACCGAAGTAACTTGCTTTGTCATCGAAGGCGCCGCCGGGAGAAGGTGTTTGAGATGAGAGCAATTGCACCCTGGAGTCGCCGTATCCTCTACGAGCGTCGCCAGGTGTGAGCAGTCCGTCTCCGGCTTCGGAGTCAGCGTCCATGCCCATGTATCGACCACCAGCAGGGACGACATCTGCGACGCCCGCCATCTCAAGCCAGCATCGTTCACTGATGAAAACTCCAGTCGCGCCCACCCTGGCTTCATTCGAGGGCCACCCCTTCTCGTCCAGTATCATCTCGGCTCGTTCGCGTTCGCTAGCAACAACAACGTTGTCTGCTTCTGCGAGGCCAAGGAATTCACCGAAAGGCAAGAAGAGGCTGAAATCGGCATTTCTGAGGCGCTGACTGATCTCTGCAATACCCAACGACTGAACCTGGGACCTGACGCACTTGCTGTCAAACTGGTTGGCAATGCGCCGATCGTTAGGCTTCAGGCAGAAAATGAAATAGGGGTTGGTTTCCGCGGCGGCCAAAGATTTGGTGATGCTTTCAAGCGAAGCAAGGAATTGACCAGCAGCACCTTGTTGTTTGCCGGCAGTCGATTTGCGCTTGTTCCCGCGTGACCTTTCGCTGCGAGTGTCATCGTCGGTGTCGTCTCCGGTAATCCTCTTAGAACCAAACCGTCCGATTCCTCCGTTCCTCTTGGCCATACTTGGCATGCGGGTAGGCTTCGAACTGACAGAGGCTTGAACAACGGCGGTTCTTTCCTTCGGATGGACGACAGTGTTGAGAGCATCTTGTCCAAAGAGCTCACGGACAAAGTCGCTCCGAGTGTTGTTGACAAGATTGAGAAGATCGCCCGAGATGATCTCACCGTTCTCCTCCATCAAACCGTCGACGGGGTAGTCCACCTCACCAGCGAAGTGTTTCACTGTGAATGAGGCCGCAGCGTTGTGAGTAGCGAAATTGCTACCGGGGAGCTTGGCCGTAGCGCTCCCAACAGCAACGGCTGGGTTCTTCTGTCCGAAGCGCTTACCCAAACTCTCCAAGAATTGGATGTCGGTCTTTCCACGTCTCATTTGGTCGTCCAGGATGCTCAAAATACCATTTCCAGGCTTCAAAAGGCCTTTGACCGCATCGGAGTTGTCAAAGTAGCTTGTTTGAGGAATACTGACTTCTTCCGCAGACAGGAACTCCTCTTGCCTCTCAAAGAAGCTCTGCAAGCAGAAGTTGTACAGGCACTCCGAAGCAGCGTTGTTGAGTAGCTGGTCGAGGACTGATCCGGTTTGCGACACCTGAGAGAAACCGGGGAAGTCCACAATCGAGATGGTGTTGCCGACAGAGTCTTCCATTGCGCATATCCTTTGGTTGATATGCTCCATAACATACGCAACGAGTAAGGAGTACAGAGTACGGGAGAGTTCATCCGCGTTAACACGTGCACCCTTAGGATCGAGCATTACCGTTACACGTTCGCGATGAAGAGTCTTCGACTTGTAGCCTAGACTGGTCTCCAATTGCTCAGGGCTTACGCCCATGAACGCCGCGACAATTGCCAGTGTCTCCTTGTTCTTGACGATGGTCACATCTGCGCCACCTTCATGGGAGTATCCGCCGCTGTCTTCTGCGGTTGGCGTGGTAGACTTCCCCGTGGTGAATTCAAGCTGGCCGATGTGAAGGATGGCAGCCAGCACCTGACAAATCTCCGCAATATCGCTGCGAGGAAATTCGAGCTTCCTGAGGGCATTCTTGAACTGCTGGAATCCATCGGCATCGTTGATACCGACTTTAAGCTGAGTGGGATGTCCAAGGTATCGCCACCTCTTCTGCCCACCTGTCGACAGCCTGTTTCCGGCCTCGCCAAGGTGTCCAGCGGTTTCCAGACCAAGGTGTTCCTTCTCCGCCGGACTCGTGCCGGCCAACAGATAGTATAGGATGTGGAAGCTGCGTTCTCCAGTGGGAACAGTTGCTATCCTACTCCGCTCCAGCCTGTGATCCAGAATCTTACCACCAATCAAAGTGGGATGTGAGGTCGCGCTGGTATCATATTGGAGCTCAAGGTAAAGACCAGACTTCGAAGCAATAGGTGTGGTGACAGACTTGGTGCTCGTCAAGGAATCAAAGACGAAAGAAGCATAAGACAGCTTGGCGGACAGCGGAGTGGAGGAGAAGGAGAGGAGGGAAGACAGGAGATGGCAACGGAGGGTCGTCTTTCCAGAGCCAGATTCACCACTGTACATGGCGTGTTAACAACCGTGATTTCCTGATTGTTTTTTTGAGAGGAGCTTACAGAAAGACAATGGTCTGGTTTTCGCTGCGGTGGCCGAGCCTAGCCCAAGCTCTTTTGGCAAGATCTTGGGTGGCGGCCATGGCACTGCCTTCGCGCCCGCCATCAGGACCTCTTGCGGACGAGGTGTAAGTATTGAGGGAAACGATGGCGTGGGAAGAGAGCTGGGCGGTGGCCAAGTGGGCGTGGAAGCGGCTCGCGAGATGGGCGGTCAAGTGAGTGTCGGATTGCAGGTGGGCGGGCAGCGAAGGCAGAGAGGCCTGGGCATGCTGGGCATGGTTGCTGCTCATTGAATTGAGCGCCATGGTGGTGGGATTGCCCCCGAGTGCGGGACGGCGATGTGGTGAAGTCTAGCGCGCCGAGAAGAGGAGAAGGTGATTGGGAGCAGTCGATGACGAAAACAAAAAAAAAATGTCGGCTCCCCGAAGACTCGAGTAGCAGAGACGCAAACGTCAAGCGAGCGTGAAACGAAAGTCGAGCGGTGCGAGAGAAAGAAGACCTAGGTGGTGGTGACGAGCAAGTAGATCGGAGGTGGCACTAGGGTGATCAGCTAAGGGCGGGACAGACCGTATCGGACCCCCTATTCCGCTAAGAATAGCGCTACACAGCCGCGGTGACCACTCGAGGGATGGGGATTTGTGAAAAAATGCGCAAAAGGGCCGCACGTCAGGCGTAAAGAATTCGGGCGGTAACGATAGCTCTAGTGGCGACCTGCAACCGGCGGCAATCCGGGGAAGACAGTCGATCGCACTTTTACATATGGACGCGGGCAAGTGACGCGTCAACACGATGGGATGCGGCTGCTTTGCCCTCTTGCAAAGCGCCCGTCACGACGTTGCACGCTCAGAGTCTCAGGTTGAGTGACCGTCGAGCTCGTGTTCGCTACGCTAGAAGCCGTAACGGGCTAAGAATAGCAGCGCACGCCGCCAGATGTGTCCAAGGGGCAAAGCCTGTGATCCACTGCCACCGTCGCCACGCCCGACGCCCTATCCTCCGACCGCTTCGCCGTCGCAACAGGCCGTCGTGCACGTCGTGCTGTTTGCCTCATTTCCACACCACCCTCGCTATTCACCGCCGTTGTTGTCCTTCTCCCTTTGGTTCCATCGCTCATTGAATCCCAGCTCCCAACCACCTTCGCTGCCGATCCAGCGCGCGATCCACGCAGATAGAGTAGTTTATCAGCCTACGCCGCCGATCCCGCGTCCTTGCCCGTCCCCTCCAACCACAAGAGTGTGCGACGAGCCGCCTTCCCGTGCCCGAGGGCGAGCGACACCATGGCGGCCTTCAACAACCGCATGTCGACCTTTTCAAGCCTGTCGAATACCACGCCGCGTCCCGGCCATGGCCTTTCCCACCAGGTCTCGACTAGCACTCTCTTGAATGCATTGCACAACGCCTACATCCAGCACGAGCCCTACTGCCTCGAGGCAAGCACCAGCTTGGTCGTCAACACTTGGGCTACCGCCACCGCAGTCGGTCCCGACGGCCGTTATGGAGGTTCCGTCGACCTCGAATTGGGTCGGAAAGCTTGGGAGCATGCCCGTAGGAGGGCCGAAGATGGATGCATTGTTCTGGGGTGAGTTCAATCGCTCGTCCAAGATCGCGCCCCTCTCTAACAGGAGCTCGCAGGTCCCTTCACGAATCCACGCCCTCGATGTTTGCACCTTTCATTTCTGGCCTTCCTATCCAGGTCCCCGGAACGCTATATACCGCATTGAGTGTCCTCCGTGCTTTCACCTACTGTGTCACACCCCAGAACCCATCTTGTCCACGACACTCAGCGCTTGCTGCCACATTCTCTCTGAACCTGGAGGGAGCTATCACCGGGGCCACCCTGGCTCTGTCGACCAGTGGTATAGACACAAAGAGGGGTCTGATCGATGTGCCAGCCGAGGCCGGCTACAGAGCCTTTGATGTTTTCTACTACCTGAATTCCAACAACGCTTCCCGCGGAGAAAGAGAGACGCTGGGTCTCAAGCCACTTTCGGAGTATGGTCTGTTGAAGAAGTCGGGTACCTACCACCCGCCCTCCTATCTTCCTACCGCAGATGATGCCGCCGCCGCGGAAGACTTTCGAAACCACTTGAAGTCTATTGGCATCAAGGGGGCTAGTCTTCGAAAGCTCATCATGGCGCTTGCTGCTCTGCTCAAACTCGGTGACACTCTCGGTTTCCTCGTTGACGAAGAGGTGCTGGAACAGGCCTGTCTGGATTTTGCCAAACTTCTCGACATCGACCCAGAGGTTCTCCAGAAGAAATGTGACACAATGGAACGCGAAGTCTTGGTCTCCGGTCTCTATGAAGCCATCGTCGACTGGGTTGTCGCTAAAGCTAACAATGCTATACGTGCTGACCTCCGTGGACTGAAGCCATCCAATTCTGCCGACGGCAGCAACGGCGGCTATTCCGAGTCCGCAACGCCTAACATCGATGACGACGGCGACTCGGTGAGCATTACCGTCGTTGAGATCCCCGGTGATGGCTTGGGCAAGGCGATAGCTATGCGCAACGTGTTTGACGACAATGAAGGTATCAACGCGGAGATGAAGCAGGATGGCGTCGTGTTCGAATCTGCTGGTTCTTCTGTCCTCAGAGAGATGAAGTCTGCCGTCTCTGAATTCGAAGCCGACATGGGTATCACGACCGGCTCGGCCGGCCGTGAACTGGAGCAAGAACGTGACCGTCGCGAAGCGGTTCTCGAGAAGGTTGCTCACGAAGCAGAACCAGACAGCTTTTTGAAAGATCTGCTCCTGCCTACCGGTGAAGGGGTAGTGCTTGGTAAAACTGGCAGGTTTGATTTGCCTACGACCATCAACAGCAGCCGCGTCTGGTTCCAACTTTCGGTTCATCCCACTGATGAAAAGCCTGCTACTCTCAACGTCAACACTCCGGCCCCCGGTTGGTCGGCGGGAACGGTCTCACGCCAACTGCGCGCGTGGCGCTTGCCAGAGTGGGCTAATCGGCGAAACAAGAGCCTCGACTTCACCGCTGACTTCGACATCGAAGAGTTTGTCGAAAGATATGCCCCGCTTGGTTGCATGGATGGCCAAGATGGCATTGAGAGTTGGATTCTGGAGCGAGGATGGAGCAATGGCGAGGTCGTCGTTGGCACCGAACGCGTGTGGATCCGTGAAGGTGCCTGGTGGGAGGCCGAAAGCATGCGCGATATGAAGCTTCAGGAAATGGGCTCTACTAATGTGTTTGGTGGAATGGTTGGCGCAGGTGGTCTCGAGAGTGGCTATTCTGTCCAGAACCCGGCTATGGGAAGTGGATTCTTCACCCAGCAACAATATGCCGACAACATTACCTTGCAAGGCAGCGGGGAAAATTTGTTTACGCCAGAACAAGCGAGACTGAGCGTTGGACCTCCTCAGAGCGTCAAAGCCCGCTCTGTTGCACCCACCACCAGGACTGGCCTGCAGGCATTGAGCGGCGGCGACTACGGCCTTGGATACAAGGGAGACAACAAGCACGACATACAATATTACGGCGACGAGGAATTTGCCGACGGCAAGGTCGTCACCGAACAACCCGTCTCCAAAGGACGAAAGCTCTGGGTCGCGGCTACTTGGGCCTTCACTGGCTGGATTCCCTCTTTCCTGCTGCGCTACGTCGGCCGGATGAAGCGGCCTGATGTTAGGCTGGCCTGGAGAGAAAAGCTCCTTCTCGTCATGATCATCTGTTTCCTCAACGGTATTGTCCTCTTCTACATCATTGCCTTTGGTAATCTCTTGTGTCCAAACTTCGACAAAGCTTGGAATCCCAAGCAGGTCAGCCAACACCAGGGTGAAGACGACTTTTATGTCAGCCATCATGGAAAGGTTTACGACATCTCAAAGTTTTGGAAACTCCAGCATAGCGACCGGACAGGCTACGACGTTACGAAGGACAACATGGAGCCGCTAATGGGGAAGAACCTGGACGCTTACATCCAACCACTTGTTGGCCAGGCTTGTCCGCATTTGACTGTCAACAGCTCTATCGGACTGATCCAATGGAACGACACCGCTGCTACCAATGACGCGCCATTGGCTGTTCACAAATATGGCCCTACTCAGATGCCTGATCCGACTACTGCGTTAAACAAGGAGGATTGGTACCAAAAGAAGTTCCTTCCTAAAATGAAAGAGTACTACAAGGGAGCACTGGTCTACGATACGGATACCATCAAGAAGCAAGGCGATTCCATTGACCGCAAATGGGCCCTTATCGAGAACAAGGTGTATGACCTGACAAACTATTTCTATACGCAAGATCAGAACAAAGGAACCAGCACCTGGAAGTTCTTGGACACCAAAGTTGAAGACCTTTTCAATAGCAATCCTGGTGGGGATATCACCGATGATTGGAAGAATCTGGATACAGATGTTCAGAAGGCAAACTTCCAGTGCATCGAAAACTTGTTCTACGTCGGACAAACTGATTTCCGGAAATCCGCGAGATGTCAAGTCAACAACTACATTCTTCTCGCCTTCACTATCATCCTCTGTACGGTCATTGTGGTCAAGTTCTTGGCAGCACTGCAGTTCGGCTCAAAACGCAGACCAGCAGCTCAGGACAAATTCGTCATTTGCCAAGTCCCGGCCTATACTGAGGGTGAAGATCACCTTCGCAAAGGCTTGGATTCTTTGACAGCCACAGCCTATGACAACAAAAGGAAGCTCATCTGTGTCATTTGTGACGGTATGATCGTTGGTGGTGGTAACGATAGGCCTACGCCGAAGATTGTCCTGGATGTCCTTGGTGTTGATCCTAAAGTCGATCCTCCTGCTCTTCCGTTCAGATCCGTTGGTATGGGCAACGAGCAGCTCAACTACGGAAAGGTCTATTCTGGTCTCTACGAGTATGAAGGCAATGTTGTTCCTTACATTGTTGTCGTCAAGGTCGGCAAAGAATCTGAGCAGTCCAAGTCGAAGCCTGGCAACCGAGGCAAGCGTGACTCTCAGATCTTGCTGATGAACTTCCTCAACCGTGTCCACCACCGCGCCCCGATGTCACCGCTCGAACTGGAAATGTTCCATCAAATCAATAACATCATTGGCGTGGATCCGGAACTGTACGAATATCTCCTGATGGTCGATGCCGATACCATGGTCAAGGAAGACGCCCTCAACCGGCTTATCGCGAGCTGTGCCAATGACTCCAAGATCATCGGCATTTGCGGCGAAACGAGCTTGGACAATGAAGACCAGAGTTGGACAACCATGATTCAAGTTTACGAGTACTACATTTCGCATCACTTGGCCAAAGCATTCGAAAGTTTGTTTGGCAGTGTCACCTGTTTACCTGGATGGTAAGTGAATTTACAATTCTGAAGGACGACAATGAACTGACACCATTGCCAGTTTCTGCATGTACCGTCTTCGAACAGCTGACAAGGGCAAGCCTCTGATCATTTCTGATGCAATCATTGAAGACTACAGCGATTGCAATGTCGACACTCTACACAAGAAGAACCTGTTGTCTCTTGGTGAGGATCGTTACCTTACGACTCTCATGATGAAGCATTTCCCCAACATGTCGTTCAAGTTTGTTCCCGATGCGTATGCGCTTACAGCTGCACCCGAGGAATGGAGCATTCTGCTTTCCCAGAGGCGTCGTTGGATCAACTCAACCATCCACAACTTGGCTGAATTGGTCCAGTTGAAGGGTCTCTGCGGTTTCTGCTGTTTCTCCATGCGTATCGTCGTCTTTATCGATCTCTTCGGTACCGTCATCCTTCCGGCGACTTGCGGTTACATTGCCTACCTTATCTACAAGGTTGTGGGCCAGCACGGAGCGTTCCCCATGATCTCCATTATCATGCTTGCAGCTGTGTACGGTCTTCAGGCGATCATTTTCATCGCCAGAAGGCAGTGGCAGCACGTCGGCTGGATGTTCATTTATATCCTGGCTTTCCCGATCTACTCTCTCGCGTTGCCCTGCTATTCGTTCTGGAAGCAAGATGATTTCTCCTGGGGTAACACGCGTGTCGTGCTTGGCGAAGGTGGTGGTAAAAAGGTCGTTGCCGCCGAAGAGGAAGGCTTTGATCCTCGCAGCATTCCTCTCCAGCGATGGGACGATTATGCCGCGGCCAACAGCCTCCCTGGCCGCCGTGGGGCGCCAGCTGGCGAGAAGGGTTTCATGCAGCCTTACGAAGACGACGTTTACGAGATGAACGACATGCAATCTCAGTACTCGTCAGCTCGACCTGCTTCGACTGTTCTGACCGGCTTCAATCAACGGGGCCCTGTGCATATGCCGCCCCAGTCGCCTGCTCCGTTTATGGGTATGCAGCAGCAGCAGCAGCAACAGCGGAACAGCGGCTATTCTGACGCCAACAACGCTCACGGTCGTATGATGAGCATGGGCGGTATGAGCGATTACTACGGCGGCGGATCCCCCTATGGCGGCGAACAAAAGCAGGCTCGTCAGAGCGTGCACTCGCTGGGTCCGTTCCAATCTCAGGATAATCTTCTCAACAGCCCGTACAACCACAACCCGCGCCAGCGCAGCCCGCTGAGCCAGAGCCGCCCAGTCAGCGGTATGGACCTTCGTGGCGGCATTAACGGTCCTTCTGATGCCGCCATCGTCGAAGCTGTTCAGGCCTGTCTGGCCGAGGTAGATATGGATACCGTCACCAAGAAGCAACTCAAGGCGCTTGCGGAGCAGAGACTTCAGACGCAGTTGAGCGGCGAGAGGCGTGTGTTCCTCGACCAGATGATCGATCATGAGCTGGCCAACATGTAAATGCGGCGACTCGCCCGTTGCATTGTCAAAAGTTTGTTGCAAGACACAAAAACGGTGATACGAGTTGCATGGACGTGGCGCGAATAATACTTTGCTTTGATCTCGTTTGGGTTGGGGGTGGGTTTGTTTTTACGATGCCATTCACTCCCTCAAGGCGTTTAGCGGCATGGGATATAGGTGAGCATTTGCATCAGATCATTCTAGTAAAGCGTTAGTTGCTTGATGATAGGCTGCAATGCGTAACTTTGCAGTCTTCGTTGTTTGGGAAGGAACAGGTAATACAGCAAAGTCATGCCCAGCTTCGACCAGTATGTTGTGACAAAGTCCAAGTATAGCTTTCGTACAGTCCGTCTTTAGCATAGACACCACTACATCCACCGGCAGATGAACGGACTTCCTCGCGAACCGACCCGGTTTCACGCCGTGACCATGCGCATGAGGTAGGCGACTAAAGTCTAGCCCACGCTGACGTGGGAATCCTTCCCTCATATCCCCAAGGCTGAGACAACTGTCAACGGAGGAGGGCGGCCCCTGCAATATATGCCAACATACGTAGCACTCACACGGAGGTCTCCCACAATTTCTGATGCCTACATTCCAATCCTTCAGGCGTAGAAGCAGTTCTTGGCTTTGCAATTGCTTAGGCGCGATAAGGCTGCCGGCCGCTGCGCTTGGCGGCTGCGCATGGACGTGCAATACGGCGAACACGACGCCATGGGCTGCGGGTGCCATGAGCGTCGGGCTCGAGAATAAAAAAAGGAAGGAAGATTCGAGAGGGAGAGATGTGGGATAATAATAGTAACAAACGTACGTGGCGTGTGAGCGGTGGGCTGGGCATAAAAGTCGACGATTCAGGAACGGTGCTAGAGTAGTAGAGTTGTGGGCTGTGAAGGTGTGGGCTGCAGCCTGGAGGGGTGGGTATGGGCAGGATGTACACAGTACTTGTAGGCAGCTCGGGATGCTCGGGCGTGCCGAATGGTGGTGTCTCAAGCCCTGAGCGGCTATGGCGTGGCTCAGCGTATGTAGTTATAGCTGACGACAACGACCACTCGTAAGCTTATCGATTTCTTCACACACTCGTACAATGGGAGCCCACGGGTACATAGGTTGATATCGGAAAACGGCAGGGTTAAAACAACGGCGGTTGCTCGTTGAATCCTTGCCGTCACGCCTTGGGGGGATTACGCGTTCTCATGCGGGGATACGGGCTGTTTTGGGAGCCGCGGCCGTCTCGGGAAGGGCTGGCTTGAAGCATGGCCCGGGTAGTTATAGGCGGACATGGTAGAGCAAAGTCATTTGTCTCGCCAAGAGCGCGCCGGAGATTGTAGAACAAGACGGCAGGCGGGACAGCGTCATGCGGTCATCGCGCAGCCAATTGATTATACCGGCGAGGCTCGCTCTACGACGACGAAGGTACGAAGAGGGCGGCCACCGTGCATCAGATCACCGCGCTCGTAGCATTCAATGTCCACACAGCAGCCTCTGATCATCCCGCTTCTGATTCGTCCCGCACCGCACATGTTTCGGCCTGCCGCAACATACACGCCCGCCGCATGCGTGTATGCAGGCCCATCACCCTAGATACCTAACCCCCCCCCCGGTCGCCAGCCAACCGCCTCGCGGCTGGTCCGTTCAGTCAAAACAGATCACCACAACAGGCGCACCGTCGCTGTTGCTGGTGCCGCTGCTGTTGTGCTGCCCCTGCGCGTGCTGTGCGACCCCGCACCCCTCTCTGTCCTCGGATCCACAGCGCGCGGCCGGCCGCGATGGCCTCCCGCGATGGCGGGCTAATGAGATGCGGTGGTGCAGGCTTGCGGGTAGTAGCGTCAGATTGGGGTGTGTATCATCACTAGTCGCGTTGGTATTCGATCAATTCGGCAGCGGGTGAAGAGGATGGCTGGATGGTTTTCACAGTGCCTGCTCCGCACGGCTGGTCATGGAGAGAAGAGCTGATTCCGATCCCGGTCGGCGCGGAAGACTTTACAGTGCTTTTTGGAATTGGGAGGGTTGCACGACGGAGAGATCGCCCAATCTAGGCGCGACCAATCGATTGGATGTGTGAAACAAAGGGTTTGGTCAGGTTGCTTTTAAAGCATGTCCTTCTTGGACGGAATGAGATGATTGCGCAAGCGTTGCATATGGGTATCCGCCCCGACTCCCGACTCCCATTCCCACACACATGGGTGTGGAATGAGCTCAGCATCTTACAAAGAGGGAACAATGCCGACGCCGCTATTATTATCAAAGGCATGTAGTTACTTTATTTAGCAGGAGGCATGGAAATTTCGTCAACAATCACGATTGACGACGACGGCGAGAGAGAGAGAGAGAGAGAGCCGGGGAGCGATCGCCCAATCTCACCGCCCATCATTTCACCGTCCCCATCTCATCAAGGTTAATCATGATCGCCGAGTGCTACCGGGTTTTCCGCTCGTTCCAAGTTGATGGCCGGGGACAAGCGTGGAACGGGCTAAATGATCGCTCAAAGTCGCCGTCGATCCGCCGGTAGTGCACTAGGGGAGATTACTGTTGAAGTAAAGTAGGTAGAGAGAGAGGTAGGCAAGGCAGCTGGTTGCGGACAGCGGGACCGATTCGGCAGGTGGTGGGTGAGGATGTTCCACGTACTACTGTAGGGCCGGCGCTTGCAAGGGCATTGTTCGGCGCAAAAGATAAGCCTAATGCCAACGTTAAACTTGGTGATGAGAAGTGGAGTGGGAAGTGGAGAGTGGGCACCTGGGAAAAGAGAGGCTCTTTGCCCATTGAAAATGGCGTCATGTATCGTGATGGAATTGGGGGGGATCGGCAGTATGGGCGTCGTCGTCACAGTCCGGTCGGACAGGGGGAGCCGTGTGGAGGGCCAAAGGCGGGCGTGGGCGGCTGGCTGGCACTGGCTGGCATGGCGGGCACTGGGCGGGCACTGGCTACGAAGGCAAGTGGTGGCAAAGGGCGCTAGGCTGCTTGCGGGCACGCGATTTGTCCGAAACACACGGCCCCCTGAGGCTTTTGGATGTCAACGGCCGGTGGATCCAACGCTTGCGTGGACTCGCCTTCTTTTCACTACCACGCTCATGTCCTCCGCAGTCCGTGTACTCGTATAGCGTCCGCCTTTTCTCCTCCTGTCCTTTGCCAACTGCCCGTCAATCGCTCAACAACAAAATCCCTCCTCGCCCTCCTCCCCTTTCCCGCCCGCCGACTCAGGCAGGACCACTTAACATCCCCCAGCCACTCCCTCCGATCTCAAATCTCCTCCACACGACCCTCTCACCGCCATGAGGTTTCTCTCGCGCTGCTCCGTCATCATCGCCCTCGCCGTCACCATCATCCTCTACCTGGGCTGGGTTATTCCCTCGACGCGACAGTACACCCAGTGGCAGAAGTCGTGGGCCGGTGGTGTGCGCAGGATCGTCACCTTTGGAGACTCGTGGTCGGACACTGGCCGTTACATCCTCAACGGGCCCCCGCCAGGATATGAGCCCATCCGCCATCCCCTCAGCGGGCCCGTCTGGCCCGAGGCGCTTTGCGCAGAGGTAAATCCTTGTTTTTGCTCCCTCGTGTGCGAAGAAGCGCGCTGACCCGATGCCCTCTCCAGATTCTCTGCGACTCGATAGACAACTATGCCCGCTCTCTGCCGCCCCAAGTCACGCAGTACTACACCGACACGGTTGGCGCTGTCCTCGACAACGCCGTTTTCCAGAATGCCACCTCTTCCCACAACTTCACCGACTTTGCCCTGCGCGACCTTCAGCAGCAAGTCCGCGATTTCGTCAAGATGGAAGGCTTCAAGCGCATGTGGCCCACTCAGCCGCCGAGAGAGTGGACTCTTTTCACCATCTGGTTTGGCCTCAACGATATCTTCCACTATTCCCGCCTTGAGCGCGATGTCGCCAAATTCGCCATCACGAAGAGCATTAACCACCTGTTCCGCCAACTCAACATCATCGCTGAGTGGATGGACGCACCCATCCTCGTCGTCCTCCCCAAGGCCGTGAACATTACCAACCTCCCCCGCTTCAACATCGAAACCATCGAGAACACGGATACTACCCGTCACCGCATGGCGCTCGAGCTGGCTGCCTTCTGGAACGAGGAGCTCTCATCCGCTGCTGCCCAGTGGAAGCGCGGTCACATCTTCCTCCTGGAGGCCGACAAGTTCATCGAGGGCCAGGTCCAGGCCAAGCTGGCGCACGGCGCACCCAGCGTTCGCAAGCGGGCTCCCGAGTTCAACGACGTTACCAGCCCCTGCAAGACTCTGGTCTACCCATCCTCGAACGATGAGGATGGCTCCGACCAGCTGAGGTTTGAGGAGCACATCTGCGAGGACCCGGACAGCCACCTCTTCTGGTGAGTTTTGATTTTGAAATTTACATGTGAATTCGGTGTTGACTTTATAATTAGGGACGACTTTGCTCTTTCCGGCAAGGCCCACCGCATGCTTGGCATGGAAGCCGGCAGGCTCGTCAAGCAACGCAGCACCTACAACACCTACGTCGCGCAGCAAGCCGTCGAAGCCGTCCGCTCGTCGATTCCTCCTTGGCTCAAGGACCGTGTTGATCAGTTCCACGCCAAGCAGAACAGCAGCAACTAAGCGGGCTGCCAATTACCGGTCTTGCTTTCGACGTTGACACTACGAGCGACCATCACCAAAGCGCCGTGCCGTGCCCTGAGCACGACTATCTACATGTTACGACAGAATACGCTACCACGAGGATACCGTGGATCCGATCCTTATACCTGGCCTAGATGACGATGGAGACACATTGGAGGGTTTTCCACCCAGGGTCTGTCTTGTCACGGCCACAAACGTTGTAATGTCTGGCGACGTACAGTTGCCGCACTCGTCTGGCTTTTACCTATCGACTGTCTTCTCGCACCACTAACAAAGCCCGCCTTCGCGCTGTGGGCTTTCTCACCATGTTTCCCGCCGCTCGAGGAATCAATCTCACGCCATCGTTTGCGACGTGCCAATTTCGCCTGCCGGTTGCTTCATCTATCTAAGCGCGCGAGTCGATGGTTCATTTCCGACACTAGATTGCGTTCGTTACCGTAATTATCGTCGGAGTGCGCCAAGTCACCTCAGGTCCCGCTAGCCCAGCCTGCATCCCCCTGGGCCGGCAGCAAGCAAACTCTTATTCGATACCCCGAGCTCTCCCTTTTTGTTGTTTTATGTCGAGTTATGCATTTCAGCGAAGCATTAGAGAGTGGCTTTTTGTTCCCATGTTTCCGCTTGTGTATATTTTTTACTGCGGTACATGCCTCAATATTCTACTGGATCAGTCAAGCTTTTTTTTTCCCCATTCTGGAACGGAGGAAAAACTAGCAATGGGGGATTTGCACACGGTGTTTTTGGCTTTCCCCCCACTTGGTCGATGTTGGACCAGGCGCTTTGGGAAGTATATTATATATCTTTTTCTTTCTCCTGTGGCTGTCTTGGCTCATCTCTTTTTATTCCCTCTCTCTGAACATAATAATGTGGCGGACTTTGGTAGCGGAGTATGGGGGTGCAGCGTGTCTGGGTGCGGCAAAGCAAAAAGTCAAGAAAGACGCGGGCGGTTGGTAGGTTATACCAGCTTGTCCGTGTAACAATGGAAAAGAAATGCAGTTTTTCGATACTACCTACACCATATCTCTCCCTTGCCAATGATGTTGGTGCTTTTGCTGCAATGACGATTATACTGAACGCGATCCTTGGCAGGGATCCAATGATGGAGCTGGGGAAGAAGAGCCTCTCGGAAGTGTCCATTTTGAGCGGATGTGAAGGTCTTCGAGGCGGCTCAGGGGAATGAAGCACACTCACAGGGTCCAGACTCCGGCTTGGGAAGGGTAGGGATTGTGTTGATTGAAGCATTTAGGCAATGAACGAGCTAATGTATGATCCTATGAGGGTAGGTACCTATGCAGATAGTGGTTTACTGCCCGAGTTTCGACTGACCAACAAGGTCTGTACTTGCTATCGCGCCGCCCAATACAACCAATGGAGTATTCTGTCTGCTCTCGGAGCCTGGGCTTGGGAAAAAGTAGTGTTATCGATGACTGAGGAGAGGAAGTCACGGTCGGGCTAAGCCGTTATGGTGTGATTGATTAACTGTGATGTTGGGCTGGCAAAGCAAGGGCGGATCTTCTCAGAATTTGGATGCTTGAAGAGCCGACAGCATGTCACTGATGTCGTGTAAGCCGCGTGTCAAAGCGTCAAACGGTCAAACGACACCAATGCTCTAGTGAAGTTCTCTCACTGGCGATCAGGATGCGAGTCGCGACCAGGGTAGGTAGGTAGGCTCGGGCGGAAAAGCTCCGCGGCCGAACCCGCAGCAGCACTGACTTCATCGTATCGCCGTTCGTGAGCTTGCCCAGAAACTACCTGCGTGAAGCGCTGAGCTTCCGTTGCCAATTCCACCCTCGACTGAGACCGTCGCGATTGTGTGTTCGACCGTCATGCCCCGCGGTTCCCTTGGAACTTGAGACGCCCCCGCTAGTGCCACTGTTGCCTGGTTCCTCCTTCTCGACCGATTCCGATTCAACCCAGTACCTGCAGCTCCTTCCCCCATACCAGACAGACATTGAGCCACGACTTCTGCCCGACTTAACGCCCACCTTCTGCACCATGATATCCACCGTCGAGGAGTTCGCGCTGTCCGATACGAGTCGCTCCTTTCGCCGCGCCGGCAACAACGAGTACGCTTTTCGCGTGCCGACGCCTCCTCGTATCATCATCCCACCGCCTGCGCACAACATGGAGTCAGTGGCAAATCTGCAAGTCACCAACGTCTCGACGATCGATAGGAACGGGCCAGACGTGAGCTTCCTCGCCTTGATCAACCAAGGTCTGCTGGAGTCTCAGAACGCGGGATTGGAATGGACATACGAGAAGAGACGCGAGGCACAGTTCGTCACGCCATATATATATTTGGGACCACACAGCGCAGCGAAGGATCGCGAATTTCTCGTTAATACGGGCATCACCATGCTGCTGGGCATCAGACATGGAGCAACTCCAGTGAACGCCGCTCGGCGCATTGCGCAGGAACTGGACATCACATTCACGACCGTCGATGTGCTCAACCCGCAAGAGCTCGTCCACTCTTTCCCTGCCTCTACGAGTATCATCAACGCCCACCTCTCCAAAGTTCAGAGTCGCATACAATCTGGCCAGGGCAGTGGTGCGGAGCACGGAAAAGTCCTCGTCTTCTGCGAGTCCGGCAACGAGAAGTCGGCGGCTGTGGTGGTGGCGTGGATGATGGAGATGTTGAATCTGGATTTCCTCAGGGCCATGCAGTTCTGCCAGACTCAGCGTTTCTGTGTCAACTTCGACGATAACCTAAAGCTCATCTTGCAGTCATATGGCGATATTCTGGATGCTAAGCGCCAAGTTGCCTCATCAAGGAGGGAGCTTACAACTGGTTTGTCACAATCGGGCTCCAAGCGCTCTCTGGATTTGACTCCTGTTGAGGATATGGACGTGGATGCTACTACCGACGATGATATGGCACGGTTTGAGGGACGCGACTACGCACCTTTTCAAGATGTCGACTGAACACTACTCTTGAATTAGTGTACAATGATCGAAATCGAAATATGGCGGACCGTCTGCTAGACAGCGGCTTTATGGGAGGGATGGTTTGTTTTCTGTAAAGAAGATTGTTTTCGTTCGGGACACCCTGGTAGAAACTGGGCTTTACGCTTTACGGGGATTGCTATATCGGTAGGTAGTTGCGGGTGTAGTTCATCGACAGTCGGGCTGATTGTTTTAGCATAGGTGTTAACAGTATGAGGCATGAGAAAACTAGGTTCGGAATTGCATGGGATACCCAGCGGCGTTAACATGGCTGGCTCGAGTTAAGTAAGCATAAACAGCTTCAGACAGGAAGAGAAACTCACTTTCTCCCACGGCTTGTTATAATTTCGTGATCTCTGCTCTGCAATTTTGCCACGCAGACGGACGCCGAATTCTTTCACCTACCCTACCAACGTCTCCGTCGAGTATATTACATCAGTACCGGGTAACCAGCACTCTTGTGTCCGTGGTTTGTCGTCTCCCTCGCAGTCATAGGTAGGTACCTATCTTGACACGCTACGTCATCAATCACCTCCCACGTACCTACCTACCTAGTTCACTTTCGCTTTACCTTTTCAACGCGCGACAAAGTTTCTCGTTTCATCAACCCGACCGACCTTTACAACAAACCTCACTGTCGAAGCGCTTTGCTCTCGCACCGACACAGCGCAACGCGAAGCGCCCTCTCCAAGATGCGTTTAGGCGAAAAGCGCAGGCGCCGTCCACCCCGTCGCTTCACCGAAGATTCGGACGTCGAGGAAGCGTATAGACCTCACCCTAGCCCTGGCCGTAATCGCAAAGGTGCCAAACCATGCAAGACACCGTCCACGAAGCCTTTTAACCCTAAACTTTTGGCGACTTTCCCGGCTGCGTTTCCCAGTTTGCATCTTGACGATAGATTGAACCGGCCACCTAACGAGGACTCGTCCGAAGAGGAAGTTGTCTTACCAGAGAGCGATGAAGAATCTGAAGAAGAGAGGTTAGTTTCCGAAAAAGCAGTTCTTGTGTTACCAGGTACTAAGCAGCAAACAAGGCCAAGACATACATTGACCACGTTGATGCAACGGGTCGATCGCGCCCAATCTTCAATATGGTACCACGCTCCTCAAGAACTGGTGTATAGGGCTGTGGTCGTTGGCAATACTCACGGCGACGACGAAAGCCTGGCTAAAGAAACAGTAGGTTATGAACCGATCCTCGGTCTATCTTTGAAGCTTGTGTGCTAACAATGAGTGTTAAGGTGGATTTTAAGAGCCTCCATGATGTCGCTCAAGCGACCATTATGCTGAACATTTACGCCGAAGCTTGCGAAATGTCTTTCGAGGATCCGTGGTATCCGGTTCAACACATCCTTGATTTGTCAAAGGAATACATCTTCGGAGTTTTGACGGCTTTCGAAGAGTACAGTACAAAAGGAAGATACCCTGGCGTGCTTACGGAGTTGCATGAAGAATTCTTGCACGCTCGCCGTTACCTCAATGAAAAGGACTACCCTCGTGAGTTTTTAGACACATTTGATCCTTGCTCACCACCCTTTGCTGCCGGTACACAGCCTAAGCAAGGAAGACACACACCATGGGCTCCAGACGCGGACAATTTACCCCACAGAGATCTGGTGCACTTTGGCCGACCCGAAGAACTTCACGACAACAAGAGTCTTAATGACGTCTTTTATGGTGCAAGAGACAAGGAGTCTATGCGTGCCCGACACGATACCTTAAATGCGATAGTTTTAAAAAGAAGAAGGGACAAAGGGAACAGTGAGGGTAAGCTTTTGTCTGTCAACATCTGTAAAGACTGGCTTTCTAACAGAGCTTTAGGGTCAAACTCCAATTCTTCCGAGCTTCCAAGACACACCCCATTGCCAACTCGTGTTCCTCTGATAAGGACAGTCTGGCGGGGACCTATGCCCTCACAGAATCAGCGTACATTCAATGGAAAGCTCGATATGTCAGGGTTCCCGGAGATTGTATCCGGCCGCTCGATAAATCCACTTTCTTTGAAATTCGGCTCGCTGTTTGCGACACCGACGCCGGAGCATCTTTCACAAGGTACAGTGGAACCTGCTACAGCCGAGCTGCTGAAAATCATAGCTTCAACCTCATCCCCAAAGCAAACGTCCCAAAATCAAGGACGCCCATCGTCGCCAGAAACCGATGCACCAATCTCACCAACTTTCTCGCTTCTTTCCTCTCTGGATGCGGAGCAAACGTTACCTCCGCAACCTTCACTAACGACGAGACCAGTGTACGACCCTTACGCTGGACATCCTGGTCCCCACCTACCTTCCATCAATGCAGGGAACGAGGCTCATATCCCGCCAACGCAATTGTCGACGGCTATTGCTCCGCCCATAGCGCCGACACCTTCGTCACAACCGAGTTCTACGGCGGGCAATTGGTGGCAAGCGGATATGCAACGAGTTCAGCATCGGCAACCTCCCTCTGCAAAGTATATTGTACGGAATGGCGCCAAAGTGGTAGATCCACAAAGGCCAGGAGAAGGTCGTCGGGTCCTTGTCTCGGACAGCAACCCCCAACAGGAGGAAGAAGGTGATTTCACCGAGAATGAAGAAAGAAGACCCTCTCAAACAGCTTTCCCTAGTCCTATTAAGAAGCCCAGCAAGCACTCTGCTCAATCGCCTACGATGAACGCTCCCGTGGCTCCTATGTTGCGGCAACCGGGAATAATGGCAGATTCTGGAGCTACTACACGTGGCTCGCGTGGACCGGTCGGACAGTCCGTTGATCCACACAGTAGGCTGGGCGTTGCTGTCATGTCGAGAGCCGGAGCAATGCGAGATCTCGATTTAGGATATCAGGTGCCAGGCCGCGGTGGGCTACATGCTCCCGTTATTAACAGAGCCACTGAATCGCGCTTAAGTCCGCAAGAGCAGTCTTCACTTCCAAACATTCTTTCAACCATGTTCCCGTCGTCCCAGTCGGCCACACCAACTCAAGTTCCTCTAGTGCGCGAAAAAACTCAAGATGTGCAGCCTATGCTGAACAGACAGGAACAAAACCAGTGTAGCAACGATGAAGCTGAACTAGCGGCGCAGGAAACTCCAGCCCACATTGCTGGATCTATGGTTTCGGCTTTACCCACAGCTCATGCTGTCAATGAGCATCAGGAAAAACGAGTGGAGGTGGAGGCACGCAGCGATATACCTCAGACTCAGCATGACCGGGATGCTGCGTCTAGCATGCCGAACGCAGCACCGATAGCCACCTCGCCCACGACATCTGTTCGATCAGAAATAGTAAGAGTCACGCCAGTTCCAGTTAGGAATATGCCAAGGAATGAATTAATTCCGGCAGACAAACCACCGGGAGCGTCTCAGTCTAAACAAATAGATGAATTGCAGGTCAGGGGCGCTATTCCTTTGAGCTTGTTGGCACATGCGCTGCAAAGCCTGGAAGACACGAACCAAATGGAGCCTTGTGCAATCTCGGCGTCGTCTCGAGCATCTGTAAAAGAGACAAATGCACAATCAAGCCAAGGCTCCTCATCGGAACCAGCAGTTACGAAGAAGCTTTCGCTCCCTGAGCTGCCTTCGATTGATTTGTCGCCCGTCGAGAGAGACTACAAAAGCCAGTCGCATGTTGCTAACATTGATCCTCGGGCTTTTCCTGCGCCCATCCAACCTGCTCCAGCTTCAAATAACCCTTCAGCTACATGCAACACAAATACTGCTACGAGCCCCAGGCCAGGATTTATGGATCCGGCAGCCATAGGAGCGAGGCATGTGTTGAACAATTTATTTGTTCATCCAACTACTCCATCGATTTCAGCTTATCAGACAATGGGCTCCGGAATTGTACAAGTTTCACACCAAAGAACGCCTTCTGGACGACCTGGTCACGGTGCATCGGTGCACCCAACTCCTTCATCGATGGCTTCTTCTGCGTCAGATGTACAAGTGACACAAGGAGGCAGCGAGGCTCAGGCAGGTATGCGTCAAAATAGCATTTACTCGCCCCACATTGGTGTTTACAGCAATATTGTGCTGCCAGAGCTAGGTTTTACTTACCCACATCCACATTCACATTCACATCCGCATAGCCATATCACTTCACAGAGAATGAATGAAACTGGCGATTGGCACCAACAGCTCGTGGCTCATGCTGATTTGGTTTCAGGCGGCTCGGTAGCAAACAGCTTGGGAACCGTTGAACCATTGAGAGAGCAGCAAATTAGAGGGACTGTGGCATCTGGAACACAGCCAGTATCAGCACCAAGTACTACACAAACGCCTGCATCGAACTTCGAGAATTATGGTCCGTCGAATCGCCAAAACAACACTTCCTACTACGCTCCTCATAAGTCACATAGCGAAACCGGGGGTGATTCTGACCAAAAAGTTTTCGTCAAGTCGGCCACCAATAGTCCTGCAAATCACGAAGCAAATCACCCCATCAATCCATTGATTTTGAATCAGCATGTCTTTCCAAGAATGGAAACAGGCTGGAACAATACACACACAGACATCCGAAAGCCTGATGATGGACCAAAACAACAGAACGTTCCAGTTGACCCGGCTCTCATGGGCGGGTTGACACTACCAACATCTAGCATGGCCTCAACAACGGTGGGTGGGCCTGTTCCGATCTCCCGGCAGCCACCTCCCATGGCACATGCTGTTACAAGTGAAACAAAGGTGATCCAAGGCTTTAACGGCGGGGCCCTAAAACCTAACCAAGAGCCTGGAAATATGAAGAAGAATTTGAGTTCAACTACTATGCCTTCGAACTTTGACCGCGAGCAATCTTCAACGGAATCATCCGATGAAGCAGTAGACATGATTGGGGGAGCTCCGAGCTCGCCTCCATTCAGGCGCACCATTGTCGCTGAACAACGCGATAGCATGCAACCATATTCATTCAACCAAAACATGACGGCACCAAAAATGCCAATGCCGATAGACAGACCACAGGTTGCACGCGAGTTAATCATGCGTACTGCGTCAGCGCCACCCATGGCGCCGAGGTCAGCCCCTGGCACTGCATCTACCGTACCACAGCTGCAGCCACCGGCAGCTGCACCTTCAACGCAGCCACAAATGCCCGCAGCAGCCAACACCATACGGGAGGCAGTACAACAAACCTTCCCATCGAAACTAGTCTTCCCAAGTATCCAGAACTCGATTTACGGCTATCCTCGAATTGATGTCTCAGTGCCTATGTCAACCTTCTCGTCTCATGGAAGATATGTTCCGAACATGTCTGGCTTTGGAGCCGGTCCCCCGGGTCCAGGATATGAAACGGGTATGCAATTGCCCGGCCAGTTGAGCATGGAAAATCGCAGTTTATCCTTGCCGTTGGCTTTCCAAGGGTCTTTGACTCCGCCTGGTATGCCAACTGAGAACGTGGCGGGCCAGACCACAGCCCCTGTCCAGTCAACGGCTGCTGTTCGTCCTCCGATGAACATGCAAAATTTCAGGCATCATGGCCCGATCGATAGCAACCTCATCTTGCCATCAAATGTTGCAAATGAACTACGGGACATCTTTACTTCTGATGAAGTTACTCCTCGATACACGGGTACATTCCAGAAGGACAAATCTGCAGCTCCATCGGTCAACCACACTGAAGGCATCACTAATTTTTCCGGTACGCCCAACGCCCTGAGTCTAGATCAGTCTACTTCACATGGCCCTGGCAATATTGCAAATACTGCCCAAGTTGGCCCCGGCGAAGACCAACCAAATGAATCCAATCCAGCCGCTCAGAAGAAGCCTAAGTCCGCAGGGTCTCAGAAACGTTACCAGTGGGTAAAAGGCGGACGTGGAGGCGGCCATTACATCAACCCGGAGACTGGAGAAACACTCTCCAAAGAAGAGGCTGCAGCCCGGGGTGCCAAGCCCAGGGGGTTAACCCGTCCTCGGGACAAGAAAGGCGCACGTACGGATACTGGAGATGGCAACAAGCAAACTACAACAGCGCCTGGCGCTGAAAATGAAGAAGCTCAGATGGCCGGTACGGGAAATCAAACTCAGCATGCACTTCAAGACCGGTTCAGCCGTGCAAGGTCGACGGCGTCTTTGGAATCTCAACCATTGGATGAGAGCTCCACAATCATATCTGGATCTGCACTTTCGAGAGCTGAGTCTCCAAAGTTGCAGTCATCTCACGGAAATCCTACTTCTACACCGGCAGCAACGGACACGACCACAACACCAACTCTGAGTACGGCGTCTAACACAAGGAGCAACGCCACCGTGGGTGCGAGACGTCGTGAACGGGCGAAAGAGCGTGCTGTTTAGAGCAACCAAGGGAAGCACCGAGTTAGGAGGCAGAAGCAGGCAACAAACTTTGAAGGGCAATAACCTCAGAAATTGCTTTTGCTACAGAAGAAAAGAAGCTTTAGGAAGTTGGCACTGTATAAAATAAAGACGTTGCTGGTATTGGCAGACTATCGTACGGGCCGACACAACGGAGTTTATGGCATTGAAGAAGGGTTGCGAGGTAGCTGGAGCTGTACAAAAGATACAGAGGCTTTCAGGGTCAAATAAATAAGTCAAAGAGCCAGCCCTTGATCGTATAGCTTTCGAGTGCTGGCTCCATATATAAATAACTGGTTTTTCCACTCTAAACGTCAGGTACTGTACCGAAAAACTTTCTCTCGAACGAAATAAACAAGACGTCTGCTAACATTGACTTTGGCCCTCCTAGGACTGAAAGATGTAGGCGCATGAGCACGGAACCGAGCCGCTGTGGAGTCGAATATTTTGAAGCCACAAACGCTCTCGCCATTTGAGCTTGCTTGTAGAAGTAGTGGATGACGTCTCCAGAAGCAGGACAGACGCCGAATTCTCCTGCTATGCGCCTACATTCTCCGTCCTCGCAGCAGCCAGCTAAGGGCTCTAAATCTGACAGATGCTTTGTTGGCATCTGTCGGGTGTGCCGAGAATAGCCTTGCGCAACTTCGATCCCGGAAAAAATCCTCCAAGGCATGAAGCATTCCCTTGTGCGTCACGGTATGATCAGGCCATGAGGGGAAAAAAGCAAGTTCGAAATAGACGAGGCAGCTGCATGGCAAGGTAGCCCTGGGAGACCATCAGCAAGGCTCTGGATGCCAGGGTTGCAGAGTTGAGGTGTCGTCAGCGAGAGTAAATTGCGGCTTAATCGCAGCAGCGACACCATACCGCATGCGGTAACCCAAACTGCCAAATGAGGCCCCACATGGAGCGGTATTAGCAGCCGCGCAGCCGAACGGCTCGGACGATCAATTGGCTAAACGAGTACGCTGGACGTGCCATGCCAGTCACCCCGCAGACGTGCCTCACTCCCCGCTTCCCGCCGCTGTCGCTTTCGCTTCACCCTGTGCAGCAATAGAGGAAAAATTCACTGCTGACGAACAGTGAAGGTGGATCCGCCTTAGAGCCGTTGGATATTGCCGAAAAGGCTAATGAGGCGTTTGGCTACGCCGCAAAGTGGTCCACTAGTGGTCTTGAGGATGAGGATGAGCAGGGCTTTGTCAACCTGAAGCCGATGAGAGGATCGAGGCTAGGCGTCGGATGCGACCCTCATCGGCAACTTGTGGAATGGACAGGCCCTGCTGCATCAGCTTGCGACGGAAAGTCAAGGACCTGTCACTGGGCTCGGAGCGCCATCTTGCACCCTCCAAAAAAAGCTGCCTCGATCAAGGTTGAGACGCCAAGTAGGTATCACTTGGCCGAACTCCTGACGAGTATATCAGTGCCTAGAGCAGCAGCTCTTCAAGTATGGTTCTATGGATGTCACTGCGGTGGTCGCGGTGTTACTCTCCCATCTCTTTGACGCCATTTGTATTTCTTAGCCATACCCTTTTTGGAGCAGCGGGCATTTTCTTAATGAATCCATCTTTACACTGCAGGAAAAATGAACAAGAGGCCTCTTGAGATCCTCATTTTCGGTACAGGGGGTAACTTCCACCACCAACGCTTTTTGATACTTCACTCACTGATGACTTTACCATAGCCGTAGGCTCCACTCTCGGCTGGAGGCTCGCCCAGAACCCGTATACGCGCCTCTCAGTCGTGTGTCGGTCGAATTACGATGCAGTGAAGAGGCATGGCATCCAGCTGCGGACCTCCCTTTGGGGCAATGGTCAGTTTCGGCCTCACCGAGTCTTGACCTCCACCCTCCAAGTGCACGACGTGCCTTTCGATTACGTCGTATGCACGAACAAAGTCACATCTCTGGAAAGTGACTCGTTCATCCACGCCATCGCCCCCGCCGTCTCGCGAGGCACGACCCTCGTCTCGGCGCAGAATGGCATCGGCGTCGAGACTCCACTGCGCCAAGCCTTTCGCGCGAATACGATCCTCTCCGCAGTGTGTTATATCAGCTGCCTCCAGCCAAGCCCAGGCCTCGTGCAGCAAGTGTCCTCGATCCGACCGCACGCGCTGCACATCGGCACGTTCGACGAGCGCCACAGCAGCGACAGGGAGCTCGACCACGCGCGACTGGAGCGCTTCGTTGCGCTGGACCCCAAGTTCAAGCTCGTATCCGACGTGCAAGCCGAGCGGTGGACCAAGCAAGTGTTCAACGGCTCCTGGAACCCGGCGACGGCCATCTCGGGGCTGGACACGCACGGGCTGCTGGCCGCGGCGGGCCCGCAGCTCGGCGTCGTCGAGGCTCTGGCCCGCGAGATCTTCACTGTCGCGGTTCGCATCGGCGTTGCTCTGCCACGCGACCTGCCGCAGCGGACGGTCCAGTTCGCGCGCGACAACCCGCCGATTGCGCCGTCGATGCTGCAGGATGCGCGCGTGCAGAGGCAGATGGAGGTCGAGTCGTTATGCGGTATGTCGAGTCCCTGCGCAACGGCGACTTTCTTCGGGTTGTTCGGTGGGGCGCTGCTGCTGCTAGGGCCCCTGGGCTGACTTTTTCTGCTAGGGAATATTGTTCGCCTCGCCGACGCGGTGGGTGTGCCTGTGCCGACGGTCAAGGCTACCTACAGGACGCTCTTGGGCATGAATAGAAGGTTCCAGGCGCTTGAGCAGCCTGTGCGGATGGGCGACTTTTTGGCTCAGCGGCCAGCGGTTTCTCACAGGCTGACTCCGCCGCTGCTGGACAGGATTCCGGCAGTGTCTTTGGCAGGATGATGAAATTGTTTGCAGTCGTTACTTGTTTGGCCTGGCATGTCTTTTTCGTTTTGAACATATGAATTTTGTTGTCACAACAGAACGAGGAACGTACTCTGTAGATAAGATGAAAGCGGTAAAAACTCAAAACAGCCTAGAAATCAGCTGTCAGTGAGAGCTTTGTAGGCGTTTGGTTAATCTAAGGCGGCCCCAGCACTTTGAGAATTCGAAACACTGTACGATGCACACTGCATCTTTGCCTAATTGCCCGTTTGTCTTCGATTAGCGATCAGTGATGTTGAGCGCGTTGCGCATTTGGGCTCCTACTCACCTCCGAACGAAATCCGTCCGTCCCACGCGCTCCGCGCCCCTCAGCGCCTATTTTCATTTCTGATCTGTAGCTTGAAAAAAGCCGTAAGGCTTGGTCCCTCAGATCGTGTGTCGTGGCGGGAGCGCAATTTTTTTTTCCTTTTGTTGCCCCAGTCGTGGACCTGCATGAGCGTCGTCACTTTGCAGGCGCCCCGCTGCCGTTTCGGGACGTTGATGCGCATCGGCCCAACGCCGAATGCAGGCACACGCATCTTGTTTTCCTTGCAGGTTTCTAATATACTGCCTACATATACACACCTGAGTGGGTAGATCATCACGCGCCTCGCTTCATGCAGCGCCAAATTCTCCGATCCTATCGTCGGCTTTAGTTATCATCTGCTTCACTGATCATCTGAGTGTTGGGTTATCGCGATGCCTGAATGTTGCCGAGGGTAAAGTCCCAACTTGATCAATATTTGTGGGCAGAGCTGAGGGAGAGAGTAAGCACTGAGTAAGTAGAAAATCACGGAGCCCGATCTGCACAAAGAGGAAGAAGCAACTTCTTGTTGCACCAATAGCTGAAAAAAGGAAGCGACTTCTGCGATACCAACAAAAAAATAATCTCCAGAATCATGACCAAACAGCAAGTAAGTGACGAAACCTAACAGCCCCTCAACTCCAAGGCAGTGTTCAACGCCTTCTGGAAAACCTCAATATTCTCCGGCCGCAGGATAGTGAAGTGCGAGCCCTCCACCCGATGGTACCTCAACGGCCCTTCACTGTCTTCCACATCTATATCCGCTTGTGTAGAACCAGCCACATGATTCTTCCAGCCTGCCAGCCAGTTATAGCGCCACTGCTCATCCGAGCAATTGTATTGCGGCAGTGGCGGCACCCAGAAGATGTCGAATTTGGACACCTTGCCTTGCGGTTCGTAGGATTTGGTGATGTTCTGCATGTTGTTGTTGATGCGGGACCACGTCTCCACCTTGGCGTGCGTCAGGCCCATGCTTTCCAGTGTACCGTCCGGGAAGCGCGCGAAGATCTCAGAAGTGAATTCATCGTCTGGGATGTCGTTCATTTCTTCTTCCCAGCGCAAAGCCTCTTCCATTGAGAGAATCTGGAAGAAGTGAAGAAGATCGATGAAGAAGTTTCGCGACTTCTCGCGCACTTGTATGCGGCGCAAGTCGGCGGGATTGTCGATACCGGCGATGAAGCGGACCTCGTCGCCGTTGACTTCCAAGCGTTTCCCCAGCTCGAAAGCCAGGAGACCGCCGAAGCAAAGACCGAGAAGTGCATAAGGGCCCTCTGGTTGATGCTTCTTGATGCCCTCGACGTAGATGTCCAGCATCTCGTCAATGGTCTCGAAAGGAGTTTCGGACTTGTGGAAGCCACGGACACGTAAGGCCAAAACCCTTCGGTCTGGGATGTAAGGCAGCAGACCCAACCAAGTCAAGAATTCGCCACCACCAGGATGGCACAGGATGAGCGGGTTCTTGGAGCCAGTCGTGACGAGTGGTACTATCGGATCGTACTTGGGAGTTGTGGTCCCAAGAGTAAGGAGCATAAAGTCTAGATCACGGATAGTGTGGCATGCGAGAAGCTCCGTCATTGGCATCGGGTCCTCCGCATCAAGCGCCTTTTCCAAGGATGACTTGATGCGCAAGTAGCCTAGACTGTCAATACCAAGGCGAGAAATGACCGTATCCAGGCGTAGGTCCGAAAGCTCCACGCCTGTTTCGGCAGCAAAGACCGTCCCAATGGTTTTCTGCAATGGCGTGATAAGCTCAGAGCCCTTGGATTCTGCAGATTCGTCAACGGGAAGCGCTTCCGGCAGCTTGAATTCGTCGAACTGTCCTGCTTGGTATGCTTTCTTCAGCTTGGCCCGTGACAGTTTGCCAATGGTTGACTTGGGCATCTTTTCCTTCGGCAGCGGGATGATGACAGCAGGGCTTTTGCGACAGAAACGAATGGCAGCTTCGTTAATCTGCGAGATGGTATCCCGGAGCTCGGGAGAATCTTGCACTACATCGTCGCGGGGGTTTAAGAGTATGACAATGTCCTCGCTATCCGCCTCGACATTATCATCCCAGATGGAAAAAGAGGCGATGTAGCTTGGCGTCAATCCTGCTATCTTGGTTGACTCAATGGCGTGTTCCAGCTCGAATGAGGAGTAGTTCTGTCCGTTGATGATGAGAACCTCCTTTGAGCGGCCAACGATACGGAGGTTACCAGCTGGATCCAGAAGCCCGAGGTCACCGGTGTCGAACCAACCATCCGGAGTCATACAGGCATCGGTCGCGGCCTTGTTGTTGAAGTAGCGCTTGAGGATGAGAGGGCCGCGCACCTGGATGGCACCAGATGATCCTTGAGGAACGTGGTTTCGTTCTTCGTCGACAATGCGCAGAGAATGCTGCGGGAGGTGTTTTCCAACAGACGCGAAGACGTATCCGTGTTCAACGTCATATGTGGGTGATTCCAGATTGTAGAAGAAAGCTGAACAAGTCTTCATCCGTACTCGTCAGCGTATATAATACTAATGAGGCCGCAGGTATAGGAAGTGCTTACCTCAGACAAACCGTAACTCGATTTGATACTTCTTGGTGGAGCATTGTATCGCACCAAAACCTCCTCCGTCATCGCCAGAGTGCTTGTCCGGTTCGCTTCACCGCCACACATGATAACTCTCAAATTACTGAAATCATACTCGTGCTTCCCACTTTGCTCATTCATCGCACGGGAGGCTGCAGCCAAAAAGAAGTTGGGCGAGAATGTATACGCAACCTTGTGTTCACTGAGAGCAGCCCAGAAGCGGAGTGGCTGACGCACGAAGTCAATAGCCGGGATCATGACTTGGTTAGCTCCTGCATACAGAGCTTGCAGGTGAATCTCGCAAAGAGCAGCACTGTGGTCGAAACCTTGGAGCACCATCGAGTCAGCCGTTTGCTCAAGCATTATTGAAAAAAGCTTATTATCAAGACAAAGGGTGCCACAAGGAGAACTCACTGATCCAAGACATGAATGTCTTGCTCGAATCCATGCGATGGAACTTGCTCTTGAGCTTGCTCGAGCATATGAGTTGTTCGTGCGTGTATTCCACAGCTTTAGCGTATCCCGTGCTCCCGGATGTAAAAAGCAATGTTGCCAATGCATCGGAGTTTGCCGCGTTCTCTTCTTGAACCGGCGTGTTTGGGATAATTGCCACTTGTTGGATCGTGGTGGTTTTGAAGCCAGGAATTAGCTTGAATGTTCCGCTCAGTTGCTTGGATGTCAGAATGGTAGGCCCTTGGAAAAGCTTATTGACGTTGTCCAGCTCGCCAGTAAGTGTTGTTGCATTGTTCGACAAGGGGCTGAGCAGTGCAGGTATGCCGCCAGCGGCCACGACAGACCAGTACCATATAGTATTGGCGCGGTGTGTATTGAAGTACAACACAATGCACTTTTGCGATGTAACTATGCCCCCGGCTCGAAGTTTTGCTGCATTAAACTGGAGAATATCAGTATGTCTCAAGGGTTGATCCTGGATTATAAGATGTAATATACCATAACCTCACGGAAAATGTCTGCGTAAGTAAGTGTCTCTGCCTCCTGGTCCCATCCTTTGTCTTTGAAAGAGATGCTGTTGTTCGGCCAGCGTGTTGCAGCACGTTGTAGCAGTTGGATGAGAGTTTGTGGTTCAGCATCTTTGGCAAGAGAAACCGACTTCGCTTGTACGTAGGTGGGATAATCCCAAGATGGCAAGGGCTCAATCAGTGCAGGAGGCATTCTGGCAACCACCTGCAGCTTCGTTGTCTGAAGGAAGAGTGATGCTTGAAGTCAAATCCACACTGACCTTGCTTTATATAATCTTTGCTATTCAGCTGTGGCATTGCGACTCCACATACCATCGATGTTCCAAAATATCCGCCTCATGCAAAGCCATCCAGGGTCACCGACAGGCTTGGCCCAATATAGCAGTAGCTTCAGGATTCGCCATACCTAGCCATATCGGTACCGAACTCCGGAACCGGAGAAAGCATTCTAGTTCTGTGAGGATTGAAGGCTCAGCACGATCTCCACATTACATACTTTTATTGCTTCAAGCCACATGCCGATGTGGCAAAGAAGGTAAAAAGGGGAGAGAAAGGAGGATGTGGTAGCGAGTGACTTGGTACAGAGTACGTTAGTCAATGGGAGAAGCACATTATCCTGCATGGTCGGCTTCCGCCTGCTTAGACCCTTCTGCAGACTGTGCGAGGGGATCTATTCGTTGCGACGGGGGCCAGAAGCGTTGGTGTTTGCAAGGATAGAGGTCAAATGATCGCCAGCTACCCCGGTAGGGGATCCCCCCGGCCACCCGGCCCGAGTATTGCGGTACCCACGTAATCAGGAGATATCTCCAGGGCACCCTAGTGAGTCTGGATCGTGGAAGCCACTGCACTGCTGGAAAAATCAATGTACTCGCCGACACCGACCGCATAGATTGCCGAAGCGCTGGTGGGGACCCACCGCACTTGCAGTGATCCTGTGTAGTGAGCTGTCAAACAGAGTTCTTTCGGTGAGTTCATTAGCAAATAGCGCATAAGCGAGAAGCAGGGGAAAAGCAACAAAAACTTACGCGAGGTGAAGCCTCGACCTTTGAGATCCACGTTTTTCTTCTATAGTGCTGACATCTGTACTCGCCAAGAGCGTAACTGACCAAAAAATGACTGACGAGTAACGATCATGGGATCCAGTCCTTAGGAATTCAGTTGCTAAAACCGTACTAGTTTCTGTAACGTCCATCACCGCGAACCGAGATCCACAATCTAGCGAGATAGGGAATGATACAGGCAGTCCCTATAGAATACTCCTTGTCTATGTCCCAGCCCGAATTTGCCTTAATGACCAAAGGGGTTGCGACATAAGGTGACGTCCGTCACTCCAAATCGATATCCACCGTCTAGCGAATTAGGGGACGATACAAGCAGTCTCTATAAAGTACTTCTTGCCTAGCTCCTAGCCCGAGTCCTGGGTATGATTGAAAAGGTCTTAGAGCACGCATAGGCTCTGTATATCTTAACTAGGTCTCTTCTACTCCGTACAAGCACCATCATCTCGCAAGACTGTGAATCACGCTTCAAAGTGATGGAAGTTACACGCGCCGAAGTAGTTCGGTCCGCAATTTCACAGTAATAGTTTGGAAAAAGTGTCATATGCTAGGCTGCCAGCTAGATCTCCAGAGTCCGGGTTCGCTTCGAAACAGCGCCTTTACAGGTTTTGTCGCCACTCTATTACTCAGTCCCAGGATAGGATTGAAAATCTTAACTTATTCCATTTCGTGTACTTGCGACACTTGAGTGTTTTCCAGCTCATTGGCCACTGTCTCATTGCTGGAGGCTGTCATATCATTTGCTGGAGCCGCAATTTCTGCGATTTCGTTGGCGATATCCAGCTCTGATAGCTTGGTGGTTTGGGAGCAATCGCCGTACTGAACTGGTTCAGTCTGGACTGGACTGAAATTCTCTTGTAAAGTTTTGCGACGTCGGCGGAGACAGAGTAATACTACCAAAAGAGCTGTAAAAATGGCAATACAGGAGACGACGATGCCCGCGATAACGCCATTTCCGAGATCAGGTCCTTCATGAGCTAATTCGTCTCCCGGTGGCTTGATTGTTACAATGTCTTGGGCCGGCAACGGATCAGAAAATATGGTCTGGGCGAGAGTGAAGTTGCCTCGCTCGTTGTCGACCACAAGGTATGCTTCCTGGAGTAGCGCTCGACCAACGACGTACTGAGAATCGTTGGCAGCACGGCGAATGGGAAAGTAATAACTGGTGTTTGTGACATAAGAGCTGGAAACTTCCAGATCCAGTGCGGAGTATGGCAAGGAGATGGTGGTGCTGTTCTCACTCGGGTTCAGGTTCTGGCCGATCTTGATTTGTACTGTCGCATTAAGCCCTCGCAGCCTGTCATGGATTGTTGAATTTACGAGGTAAAGATCGCTGGTGAGATCATAAGTCAGACCGAAAGCATCAGCAAATCTGTCGCATACTTCCGCCGGAAACCACATATGTGGGACTGTTGAATCAATGACGGATAAATGCCCCTCTTCCAGGGACATTGAAGTCAATCCTTGGCCGTGTAGTGTATCTGAGACCAATATAGACTGTATACCGACTTGGAGGCTTGTTTTCTGTGCAAACGCAAAGCTGAAGTTCAAAGGCCTGAATCGCGACTGGTCAAAGCCACCAAGGACAAGGCTTCCTGAGACTTTCCTATAGCCTGAAAGATTTTTTTAGCCACGTATCCTCTCCAAACTCTTGTAAGGATACAAAAATAAAATATAATAATTTCATGATTGGTGATCCTGTACGCTCATGAGTCTTTCTGGTGAGATAACTTACGATAATGAGCACCAGCTGTATACCCATAAGACATACTCGGGATCATAGTCTGGTTTTTTTTAGATTGGAGAGTATGCTCTGTATTGGCTTGCTGAGGCTGGAAAAACTGGATGGCGTAATGCTGACGCCCAACATGCCGATGTAGTAGTCCTTTGTGGCAAATCCTGCTACTATTTGGTGATCTATACTCAAAGCATCTGCTGATTGAGCTCCTCCGAAGGGAACTGTGTCGTAGCCATAAGCTCCGTTTCCACTGTAGTTTAGGTGACTGTCCAGTCCGAGGTCATAGAGTCCAATCATTTCTCAGGTAGAAGATTTGTTCGTTTGGAAGCCGAAACTTGCCATACTATTAAATGATTCAACGCCTCTTGTGGATGCGCAGTGTTGTAGTGAAATATCGCTCAGTCCATCTTGACTGCATGCTTCTGGAATTGGAACCCAAGTCTCGTGGCCAGATGTCGATATGAGGAGTCGAAATTCTTGAGGAGGATTTCCGATACTGATTCGAAAAGTGGACCATGCACCGTCATTTCCATCCCATTCATCCGTAGCATGCAAAATATAAGGCTCTGGTGCCTTGGTTGTCTGGGATCTCAAAGTCATTTGGAAAGTTTTTAGAGAAAACTTGCCTAGCTTTGACAAATTCGGGGCATCCGTTCTTTCCAGAACACAGTATACAGTATACAGTTTTTACAGGAGATATTGTACGTAGGTAGAGGAATTTTCCAAGAAATCTGGTGAATTGGTGTAAATCGCTATCAGTGACTTGGGTCTTCTGAGCAGGACCGGCATACCAACTTTTATTAGACCGCGCAAGATGATAGTACGAAGTAAGCACTAAAATGCAGCAAATCAAAAGCAGTGATGGTATTCGAGTTGTTTGGGTGCATCCGAAAACCTACTGCATCTCGGGATACAGCTTGCTATTGATTTCCAGGCAAATAGTACTACATGGTGACCATTTTGCCTTTCTATCCGGCAAAGTCATACACGGTGGTGACGTTAGGCAGCCAGAATGGTCTGACTTCTGCTGGTGCGATGAGTGGTAGAGTCGGTGATATGCATATAGCATGTCCAGGCATGGTAAGAGTGGCCCTAACATACTATGAAGTGAACGCATAATACGGAGAGCAATTAGTCTGTGAGCTTTGTGGACCTATAAACTGTATGTCCTTTTTTATTTTGTATGCGGACTTCGTTGATGGTTAGCGGGCGCTGTCCAAACCGGTACAGCTGGTGTAACAGTGCTAACCGTGTCTAGGCAAGGTCGCTTCTCCATGAATTGGTGGCTTGGGAACATTGTGACGCAAGACCTAGGCTGTCCTCTTGTGCTAATTTTACTATAATCACCGCTTAGCGGGTAGGCACATCTTGACGCACATCGAGGTATCCGGCTGACTTCATTTCCGGGTACATACCAGCATAGCCTTGATAGACCATTGCTTCCTTGTAAGGCCAGAGGCTCTACCACTGCATCAAGCCGTCTGCAGCGTTCGTAAAAGGATGACACGATGGCGATTACTAACCGCCATCTGGCTTGGCACATTCATGAAGCGTGTCGTATGGTATGGGGACGAAGGCCTTCATACATCCCTCGAGATTCCGATAATGGTCTGCGTCAAACCGAGATTGTATAGCTCAAGCAACTCCAACGGTATGATGAGATAAAGCGAATAGACTGTCTTCAGCTGTTATCTTTTATCATCCGATTATTCGTCGTACATTGTCACCGCTTTGTTTGAGCTTGCGCCTCACCGTTACGATATACCACGTCCGCTCTCGCCTAGATTGGCCGTATGAGCCTATGTTTAGTTCCTGCAGCCTTTTGAAGCTGTAACACCCTTACCTCTCCATTGCACAATAATCTTATCATTGGGAGACACCGCATATTACCGGTGAGGCAATACTACTGAGTTCGTCCTCAATCCGGGTCTCTGCAGCCTAGAGACATGCAACCAACAAACTGTTCGAGTCCAAAGGCGGCCCGCATTCACCTAAACTCTTCAAGATCTATTTACTTGGCGCCATGTAGGTCAGCGATCTAATCCCTGGTTCCATTTGTTTTATCTTACTCGATAGAAGTCCCAATTCTGCCAACAATGTCTTCCTTTGGTCTGCCTCTATTGTTGGCTTTGTTCATCTCAGTGGTTGTTGCAAAGCCGTCACTAGCAACACCAGCGCCCACTTATGGATCTGTAATGATACCAACTTGGGGAAGCGGCTCAAATTCAACCACTTCTAGTCCTGAACCTCTTTGTTCCGGTTGCGTGCTGCGAGCCGGATCTCGTCGTAGCCTGACTTATTCGACGCCATATACTTATGAAATCTCGTCGGTTGAAATCACACAAATCGTTATCCCGCATGTAACGGTATTTGGGAACAACTCATCAACTACTCACTTTGAAACCGTAACCGCCTCTGAGGAACTTTCGAATGCGACTGCAACTGATATCACCACGCATGAGCTCACCTGGACCTGGAATGATGTGACACTGTATGCCTCATTATCACTGTCAAAGAAGAACAAAACTGACATGCATAAGGACATGGCCGACTACTTACTTTGTATTTGACGAAATTTATGGGGGCACCGAGAGGACTCGATCCAGGTCCGGCTGTTTGAATTACGAATGCTTCGTCCCGTCGCAAACCACCTTAAAGCTACCATCACCCACTGTCTGGAGCATACTAGTTTGGGCTCAAACGGTTGAATACGGATGGCCGGACGAGAGCTTACCATCTTCGCTTGTTAGCTACCTAAACCAGCAACCATTGCGGACGGCGGATTTCTCTGGATTGGACTTGTTCTCATGTTCAGTTACCCCCCCATATCACCCTCCTTGCACCACGGAGACAGGTTCTACGTTCTATTTAGCAACATCAACAACATCAGCGCCAGATTCAATCCCAGGAACGACATCTTTTAATGGTCCCTCCCAACACACTACAGTATTATCGGTGGTCAAAACCACCGCAATCACTAGGAGCGGAGATACCGTTACGTCTCCGGCCCCCAAAGCACCAAATGCAGCAGTTACAGTTAGTATTCTGTCAAACTACAGGAATCTATCTGGAAGCAAGATTAAACCGTACGACTCCAACGAGGCTGGCAGCTTGTCACGGGAAGAAATAACGGCATTTGCGGGCCATAGTGCTAATGTCGTTGGCATTTCGACTACAGCCTCGATAGACATTATCCCAGAGTCTACCCGTGGTATTGCAATGGGCTCTGAAACAACTAAGTCCGCTGGAGACCTATCTGTTGTAGCCGGAGGAACGACACTGAGCTCTACTAACAGCAAGTCGGAAACCGTCTACACCGTTCACGCTTCTGCAGTTGCCGCTTCGTCCGCCCTTACTATCGGCAGTCAAATCATCACCGCCGCCTCCGACGGTAGCATTCCTTTAGGACCAGAGACAACACTGTCACCCAACGGCCCGGCACTCGTTAGCGATGAAACTACATACAGCCTCGATCAGGCCTCAAATTCCGTCATTGTTGTTGACGAAGTAACGCACCCCATTGGTGGCGCCATTTATACCTCACCCGTTCTCACTGTCGTTAATCACACTTCCATCGCCGCATCTGATGCCACTTTCACTATTGCACCAGAGGTGACAGTTTCACCTGGCGGCTCTCCAGCTACAGTTGCTGGAACAACACATAGCCTACCTTTGACATCTACCAGTCCCGTTGCCACCATCAGCGACAAAACACAACCCCTCGCGACCGGCTCTCCTTATCCTACACCTACTGCACCGCTTGTCCTCACACTCTCAGAAACCTCGATCACTGCAGCCACATCTGGGGGCAATACTCACTTCATTATCGGCTCTGGCACCATTCTCACTCTCGGTGGCCCTGCACTCACCATTTCTGGAACAATCTTCAGCTTTCCTCAAACTACTGCTCCTACTGCCATTGTCATCAACGGGGCAACGCAAACTCTCGCTGGAGCAGCTCACCCTACGTCTCTCCCCTTCCCCACTATCGCCAATACTCTTGTCACCGCAACCGCCTCCAACAGTGACACTTACTTCGTCCTTGGCACTGGTGAAACTCTCGTTCCTGGTGGTCCAGAAATTACCATCGATGAGACGACCTATAGTCTCCCACAGGTCTCCTACAGCCCCGCTTCAACTTCACCATCTGTTATAATCATCGACGGCGTAGCGCAAACCCTCTCTGTGGTCTCTTCTTCTCCCCATGCCGTCTTCACTCTTCCTGACCATTCCATCGCCACTGCTGCTTCTGATGGCGGCTTCTCTGTCGCACCGGAGACGACACTACTACCCGGCGGTCCTGCGCTTACGATCAGTGGGGTCACTTACAGTCTTCTACAACTACCACCTAACTCTGACGTCGGGCCTGTTGTGATCATCAACGGTGCCACGCAAACTCTCACTGTCGCCGCAGCCCCGACAGCCATTCCTGTCTTTTCTATCGCCGGCCATACCATAACTGCATCACCCGACGGCAGCTTTCCTTTTGCCTCCGGCACCACCCTCATACCAGGTGGTCCAGCCCTTACCATTTCCGGCACGACCTATAGCCTCCATCCAGCCTCTCCTGATCCCACTACCACCGCGCCCGCAATCATCATCAACGGGGAAACACATACCCTCTTAAGCCCATCCGCGCCTCCTGCCGCTCTCCAAATTCTAACCATCGCTGGCCAGACCATAACGGCAGCATCAGACGGCAGCTTCCCTCTCGCCCCCTACACCACCCTCACACCAGGCGGCCCCGCGCTCACTCTCTCAGGAACAACCTACAGCCTCCCTCGCCCCTCCACCAACCCCAGCACCACCACCGCACCTACCATTATCCTCATAAACGGCGCCACCCAAACCCTCTCCGCAGCCCCGTTTCCCACAACCAACGACAAGCCCCCCTCCGTCCTTACTATAGCCAGTCAGACCATAACCGCCGCCCCAGACGGCAGCTACTCCATCGCCCCGGGCACGACACTCGTCCTCGGTGGCCCGGCCCTCACTATCGCAGGGACGACGTACAGCCTCCCCGCCGCCTCGGCCTTTGTGCTTTATGTTAACGGCGAGGCGGTGACTACGTTTAGTCCTGCTATGGTTTCTTCTTCTGCTGCTTCTGCGGATGTAGAGGCACAGCAGGATACAGCGACAGCGACAACCACACGTCAAAAATCGAGCGCGAGACCGAGCACGACAGGACACACGACTGGCGGTGCGGAAACGACGCGCGGGACCGCGGCCACGAGCTCGAAGACTGCGGCTGCTGCTGGGGCGAGGGCGCTCCTTGGTGGTGGCGAGTGGTGCGGAGGAGTAGTGGCGGCGGTGTTGGGGTTGCTTGAGGCGTTGGTGTAACGTCTGTCATCGCGAACCGAGATCCACCGTATAGCGAGACAGAGGACGATATAAGCAGTCTCTATAAAGCACTTCTTGCCCAGTTCCTAGCCCGAATCCTAGGTATAGATAAGAAGGTCTTAGAGCACGCACAGACTCTACACATCGTAGCTGGGTCTTTTCTTCTACTCCGTACAAGTATTACCATCTCGCTTCACGGTGAAACTTCGCTCCATGGGGATGGACGTTAGGCGGGGGAAGGCGTTACCGAAGTGGTTTGTTTCTTTTTAGTTTTGTTTTGTCGATACGTTTGTGTGGATGGTTGATTGATTGGTGTGTAATCGGGTAGTGCGAGTGGATGACCATTTGTGAGAAGATATCTCTGTGGTGTTAGCTAATTCCAAAAGTATTAATAAAGCTTAGATAGTCAAACCTTCTTAATCGAGTTTTTACTTACCAATTACGAACCATCTGCACACTCCTCTTGCAGTTAGTAAAAGTTAAATAAACTCAAGTACACACGATACAATCAGAATAGCATCACAACCACTCAAGAAAGGCACAGCGAATTTTTCAAAATACCAAGCAACGCTTTCATGTTTCATGCCAGCGTTGCCCTTTTCTTTCCGATTTTGAAGCGATCCCGCAGCGTGAGTCCTCTCCCCTTTTTTTGTTCGTATTTCAGGAAAAGAACCTCCCGCCGCGCGGCCCTCAAAGAGCCTGGCAGAAGGGTATACATACGTGTGGGTATGGGGGAATTGGTGGTGTAGATGTAGATGTAGTAGTAAAGGGCTGTACAGCTGTAAAAACAGACGGAGATGTGTGAGGGAGGGGATAGATAATGGGGGTTATGTGCTGACGACGATGTTTGAAATGCAACATCATCAGCGTGATAATAGTAACGAGCGTGGGGTATTGATGACAGCGGCCGCAGCAGGTGATAGATAGCTGCTGCGGCCGCTGAGCAAACAACAAACAAAAAAAGAAAAAGTGTACAGCCGACGAATAATCGGACAGGTTATGACGACGACCCCTTTTGGTATGCGGAGTGCGACAACAGGTAAACAGGGAAAAAAACGGAAAAGAGATAGGGTCGTACTAGTCGTGTCCGAGGGTGAAGGGTAGGTATAATGCAAAAAAGAGCAAAACGCAAGCCGCTGAGGTCGGAAAAGAGACCTCGAGCGACAAAACAAGCAAAAACAGAAGGCAAAATGAAATGACTCCAAGAAAATCAGCTTGCAATTTTGGAGCGCAAGGGGTGGTCAGTTGGCGAGCAGAAAAACAAATGAAAACGCCGCGCTGGGTGCAAATTGACAATTTAGACCACCCCTTTAGACACGCAAAATCCACGTGGAAAGTGGACGGAACAAAAACAGACTGGGACAAAGAAGGATAAAGGGAAACAAGAGGGCAATGAGAGGCATTCCAGCCTCTACACTTCCTCCTTTCTCCTCTTGTTCTTCTTGTGCACCGTCTTCCTTGTCTCCTGGACCTGCTCCATGGTCTGGTGCGGCCTGCTCCTTAAGCGCTCGCGGACCTGTTCTACAGGCCTGGCATTCCAGGCGCCGTAGCCATTCGCGCTGAAGGGGAAGAGAACAAGATTGTCTTGGCGCTTGATGAACTCTTCGGGCTTAGGAGCAGGTGCTGAGGCGATGATATCAATCTCTCCAGCCAGTTGGTTGCAGTAGTCGTCGAGCGGCAGATCGTTAACGTCGTTACCAAACGGGTTTTCGATCTCGCGTCCGATGACTTCGAAGCCGAGGATGATGTACGCCGCAGCCATAGTTCCGGGAATCGTCACCCACTTGAGCTCAGGCCACAGCTGAAACGGTAACAGCAGCACGTAGAGCCACGTGATCTGGCTGATGGCGATGGTGTAAGCGATAGGCAGCGGCGTGTTCAGTACACGCTCACAACCGATCAGCACATCGTTCATCTGAGTAATTGAACTCGCTGGGGGAAGGCGATCGTGTCAGCTGGCGTCTGCAATAAGATTAGGTATGGAGATTCTTACTGGCTACGTTCGTGTGGTAACCCTTGAGCCTTTCCTGTTCGACGAGGCTGTCGATGTAGGTAGTCAAGTGGCTGAGGATTTCCAGAGGCAGGTTTCCCAGAGGCTTCTTGGCGCGTTTGAGTTCCTTGCGGGGATTCGACTCGGCCATAGGCACGCCGAGGTACGTGCCTGCGCGCTTCCACGTCGACACGCGACGCGGCTGGAGCAGGTCGGGTTCCTCGGCGTCCTTGGCGAAAGTGTCAAGGAATTGCACGAGGCCTTGAAGGTCCTCGTAGTGGATGTAGGGCTCGAAGCGCAGCTTGTGCTTGAGCGCGTTGGCGAAGGCGACGATGAGGTTAAGGCCGGTCCTGGCACGACGTGTCAGCATGGGATGTGAGATATCCAGCTTCTCGGAGGGCAACTTACAGCTTGGCCAGGACGTCTTCCTTGCCCTCTTCTCCTTCACGTTCGCTTGCGGATATCCAGATCTCGCGGGCCAGAGTCTGAGATACGAGCATCAATTGCGACCAGTACTTCCGGCCTTCCGAGTATCTCTCGTAGGCTGTTGACGAGCGGAAGGAGATGGCCAGCGAAACGACGAAACCAAGAACCGTGAGAAGGATGTTGGAGACACCGAGCTGGTAAATGAACTGGGACAAGCAGGTGCTGCGGGGATGTCAGTGTCAAGGCCTTGCAGTAGACATTTTGGGGATAGAAATTACATCAGCGAGGCCCAGCAACCAATGAAGAACAAGGGCAGCAGCATGTTGGGCAAGATGCTGCCGTGCATCCTCATGAAGGTCGGCCACCTAGAGTGCTTGTCGATCGACCGGGGTCCAACCTATAAGCCACAGTCAGCGTGCGGATCCACTACAGCGGGCCGGGCAACACGGACAAAGTAGTCATCCATCTCTATGGTCTTGGTTCTCTTCTTGCGGTACATGGCGACTCTCGAATGACTTGCGGTGGAGAAGACATTCTCCAGAGGCTTGGTCTCGACCTCAACGGCGGAGACTGTGCTCTCCGCCGCTGTACTCGACGAGGTCTGGGCCCGCGATTGGGGGCCCTGGATCGTGTACCCTGCGTCGTTCGCCATTGTTGACGAGATGCTGGTCTGGTAAGGAACGTGTGGTAACGGAAAGAAAAGGAAAAAAAGAGGAGGAGAGAGAGGGGGTGGGGGGGAGAGGTGAGTCGCTGACTGAAGAGCGCAAGAGGTGGAGGTGCGAGGGACATTTTATCCAGCAGTGGCCCCTGTCCTGATGCGAGGTAGGTGGGTTTGGTGGAGGCTCGAGCACTTGACGTTGGCTATGGGCCCCTTGAAACAGGGCAGCAAGCCAATAGAAGGATTCTGCTGAAACCCCGTCATGCTGTGTTGAGGGCGATCATCAGCATGCGCAGGCTCTCATGAAAACGGTGAAGTTGCCGGGTCTTGCGGGCCGCATTCAGGCTCATGGCAGATCGCGAGCGCGTTCCAAAGCTTCCAGATCGACGCGTGTCGGCCGGTCGCGCCTGACTCGTGTTGTCGTCGCGCCGGCGGCGGCAGAGGAGGAGGGAGGAAAGAGGAAGGGGGAGAGCCTTAACGGCAGCTGCTATGCCCTCGTTCCCCCTTCCCCGCTTGAACGAAACAGTCATCATACCCTTTTTGCGCCCGCATCGCGCATCGCTTGCGTGCACATGATGAGGCAAAGCGAAGCCGCAGACAGACGACTCGCTTCATCGTGTTCGCACGCAGCACCGTGTTGAGGCCGTCGGATGTTCAAGGCCTGCCTCCCCGGACTCGCCAGGGACTCTACCGCGCCCCATTCTCAGCCACGCGTGATCGCGGTGGCTGCCGTCCGTGGCGCCTTAGTGCCGGCAGTTAGCGGCGCGTATTTTTGGTGTGTCGTTCTCGACCTCAGTCCGTGACTCCGCAGCTCGTCCACTTGTCATCCCTCCTCTTTTACCCAGGCACCGCTTTTCCCCAGTCTGGACTCGCGGAAATGAAAGGACCGTGCTGCTATCGCGCCGGTGAAGATCAATCGCGCCTGATGGGAAACTCTTGACGCGCCAGCCCACCGTTCTCACGTGCCGTCTCGCCAACCACAATCCGCCTTCCCTCACAGCGATCGTCCATCTGGGGACTGCGCCTCCTCCACGCCCTCTCAACACTGTCGCTCACTCTTGTCGTCACTTCTCCGCTCTTCAGCCTCATCCACGCTCCCTCTCGTCCACCAAAGACCGCTCCTTAAAAACCGCTCTTTTGGCCTCGGCTCTCGGCTTCAACGATCGACCTTACGCAATTGGTATTCCTCCACCCCCAAGACATACCCTGCCGCTATAGCAATGCGTTCTCGTTCATAACATGGCCTTGCGCTCGGTATGCTGCCCCTGGCGGCAATCCTTAGCACGTATTCGTACCTCCCCCTCCTGCGCTGGCACCGCATTATTTGGTTTTCCGTCAAGCAAATCCTCCGTGTGCGTTTACTTCATGTTTGCACCCTTCATCGCCCTACAGTTGTCCGTTTAATTTTTCGAGATACCATGTTCGTCTCGTCCCGGCGTTCCCTGCCCCTTTCAGCTTTGCTTTTTCCGCCCTGCCATTTTCCGCGTTCCGCTCTCGTCCGTAGTTAGTATTTTCCGGCGCACCGTGCGACATTGCTGCGTTCATCACCATTATCCAGATCTGATTTCTTCGACCCAAGCGCCAGTCCAACAAAGTCTTGATAACCGACAAACGATCGCCTGCAATGAGCCGCACGGTGTTCGGAGTGCGCCGAGAGAACCGTGGGTTCTTCGAGGGGGTTATGTCTCATCTCGAGCCTGTACACGCCTCGACCACGTCCTTTGCTTTCCGCCGGAGGTCAACGTTTGATTTCCTGGAACTCGCGTTTTCCGCTGCCTGGAACACGGTGCCAGGACCGAGAAGTGCCGTTACCATGTGCAAAGGCCCCGGGGCGACCGCTTAACCTCGCTCGGATGCAATCCGATATTCCAGTTGATCGCCCACGGCGCGCCGCATCAACAACAGCTCGTAGCTTTCGTACCTCGACGCGTCGCCAAGCTATCGAAACCGCGCATGGCTTAGAACCTTCTCCAAGAGCGACAAGACTACGCCATTGATGTTCTCCTTCAACCTCTGGGCCTCGCGGACCAGGCGCGCTCTGCACGCACGGCGCAACACGTGTCCGCCGTACTGCACATCAACACTGATCCGATCCGCAAAGAGCGTCCGTCCAGCTCTACGAGTTCAACATCGCGTACGATTTCTTGCGAAAAAAATGCTCCGGTCGCATGCCATCGTAACTGGAAATTTGCAAGCCTTGACCGCGCAGGGTCCCGTTCTCGTCGGCTATGGCCACGCGCAGAAACGTGTCGTGAGACAATCGAGCGAACTGGAATGCGATGGATTGGCTGTTGAACCACACTGCGTGCGCAGAGGAACCAGATCGCTTCACTTATCAAGGCAGATCCGACATATACTCCCATGAGGCGGTTCTCTTACCGGCCGAATGGTCAAACTGGAAAGCTGAACTGGTTTCTGGGGGATAGTGGCCGTTGCGAGTAACCGATAGTAGGTCATGGTGCGCTCGACGTCGGTCTGGGTCATTGAGCAAACAGGTGATCTTTTCCACGATCGGCTTGCCACCACGTGTTCGTGAAACCACACTTCGGCGATGGCCTACAGTTATCTTTTTTCGATGAGGAGGTCCTCTGCTAGGTATGGTCGATATCGGTCTGGTGTTGTTCGACTGACTTTGCAGGATCCAGACACAGCGACTACGGCTCCCCAACTTTGTCATTGCCCCAGCGTGCCCAGTGCAGGCAACGTTACTTTCAATGGTAGTTGAGATGAGTTTTTGCGTTGCTGATGATTTAGGATGTATCATAGCTTTGTCTGCCGCTTTCAACGTTGGGTGGACCATCCGTTCCACCAAAACCGCCGCGCCCTGGATCTATTTGGATGACCCTACCACCACGGCCACGAAGATTTTGCTTCTATGATGACCTCCCGGCATATCCTAGTACATCTGAGAGCCCGTTCTCCAAACTCAGAGCCGCACTAAAAACGCAGCCGCCATCATCTGTAATCCGCAGCCCATCACCAGGCTTCTGTACCTGCATGCAAGAGCAATCCTGCCTTTCCTATGGCTCACAGAAACAGAGCCACGTCTGGCGCTTCTTTTTTTTTTTTTTTTTTTTTTTTTTTTTTTTTTTTTTTTTTTTTTTTTTTTTTTT